GGCCAAGAACCGAAAATATGTGGGGCCCTGGAAATAGCCAAGTTGGTTTATAAACACCATTAAGAGTTACATGGTTATTTAACATAGCCATGGAACATCACCATTTTTAAGAACGGTAAACCATTTATTTCTATGGGCCATCTATACTCTACCATGGCAAACTGTTAGTCATAACCAGAGTACAAGCATCATATAAACCATATTGGTTTTATTGGTTTATATAGCAACTTCGCCAACTTTTTCGGGCCCCAAAAACTGCACGGCCTGTTGTCGTTGCCGTGTCTCGAGCAGTTCGTGCATTGCAGCCTGGAATAGTTCGGATCTCAATAGAGGGGAATTCATTGGGAAAATCATCTGAAAAAAAAGGTACCCGGCCTGGTAAACGTACAAAAAACGATGGAACATCACCATGTTGTATAGGTAAATCCACTATAAATGTGGTATTTTCAATAGCTATGTTAAATTACCATAGAGTAACTATGGGAAAATCCACTATAAATAATTACTCCCATAGATGTTGCCACATTTCTAGCCATCTCACACCACTTTGTTGCAGTAACATGACGTAACATGGTGACATGGTGATTCTTGTCATTTTCATTGCAACCGTTTTCAACCAACCTGACCTTGATTATCTTTTGGGCCAGTGGAGCAAGGCAGATTTGAAAAAAAACTCATTGGCAAGTCCAAGTGCTTGGAGGGTCCAAGTTTTCTAAGACATGGCAGATTTCGAATATTGGTGTTCAAATCCCCAAAAAAGAGCATGACCATCCCGGAACCTCCCGGAAGATCAAACATGCCACTGGCCAGTGCCGCAAAAAACATCGTTGGACACCTGGAAATGTGAAGCAAAAAATCTTGGTGAAATTTTCATCTTGGTGGCACACTGGCTCACTTTCCGGCATCTTTTTGGAGGTTACTATATAAATAGACCATGACACATATGAACCATGAAAAATACCCCTTATTGTCCCATTCTCATTCTACTAGTCGTTTTTTTCCAAGGTTTCCGTACTATTGGTTACTTCATAACCCCATCAAACCAGCTTGCAATTAGAACTTGCAAGCTTTTAAACTTTTAAACAATAACCAATCCCCATGAGACCAGCTTTTGTGATAAGCCTTTACAATAACATTGCCAATCAGCCAGATACCCGGCAAAAAATGACAAATTCTTTGCTGGTGAACGTAGATATTCCCATGAATACCAAAAGAATACCAAAAGACTAGTTAGGATTAAAGTATCCAAGATTCTGGGTAAATTATAATAGTTCACTAACCTGAATTAAGGCCATTTGGGAATGATTTCCCGAATCCTAACCATGATTCCAGGGTTCGGGAGGACAGTGAGGTCGTGATGAAATTTACCCAGAAGATTGACCTAGATAACATACAGTGAGTATTTCACTTTCATGACGGCCAGGCCCAGCCAGACCCAGCCAGGCCTCCTGGTTCTGTGTCTTTTCAGCCAGCCCGTGGCGTGCGTGATCCAAATGACCTGGCTATGTGACGTTGATCCCACACACGTACATTACTTGTTTGGGATTATGGTTTATCTCTACATATGTAATATATATATATATGTTTACAAAGCAATAATAATAGTAATAATAATAATAATGATCGTAATAATAATAGTAATAATAATAATAATGATAATAATAATATATATATATATATATTACACACACGCATATATATATATAATTATATTTTACATGTCCTATTATATACTGTTTTTTATGAAGGTTTTTATGTTTTTTGTTTTTTTGTTTTTTTCGATGGCAAACTTGTAGCTGTAGCTGTAGCTTTGGGCCCTCCTAAATTTCGCTTCCGTCGATCAGAAAACGCCATCTTGCTTGGGGAGAAATCCTTCAAGTTGAGTGGATCATATTCGTGTCTTGGCATCACCGAAGTTGTCCAACAAATAACGCATCCAAACTCGTTTTGATTACGTCAAAAATCATCAAAATCATCAAAGTTGTCAAAAATACCCTCTGGTAAACTAACATAGCTATTGAAAATGGCCATTTATAGTGGATTTTCCCATTAAACATGGTGATTTTCCATAGTTATATTAGTTTTACCAGAGGGTAAATCATCCAAGCTGTCAACTCTCGAGCACGTTTTGAGGCCAATCTGTTCCATTTGCTTCACGGCCTGAGTAGGAATGCAGTTGCTTGCTCATATCCTCGGCCAAGCCGTTAATCCTCAGCCGTGGCCGTGTCGCTGGGGAAATGCCCAAACCATAGGAAAACCATATAAAAACTATAGGAAACCATATTAAACCCTACAAAATAATACAAAATATGGATAAAAATTACAGTTATGGCCCTATATATACCAGTTATATGTACTTCTTATAACCCCCTACTGAAGTTTTTACCTACCTTTTTTTAGGGTTGAACATAAAAACATGTACATAGGTTTTTCTGATTGACAACATAAAAACCTAGTGTTTTTTTTGAAAAACATAGTTTTTTTTCCAAACCCCAACTTTTCAGATTTTACATAAGCTGAAGTAGGACATGGTTCCATAGGTATCCATTCCTGGGTTGGTTCATCCAAGAGATGAGGCGACTTTCGGCAGAATATGGCTGAATTCGACCTAACAAAATCTACAACCGCAACATGACGGTACCAATAAAGCTCACCAACCGGATGGGAATAGAAATCACCCAAAAGATTCCAATGGATGATGGTATGAATCCAACTTCTTCGGGGCTAAGGATGGAGCAACAAAATATTATTACGTTGTTGTTCTGACCCCAAGGTGAACACATCACATTTTTAATAGAGTCTAAGATTTGGGAACTTAGCTTCATAGGCCATTTAAACCTTTTCTACCCATAATTGCCAAGGCTGACAAGTTTTGAACATCAAGCTTGCTGCTGCATGCGTTTGTTGATTGTTTGCTTGCTTGCTTGCTTGGTTGCTTGGTTGCTTGCTTGGTTGCTTGGTTGTTTGTTGAAGCAATCACGAAGCTCAAGTGTTTGGCGATTTTTGGAATGCTTCCCCCGCTTCCCCATCCCCCCACAAGAGAAGGATAAACACCCAGGTTACAGTAGTTGGCTAAAGTCATCACCCCAAACTGCAGTTGTGCTGATTAAATCACATGTATGTTCATCAAGTTGTTTTAAAAATTATCCTCCCCAATTGTTACATGTTATGTAGTTAAATCCCGAGTTGTTGTCGCTTCAATCCATCAAAATCCGTGCTTTGTGGGCTACCCCTCATTCTCATAGAAAAAAATCACATCTTTGTGGGCTAAGCCCAAGTTCAACCATGTAAAATCATTCAAAGACCCAACTTTGCTGCAACAAACCCCCCATATTGGGTGGTTCACTCCAATAAAAACCTCTCAACAACATCTGCAAATCCATGGTGTGCTTCGATACTCTGATTGTAGCTTGTAGCTCTTCGGCTCCCCATATTGCTTCACCCAGCTAGTCAGTCGACTTGTGGGGTGGACTAATCAACCATGGCTTGCTCGAAAACCTTCTATTTCCCAAATTCGTTCGTTGATTTTCCCCCCAGCAATTCACACAGCTTTAGCTCGTTGGATTTCCCGGCCCGCCAGAGTTGATTGCCATAACATATCACATCTTAGTTTTTATTCTCTCACTATGTCCCTTTTCTATGCCCAATATATATCTATATATGTCCATGAAATATTCCCATTCATGGAGTATTTGCTACATAAATCCCGTACAATTCCAAACAAATCCAACTTTCCAATGATTTTCCACGCACTTTCCCATGGTTTCTTCGAAAAAAGTCATGGTTTTTCAACCCCAGCTCCGTTCTTTTTCGGCTCCCAGTGGCTGTTGCAATTCTTCCGCTGTGATCCAATTCTCCTTATCTTCCAGGCCCAGCTGCTTTTCAATCCTCGGTGGTGGCTCCACTTTTCAATCCAGGCTGATTTGAGGTGTTTTTGAACTTGAATACCCTCTGGTTATGTCAAAATAGCCATTGAAAATGGCCATTAATAGTTGATTTTCCCACTAAAAATGGTGATTTTCAATAGCTACGTTAAATTACCAGAGGGTAAATCTAAATATGTGAAGACAACTCTTGAGAAAACATGAATGCTATCTCTATGAATTGTTTCTTATGTTTATGAATGTTTATTAGAGATCGTTTTCCTGAGTAACAGTTGCAGTCTTTGCTACAATCAAAAGATCTGCGCAGCCTAGTCCACACTTACGTTATACGCATATCTCACGGCACTAGGTAAAACGTCGAGAACAAATCAACATCACACCCAGGTCAACATCACAGAACATCCCTCTCCATAGCTTTCCAACTACTGGTACATAACAAAACAATACAACACAGTTGAAGAAAATGCATCTGATAGCGTTTGTATCCAATTTCCATGTTAGGCAATGAGCCATGATATTCAATCCAGTTCATACCGGGTATATATATATATATCATATCACCCAGCTACTGTTGATATCTCCACACCGATCATCCAAGAACAGATCTTGGCCTTCTCGGGTCATCGAAGTACAGTGGTTGCAAAATCCACCAGTTGATAAGTGGATTTACATCTGAAAACGCTGGATTTATCATCCCAAAAAATAGGCTTTCAACCATCCCATGGTGGTGTAGGATAGCACCCCACCATCCCCGCACCCGAGATCAAAACGTCACCAGTTTTTGTCCTGCTCCGCCATTGAAGGCGCCGCGAGCGGAGAAAGGGTTGAAAAAGCCAAAATAGCCGGGCAAGCCAAGGACACATCGTAGCAAGCCAAAGATGTTTTCTTGAGTCTTTCTCCTATTCAAAAGATGGAAAACCCATAGGATGCCTCCATGGAGCCAACAATTATGGAATAGGTTTATCTTGCTACTTCATGTATTTTCTCTTTCACTCAAAGATGGATCCAAAAATGCAACTCAAAAATTTGAAGTGTCAACATCATGGCTCACACCTCAGTGAAACCACCCATAACCAGAGCCGTGCACGAGTCGCTCTGCGACTCGCTCTGCCACACTCATTTCTTGGAAGCAAACATGGCGGCCTGCAAACGTGCCTCGGTATTCCGGCCGAAGACCCCAAGAATCAACCAAGATTGCTGGAAACACATGTACCCCAAAAGTAAATCAACAGAGACATGGAGAAGCCACATAATCCACCATTTATATATATCAAAAAAGTTTTAATGAATAAAAACTAGATCTATAAATTCATAGATTAAACCCATTAATTGAATCTGGCGGTTTCCAAAGTTTGCAAATCCGCCGATCTGGCCCAAGCAGCTGCAGCCCTCTTCACCTTCGCAGTGGCTTCCAACTTGTCCTCCAGAGCAAGGCCCAGGATTCATACAGCCGTGACCATATACCACCAGTGAAGTTTAATATACAAGCTATATAAGCTATATAAATCCCCATGGACCCTGGTGAAAACCCAGTTATAAGATGTTCATTCAGTGAACTTAGTGGCTCTTCATCCCTCGAATAGGCTAGCAGCGCTGGCACCAGTGGACTAAGGGGATTATAACTGGATTAAGCCAGTGGAAAAGCATGTACTTAAGATATACCTTCTGGTAAACATACAAAAAACTATTGAACATGACCATTGAAATAGTGGATTTACCCATTAGAAATGGTTATTTTCCATACTTGTGTGCCACTTACACACTGGGAAGAGGGGAAGAGCCACCAAGCACTTGACTGCGCGAAGATTCCAGTGTTGCAAGAGATAGTCATGAACGCTATTATGCCACCCACCATAGAAAACTCATTCCAAGTGTAGGATATACCTTCCCTCCAACATACACATTGACCCCACGTGATTGTCAGGGTCAAACTTTTCGTTGGCTAGATCCCATTCACAATTCATGAATAGAACTAATAAACATCAGCAACCTAGCAACCATGATGTCCTAAAAGAAAATCAGAACCATTTTTTTGCCATTTAAAACCGCTAAGACCAATTCAACATCATCATCACCCATTCCCATGATCTCAAGCCTTCTTAGAGTCAGCCTTCTCGAGCATGGACGTTGCGCTATCCTGAAGACAATTACAGTGTGCGGGCCAAGCAACCCATCAAATGTCATGCTATCATCCCATTGTTGAGCATAAGGTTATGGCTGAATTACCCCAATTTCACTCACCTGAAAATAGCCTGAAAATAAGGTCTTATAGTCTTATATTGGGGATTGGGGAAACTGTAAACTTTCACGAAAGGTACATTCATCAACAAATGGTGGTTTCGAAAAGGGGTTTCGACATGTTTCGACAGCAAAACAATGGAGTTGATTGTTCTTTTGTAAAGGGGAATCCACTGTTTTTGGGGTACTGTACCCCATTTACATTCATAGAGAAAGACTCAAGCGAGGGGAAAATGGGAACAGTGGCAAACCAACAGTTGTGCGCTGGCTGATGGTTACAGTGTCTATGAAAAATCTGAAAAATCTCGGATGGAACATTTATCTCTAATGTTTTTTGTTGGTGTCATGTTTTTCCATTTTCAAATATGACACCCTGCTTATAGCTCGAACATTCGCAAACCAAAAGCTATAACGGTCAATACAGTAGCATATAATAAACAACCATACCTCATATATAATAAACAAACATGCCTCATATACCTTCGGCTGTCCTTCAGGTGGATTTCAGACCTCTCAGATTTGTCTTTTTCATTTGACTAGTGTCTAGTGCGCATTCATGGTTTTAAGTCTAGTCCTCAATATCATTGTTAATCACAATGGTTTGCCTCATTTTCAGACAAATCCGTTGGGGATGGGTAAAGACTCAAAAACCAATGGCAGCAAGAAGAAAAAAACATTATGTACACCTGCTGACAAATGCAACATTTGCTTTATCTAGTTGGAAGTATTTAAATATTCTAGATTAATTGCATGTTCTGCACGACAGGTGAAACCATATGGTTTTGCCACATTTGTATTGACTCTTTGGTCCCCAAATGTTGGACCATGAGATCCCTTAGCATCCAATGATCTCAAAACCAATCTTAAACATTGATCTTCATCTATTGAGATCCCAACTCAACAGAACTAAACATGTTGTGCAAATTTCCAGTTCTATGTACAAGAAAATCTCATCTCTATATATATATATATATCTATTACGCCAAACGTCCCATATATTGTTTCGTTTACCCACGTACTCAAACATGGCTCGCTGGAAAATCCACCATTTACTTCGATGATTTTCCCAGCGAACTAAACCTCCATGGCTAGTGTGGTGATTTCCTGTTGCTACGTTCGATGAGCAAACAGTTTTTGCCATTAATCACTACCCTTTTCTTGTTAAATCCCTATGAACATCACCATAAAATCATCCCGAATTTTGGGATTTTCTTCCGGCAGGATTTACCATCTGCGTCTTTCGCTTTCGCCGGAGGCTCCATCTCACTCTGCGCTTCCGTCATGTCAATGTTTTCCGCCTTCTCAAAGTCGTTCACCAGCACCTGGCGCAACGTCAGACATGGCCAGCCTTAGAAGCAATGATCCCCCAATAATGACTCCCAAAAAAACATGTTTTCGCTGGCTAGCACGCTTCCCCCACAAAACATGTAAATTATAGATAATTATCTAGTAATAAGTTGTACTGAACTAACCTCATCTAAATCTACCCAACTCATCCAGGGTTACAAAATCAACTCAGCAAGTTCCACAAAAATGGGTCTCAAACGATAGCTAAGTTGGTGCAAATCGTTTGGTCTCCAATTTCAATATAGTTTATGAATGTTTATGATACTTATACCATCTCCATCTTATAACATGGGGCTTCAAACCCAACAGCCATCACTTCCGGGGCTCCACTCATCCCAACAGCTGGCACCGACAGCTGGTTGGAGTCCACCGTTGCGAAACCGCCCGTGACCACCAGCGGTTTCCACTTGCCATCCTGGAGCCGAGGTCCCGATTGAATAGGAAAACCATGGGAAAACCATGGGAAAATGGTTCATAATGGTGAATAATTAGTGACAATTGGTGATTTCTATGGTGATTAATATGGTTAATAATGGTTTTCATAGTGGCTAGTAGTAACTTGTTATTTCTATGGGATTGTATCTTCTATAAAACTTATAAATGGGGTGACTTGTCAGTACTTAAAACTGGTATAACTTGGGCCATTTTTCTGTAGTGAACACCAGTGAACAGTGGGATAAAAACACCTGGGCAGAGAGAGAATACGGTGTTTGAGTATAAGACACATTGGAAACATGGATATCCATTTATATATTGGAACATGGGAATATATATAAACATGGATATGAAACATTGGAAATATGGAACTTTAAATGGATTTTATGATGTATATAATATATATATATGATATATGGGAATATTTCATAGAATTTCCCAGATTGACACATGAAATATTTACTTTTACAACCAATCCCGAGAATATGAGATAAACAGATTCAATCATCATCCCATGGCTAGGGGGAAAAGAAAGCACTACATTGCAGCACTACATGCATTACAAAGGATATGAGTTGAAACCTCCAAACTGAGATTTGGAACATGTGTCTGATGTGTTTAAAGCATGAATTTCAAGAAGCATGATGATATCAACACGCAGAATGCGATACAATCACATGCATGTATATCTTACATGCAATTGATCTATCCATCGATCCATCTAATCTATCTTTTAAAATTTTAGGATGTGTAAATACATAGTAAGAGTATACAAATATATATATACAATAAAATGAATCATCTTGATAATTAAAGAACCTAATAGCAACATACAGCAACATATTTAGATATAGGTTTAATAATGATAGTCAAACATCATTGATAATGAGCTGGTGAATCAACCATTCGCTCAATATTCTTGACTATCAAGATCATGTCATTTCATTACAGTATAATTATCGAATATTCAAAAAATGAATGTATAATTATAGTGTATAATATTGATAGTGTATATTGATAAGACTATAGATCAAATATTGGAAAATTGGTCCCAGAATTGTTTTCTAAGTTTTGGTCATATTCCGAATTACTGTGGACCAAATTCAGGGACCACATTCTGGGACCAAATTGCCGGATGCCACGCCAGTCTCCAAGACACCTCTTTGAAGCGAAGGACACCGGTGTCCAATGCCGACATCATAGGGGCGTGGTTGGCCAAAATGCCTCGGCGCCAAACAATGGGTGATGATGGTGAAGTTTTGAGCACCCGACTTTTGTTGCATTACAGGATACTGAATTGAAGCATCAATCATAGGGGACCTGCTGGACCTGTGGGCCGGGAGTGTGCCAGGATCTACTGATCTGATTGACGATTTCTTTCTCCATCCATTCCATCACCTTGTTGGATCAACGGATTACATGGACATCCAGTACTTATTGGCTAAGTCCAAATTAGATCCCCATTGTAAACTCATTAGAACCCAACTATAACGCATCCATAGAGCAAGATATATACCAACTAAGCCAACATCAAGTTTAAAAAACACAATGGAGTAACCGTGATTCTCCGCAATGCTGGCATATCAAGCAGTTTGCAAACCCACAAAAAAACTTGCTGAAACCCACTATATTCCCATATATTCCCATTACAATCATCCATGTATACATGATTTCCCACTAAAAACATTTTGTATATATATATATATACATAGGAGTACTATTTATACTTATGTTTATAGATGATTTTACCATGTTAGATTTAGAACTACCTCTATATTACCATTCAAAGTTGCCACGTGAGTCTTCCCAAAGGCTATCCTCTGGTAATCCAACATGGTTTGCTCCAAACTCCAGCATCTAGTTCGATGATGTTCCCATTAAAACACTGCTGTCCCATCATAGATTTTCAATGGGAACATCATTTAATGGGAACATCATTTTCCAAACCCATGGAAAATAATGGAAAATGATGTTCACCATCTTTTCTAATGGATTTTCAATCATTTTCCAATCTTTTCAACGAATTTTCCACGGATTTTCCCATTCAAACACGCCCATTCCGTTGCGACTTCCCCAGCGACGCTACGCGACGCTACGGCCGGCGCCGAGGCGCCGAGCTGTCCGGTGGCGCTGGGCAAAATAACCTCGGAGCAGGCCACGCTGATGCCGTCGCCCTCGGGAGATAGCACCTGGCGGAGATTTGTCCAGGGATTTGTTGGGATAAAACATGGATCACCATTTTTTATGGGTAGATCAACTATTTCTATGGCCATGTTCAATAGATTAATGTTGGTACAACAATCCCTATGGATCCAGCCGTACCTTCTTAAGAAGTGGCCAAGGGGTATGATTGATGGGGTTAAGCACCTTCTCAGACAGTATTTGGATCCATAGGGTATTATTTAATGGTTATTAATTCAGTTCTTCACCTTTTTTTTTCTCGAGGGGATTTAACCATAATTTATTAGGATTTAATTGTTGATGGGATAAAAAACCATGTGATTTACTGGTGATTTCATGGTAGTTAGCCACAATCTAATGGGATTGAATGGGATTCTTAATGGTGATTTTTTGAGGGGATGAATAAAACAACAATTTAATGGGATTTGATTGAATGGTTTACCGGCGATTAACCGGGGCAGAACAATGGAACACATATATATACATATATAGATTTTAAAGAACAATTAACCTATAAATGAAAACACTGTGTATCTATCTAAAAATGTATATGTATATATATATATCTCTCTCTCTCTCTCTCTCTCCCTCTCTTTCCCAATATCTTATATATATATATATAAATACATCATATATTAAACTATACATTATGTGGTTGGTGATGTGGCTGTATGGTAGATACATTCAATGGATGCTTCAGCTATGGCGTGGCGCTGGTGATCTCTCCTCTTGGTGGGATCACCCAACTTTGTGAACGGCTTACGGAAGCACCTTTCAGGAATTGTCCAAGAGACATGACCCAAAAAGATCTCCATAAAGTATCCGTATTTTAGTAGTAAAGATCTAGTAGATTTCCATAGATTTCACAAAACTTGTGAAAATAGATTGTCCCATTGAGAACCAAAATCATCTTCAGCAAGTCCTTACGTTTTGAGTTGTGCGATCCTCCACCTCCGCACCTTGAGTTTCAATCCTGAGCCATGGATTGAAGGAGAGCTGAGCTTGGGACTTATTCAACGACCTTATGGGAACCCTTACGGTCGAACATAGTAGAACTATGTAGAACTATTGTTTAGACAATTGGTATTTACCATTTCATTAGTGGATCATAGTATGAACTATTTTCCATCCTTGGATCAATAGATACCAACAGTATAAACTATTGTTTAGACAATTGGTACCCATGCGGGTTTCCTGCAACTGTTCCATTGGAAAACCAATTCGCCTGGATGAATGTCAAGTTTTGCTTGGATGTGCCTGGACGCTCTGAGAGCCATTCGGAATCATTGTGACAGGTAGGGATGTCATTTACAAGAACGCAATGCCAACCAGTCAGAAAGTGGTCAGTAGTTATAGTCTGGGTTTGCAAGACTACAAACTAGGAAAAACACATTGGATGACACCTCGAAAATGTCGGGCAGGCTAGATGTAGCCCTTTGACTCACCATTTGATAAAACACAGCGATGCTTAGGGTCAGCCCTTGGGTGAGCCTGACGCTCAGCACATTACTACTCTTGAGTCTCAACTTGGTCTGCTCGATGGCTGCTATTGTTGGGAACATGATGTTGCTGGACTTGAAGACACGGAATTCGTTGACATATTTGTTTTGCCCTTCGGCCGTTTCTTCAGCTTTTCTCACTTACAAGGTGTGCAAAGCCCCATGGGAACCGTAGGTTTATATCCACCACACAACTATACCCTGTGGTAATTTAACAGTTTGCTATTGAAAATGACCCAGTCGAAATAGTTGATTTACCCATGACAAAATGGGTGGATCTTTCCATCGTTTTTCGTATGTTTACCAGAGGGTACTTGACCTGTAAACACCACCAAGAGGTCTTCGGAGATTTGAACGAAGACACGGCGAAGCCAGCAAAGAGCTCTTGGTCTTCGCATTTTTTCTGGTTGGTGGTATATCTACCCCTCTGAAAAATATGAAAGTCAGTTGGGATGAGTATTTCCAATATATGGGAAAATAAAAGCCATGTTCCAAACCACCAACCAGTTTTTGTGCAATGGCAACAAGAGCCATTAAAAATACTCTGGTTGATTTCTTAATATTCCGATTTAAGTTGGGATTATGAAAAGGAAAACTGCCGAAAGGTTCTACTGTATGAAAACCTACCAACCAACCTTCGTATCATGAGATGGGATAGGGGATGATTTTTCGGGGTATCTCTAATGGCTCACAAGGTGGCAAACAAACATGGTTTTAATCCTGGTTAGGTCATAGATCTGATCGATTGCACTTGACAAATCACCCTTTGGGAAGCTATCTGTTTTCATGAAAATATGGAAATGACAAATTGCACTGTAAATATCTATCTTTTTCCCATGAACAGCTCCATTTGCAATCAGCCATGTTTGATTACTCGTGTTAAATATGAAATTCATCCGTGTGGGGAATGAGAAACACTATATACAAGTTATACAAGTATCAACAACATGACAAACGCCTTCCAAAGCCCAACTCTGGCTAATGGATACCAAAATTGTATGGGATGAAATGCATCTATAGCACCCAAACCCAGCAAAACTATCTGAAACATTCTGAAACCAATGAATATCAATGAATGGTTGGACACTTCCCTGGTCAACCCATAGATTCTCTAGATGTTATCCTTCCCAAGACAACTAGGAATATCACCATGATCACCCACACAATCCCAGACATAATTTAGTCAAAAACAGTTTGTATTGATTTCGTACTATAGTTTCACACTAAGCTCATACCAATTTCATTAAACAATTTCGCAGCCAAATCCCTCAAGCCAAGATGCGATCCCCGGGCGCCGGGACGTACTCCTCGACTTCCTCCTCCTCTGCCTCCGCCCGCCTTGCTACCGACGGCGCCCGCTGCGTCGTTCCGCTGGGCCCCACGAAGGACTGCAGGAAGCGCTGACCGCAGAGGGCGACGAGGCCCAAGAGCCTTGGGAAAAATGGAGTCGTGGACAATTTTTCTCAATTTATATGGGATGCATGGGAGAATGAACCATCTGCACATGGGAATAAATGGAGAATTGGGATATGATAGTAGGGATATTTGTATTTTGTTTTCTTCTATCTTACGGCCGGAATTGAGCATCGAAACATGATAAACATGGTGTCATAAGCCTTGCAAAATGTAGGAAAATCATAGGACATCATCATTGGTGTATCATGGGAATATCATGGGGATATAGTGGAGGTACCCTCTGGTAAACTAACAGTTTGCTATTGAAAATGGCCATAGAAATAGTGGATTTACCCATTAAAAATTGTGATTTTCAATAGCTATGATCGAAATCTGGAGATTTATGGGTACAGTGGCTATTGCCATCCGGTGTCATCACATGGCTGGGAAAATCTCGGAAATCCCCGAAGTCAATGGGGGTTTTAAAGGGAACATCAGCAATAAATGGAGGATTTTCTATTGCCATGTTTGACCACCAAAGGGCCCATCTAAGATATATATGGAAATCGCATTGGAAAGAATCTATATTTTTTGTTTTTTGGCAGTGACCCTGGACCCTGAAAAAAACGCAGAAAAGGGTTCAATGCCACTCACCATTTTAGGATTGGAACTGACTTGTCTGTCTCTTTTTAAGGACTGCTATATTTTTTGCAATGATTCAAGTTCAAGTGATTTTTGGGTTATTTGGGTTATTTACTGAACGATTTAAGGGTTTTAATTGAACTATGTAAGTTGTGAAGCCTGATGTATTTGCATTGTGTGGTGCCCCCAGCAGGCCATAGTTAAACTGGTTGTTTCCACCAACTTCACAAACTGTGGGGCGCCATCTGGTAATTGTCTATTATATAAACCTACATTAATATATACATATTATACTGTGTAGGCAGGAGGTTCGGTGGATTTGTTTTGCACGTCTGCGGCCAGGCATTCTTGAAACACCTTGGCCCTCTCAATGGAGGATCTTTGCCACAAAAAAACCTCCGGAAGTCGATGGTCCAAACAATTTTCAAACAACCCCAGGTAAGCTGCTTGAAACCTCCTGTGCTCCTTGGATATCATAAACAAACAACTGAAAGCGTGTTTGCAACATGAGTTTGCCCTACTCCAGGATGTGATATATCCCAAGGCCATCTTTGATTACCACAGGTTGCAATACCCTAAATGATCTAAATGCATCCCGAGAGCATAAGAGACACCACAGGAGACGAACGCGCCATGGCTTTTCTATTCTGGAAAATGCTTGTGTCCAATGTTCCAACGGCTGGGCGGGGCACTCGATCTGGACCGGTGGCAGCGGCGTACGAAACGGGGACTTCACCAAGCAAAAATCTGGTTTGATCCATTTTTTCATGCATCTGAGCCCCTAAATTGGGCATGTCCAGATCTGTCCAGGCAAAACTGGGATTTACCCCTCTCGTGATTTCATAAGGTAAATGGATAGAAAAGAGACAATGTTTGGATCATATCCCTATTGGGCTTGCTCATCGCCTCACTTCTCAGGAAGGTATGCCGAGCAACACAATTTGGGATACAGATTGCCACATGATGAAGTACAAATTGGTCAAATTACATATTACAATTCTGAATTGGATCATGTTCAAAGGGAACATGATCTTCGAAAGCCATTTTGTATAAATCATGGTTTCATCCTCTTTCAACGAATCCATCCCGCTTCTTGTGCATAAGCGCATCGCATCAGCTATAATTAATTAGTATATATATTAGTATGCCTATTGCGAAGTGTAAAAGTCTACTTTTCGCCTGAATTTTATGCCTTTGTCTTGCTATGAAATCCATGGAATTTCTTCATGTTTGACCCTTCCGCGGCCATGGAAAGTTACCGCAGGTGCCGGGTGTCTCTTTCATCTCTTCCACCAACATGGCCGCGGCTTCGTCTGACTGCTGGTTCAGTGTATCGACCTCCAAGGGAAACCCATGGAAGGTCTGGGTCCATATATGTCAATGGTAAGTCCCAAAAAGAGAAGTAAACCAAGTAAACTTCCACTTCAAAAATGATGGTCAACTACTAATTATTCTTAGTATCTTTTTGGGGTTGCTACAAGATGATTTAATCTGGGAGCTTAAAATGTTTCTATGATCTGATGATCTGAGCCAAAGAAGCTGATTTTTCTGTCATACAAACTGAGATTATGGTGGTGAGCTCCCTGTAGACAAGAAGTGGGTGCCACAAAGAAGAGTCTGCTTAAGCACAGTTACTCCACTCAGTGGGTGAGGAGATGGCAGCAGGAAAAACAGCCTAAGGCTAGGAAAAAAAACCTGCTGCATGGAAGACAATAGCGGGAGACTGTTATTTATAGAGAAAAGTAGGATTCCAGAGGGTAAAGAGGTACAGTAACTTTGGAAAATGATGTGACAATAGTAACCTGCATCTTCACCCTACTTTCTTATACAGTTTCGAAGCAACCCCGGCCATGAGAAGACTAACTCCAGTTGCTTTTCAAGCGGGGCGATCTTTCAAAAGTTGAGACAACCAGCTGACTCACATATACCCTCCAGTAAATTAACATAGACCCTGCCAGAGGGGGCTTGGAAGATTAGTTTCCACTAGAAATTGACGAGATTCAGGGTCTGGGTTAATTTACCAGAGGGTATCCATCATATTTCCATCATACTCCCCATCTTTAAAGCCCTATCACTTATCACATGAATGGCACGGCAACTATAGTCCCTGCGACTCCTTTCCCCGCCTGGCGCAACAAGTCCTTGGCCTTGTCGATCATCTCATCTCCCAACTTGTCACCTGAGCTGGACACCCTCGGGTTTTGCTTGTCATGGCTGGTTTCAAGATATGGGGGTACCCCAATAGCTGGATGCGTCAAAAATGGCTTATTTATATTTCATGGAAAATCCGCGATTTTTTCATGAGTTTGGGGCTTTTAGGAAACCTCTATGGTGACCACCAACATATCGGAGTCAGGAGTTGAAGAATGTTGAGAGGTACCCCAATTCTGATAGCATCCAAGGCGCTGTCGAAATCGGGTCCGGCTGGTCCTAGGCTCAGGACAGTGGGTGACTAACTCCGGAAACTGTTGAGTGTATGGTACAGTTGTGGCCCTTTATATACCTGTTATAAGTACTGATAACCCCATTTATAATATGTATAATTCCATTTATAACCAGTTCAATTTCCAACTATATAAAAAATATACCGTAACTGTAGACATATCGAACTAGTTCACAGGGCTTCTAAACCAATACGGCTATCGATCGGGGTCTCAACCTGGTACATCGAACATCAGCGAACTACATAGGCCATCTATAGCGTATCAAACCGTAACAAATTAACAGAGACCAATTTCAGGGTAATTCCATCTAACACCATCGAACTAAGTTTAGATTTATACAAGGTGAGGCCCCCAATGATGTTCGTTGGTTAAAAAAAACATCTAACTATACGTCCTTGCAATTATAAGTGCTGATAAACCGAGGCCACACCTGGAGGTGAAGACAAAGGAATCTGCACAGGGTAGATTCTGGTTTCGTAATGGGCACAACCCCGTGGAGCTTGGTCAAGAAGAGGCTCGTGTTGCTGATTTCTATAAGTCGTTCAACAGCAATGACACTTCACTCGTTCGACCGCATTGTCGAAGTTGTACTGGGGCAAATCCAGCCAAAATAGGGCTGACGTCAGCCTTCTGCATTTGAACTGCGCCTAAAACCCAATCTACTGTGAGGTCTGCAGCAGCGAGCAAGAAAGGCACCACAGGAATCTGCGTTGCCTTCTCAAAATGTCCGGCTCTCTGCCGCGGCCGCATTGAGTCCGCGACACGAACACACCCCCCACCTTACCCAATTACCCACTTCAGTTTTTTGAGGGTCAGCTCTTTCAGTGAAGGCTGGATATCTTGGTATCACTTCTGGTTGGTGGTTTCAACCCCTCTGAAAAATAGTCAATTGGGATCATTATTCCCAATATGATGGGAAAAATAAATGTTCCAAACCACCATTTCCACCATTTCCGATAAGCGTGCTTGCTCGGGGTAAGGAACGAAGCACCACGCACCAGAGTAATCAGAGGGACAAGCGACCCTTGTTGGGTGGCCTGTCAGCCTCGGCAAATGTCAACGTGCAGGGCAGCCGCTCTGCGGCCCAAGTCAAATTAAAGAAAACCATCACCTCTACCAGCCAAGCGTGCGGACAGTGGCCCAACAACGTCGTCACAACATTCTCCAATTGCTTAGACAGCAACAAGAACGTCGTAGCGGGGCCAAGGAATGAACTCACATGTGACCACAAATTCGTCCAAACTGTGCGAAACTTGCCAGTCCTCCACACAATCCGCTGCTGACATGAGCGGTGAAGCACTTCAAAGCCTAGCCAAATCTTAGGAACCAACCAGAAACGATCGCGGGAGGGACCCCAATCACCAATCGCAATCTTAGCACGAACCATCAGCTGAAGAGTGTACACCCAAGCGGGCAAAAGAAAGTGCGCCACCCAGATGTTCAACCGCAGTAATCGTTGTCTAATCTGTTTCAAGTCAGGGACCTCGACCATGAATCCAGGCAAAGAATCCAACCAGGGCGAAAAGCTCACTTGTGGAACAACCATGGCTGTATCAAGGCTCCTCATACCTTCCCAAGCAGTGTTGGTGCGTGCCGAACTGCCCGCACTGACTGATTGTTTGAACTCAGACTTCTCAAAGCGAAAAGGTGCTGCTTCTGCGCTATGGATAGGGACCAGGGAAGCACACAGAGTCCAAGGTGGGTTGCAGGAGCTGCCAGAGCACGCACTTGCTGCTCAAGACATGTGTGGCGAACAAGCCGTCGTAGTCCCACGAATCCTGGAACCTGACCGTCCGAACAGAAGTTTGCCGGTGCAACAATTGCACCCCCTTCGCAATGTAGACCACCATCAAGACAAGGAAAGGCCACAACCGGGTAGCCAGCGTCATCGTCAAAGCGAGACAATGACAAACGGAGACTCACGAGCCATGGCAACGACACATGGAACGGTATGCAACCAAAGCAGGGTGTACTAACCGCTCAACGATTAGCCAGCCCCGCTGCACCGCTGAACTGGGAGGAGTTGAGCCCGCAGCTGTTCCAAACCACCAACCAGCTCATTATATCTATTCATCTACCTGTCTATCTGTCTATCCATTCATACATTCATGCATCTATGCCCAAAAAAACACCAAAAAAAAACATATGTGTTTAAGCCATACAAACCATAGAATAAAACCATTATATGGGTTTGTCTGAAAATAGTGTACCCCATTTACCCAATGGTTAATGATCATTATCCCTATTAAATGGCTATAATTTGGGAATATACCCTATTTTTCAGTTATATACCATAATTGGGAATGTAACTATGGTTTATGGTACTTATAACTATAGTTAATTAATTTTTGGTTTATAAACCAACTTATAACTGGGGGGCCCCACATTGTACCATCCAGTAAATTCACAGTTTCCATCTGCCAAGTTTCCTCGCGGTCCTTGTGGACCCTTGGGTCCCATGGGTCCCGGCGGCCCGTGCGGCCCCTGATTTCCCGGCGGCCCCGCGGGACCGCGCTTCACGCCACCAGGCGGACCCTTGGGGCCGATGGGGCCTGGAGGCCCGGTGTAGCCTGGCAGCTGGGAACGTGCTACCAATGCTACCATGACACCATTGGGTTTCTTGATTCTTGATGATTATTTTGTTGTTGTACGTGATGTTATATATGGTTGTTATATGGTTGTTATCATTTATTAGCATTGTTATGATCACATTTTTCTGATTATGATTATGATGATGGTCAAGAAGAACATGAAAATAAACATAATCATGGAGCTATGAAACTGAAATGGCAAAACATAGACATGATCATCCGCATAACTATAATATGTCAGGAAAGTCTAAGTAGCTCCAACTGGCTCACCATTTCATAGGGAATACGGATTCCTATAGAACCTTAGGTTCCTCCTAACCATCATACAGATCATTCAAATGAAACGCCAAACAAAAATAAACAACATATATGAAAACTATGAACCATGTAACATCTACTACAAATCTGATTATTGTAAAGACTATTCAGAAGGTTATCTATTAATTGTTAAAATGACCATGATGGATCATCACTGATTCCTAATGATTCTTCATTGATCCACCAGCCGGCCGTGTCGCAGCAAGCCTTGAGGTCCTGCTGGACCCTTGGGTCCAGTGGGACCGCGATAGAGTCTGAGGTCCTGCGCACGGAGGCGACGCTTAAGGCGAGGCTTTTTTGGAACTTCACTGGAGATGTTGCCACCACCATTACCATCAATACCTGGTAGATATGTATAATTGTATATATATATACTATTATATACTCACTTATCATATATTCATATCATATATGCATATAGGTATAGAAGTATGATCATCTTGAATGGCGATGTTGATATGATTGACACGGGAAAATCCCTCGATTGATGATATATAATTTGTATAATTTAATTATTGTCGATTTCCAATATGTGGAACCATCGCAATCTGTCCAGTATTGTCTTACCAAGCAATGTTCCACTGATTGATGATTTCTCATGATACTTTCATAGAATTGGATGATGGGAAAATTTACAGGAAAGCCCTCTATTTGATGGTAAAAACCATGGTTTCCTGTAGATTTTCCCTTAAACCGATCCAGTGATACTTCTCCAATCATACATCAATGCGGATTCTTAATCCCCACTTAGGATTTCCCAAGGGATTCAGAGGGTAGACCCCAGAATGTATGACGCAGTCGGGACTTTGACACTGCAGCAAGTGGCTTGGAGATCATCGTTCCGGGTATGGACGTCTGACACGTTTTGAAATCACCAAACGACCTATATCTTTCACATTGTTAAACTATAGAGATGGGATATGTTCCATGACAAAAGGTGATTTCAGTGCGGGCTCTCAGGTGATAATTATTGGTTTATAATCCTATTGAAAACTAATTATAGCTCTAAACCTTGTAACTACCATAATTACACCTTTAACTAGCTCGTTATAAGCAGCATAAAGCAAACCACGTTATAGTTATGTTGGCCAAGTTGGAAAACCTTTTGGGGCCCCATGGCTGCCATACCCAGAACCCCGGCCTTTGGCAAGTTCACCCGTGGGCCCTTCCAGTCGTGCATGGAAATGGGCCTGTCTAACCGCTGCAGGGGCTGTGGTGAATCGCATTTCGCCCAGGATGACCGGAAATTAGGTAGTACAAGTCCCTATAAGTCCCTAAAAATCCCTATCTGGTTGGTGGTATACCTACCCCTCTGAAAAATATTATTCAGCTGGGATGATTATTCCCAATCTATGGAAAAATAAAAAATAACTTATAGGGACTTTTTATGGGACTTATTATGGGACTATATTACTTATAAGTCAATAAATATAATCATGGCCCTATAATTGTAAGTCCCTATTACTATAACAAAATATAGGTATTATTGATATAGATATTGATAGTATAAGTCCTACAATACAAAACCATGGTAGTAAAAGTCCCCACATGCGATTTTTGATGCCCAGCTGCAGCTCTGCCGGTGGCCCTTCCGGCGCGGCAAGCTCTTCCCACTGCGCCAGCGACGCAGCGCTTCCACGGGCGTCGACGTGCACGGCGCGGTGCTCGTGGTCGATGGTTGCAGCGTGGGTGGTCCACAGCACCTGGGGATGATGTGGATCCGGGTGAAGTTCAACCCCAGGAATTGTAGGTTGGTGGATGTTGGTGCTGAATGTCCCACTTCACATGGAATTATTTTTCTGGAAATGTTAGGGACTTATTTTTTTGGAATATGGAATTTCGTGAGGTTTGATGGGATTTAAAAGTTGGTAATTTGCTTGCAACCCAACTTTAAAATTGGACATTGCCACTACATCCTCCTGAAGTAACTAGGGTTGTAATTTATAACCCACTTGCAAACTGGAATGAGTCACCAAGTAAAGCTGATCACCCATGGGACCATTTTCATTAATTTGCTCATGGCCATCTCTTGATTTCACATACTTTACTTGGCGACTTCGATCATTTCTTCAAATTTTGCTTGGCCTGTTTTTCGCAATTTCTGCCAGCGTCAGTTTATCCGTGCACCAAGGGACCGCAAGGAGAGAGGACAACATCAGCTGAAAGTACCTATGCAGGTAGTGCGTTGCCCGAAAATGTCCATGAAACGACCATCTGGGTCCAAAAACTGAAGGAAAAAATCGTTTGCCCTCCGGGAATCAAACGTGACTTCCTGGAAAATCCACCAAAATTTCAGGATGTTTAAATAGAAAAATCATCTATATAAACGGGGGGGCAACTTCCATTGCCACGTTTGATTAACCAATGGTATGGCAAGTCTTACAGGGTCAATTGTGTATTACATATTATTAAAATTTATTAAACATTATGATACATCATTGGATTTTGGGGTGCGACATCTCCGAAGAAACCCAGATCCATGGGGTTTGGCACTTGGTGAACGGGTGGCTTGGTCCTAGAAGTGAAGGGAAAATACGGCACAGCAACTTGAAACCAAAGTATGTTGAAATTCTTTCTCTACAGTTATGGCCATGGCTATTAGTTATAACTGGCTATTTCTATGGGATTCTACATTCTATAAATAGGCATTTTGTTAGTACTTATAACTGGTATAGGGCCATAACTGTAGTAGGGAAAAGTACTTATGGACGTCCCAATGTGAACAAATGCAGTTCTAGAATAAAGATTGACACCTTTTCTGTCCTATCGCCTTGAGGAGGTTGATCGTCTAATTACATCACGACCATATTGAGGACTGCGTGCCTCACCCCAAAGCCCAAACGCATCAAAAGGGTGCTCAAGCAAAGCCATCAACATGTACCCCCGCCCAAAATTCAAACTGGCTTCTGGATGAATGGTGCATTACAACAATAACTTGTCAAGGTTTATTCTTTGGCTTCCTACCCCTAGCCGATGCAAACAGAATTCCCAAGCTCATCACCTTTCAGTCAAGTGGCATGGAGAAAATCTGACAAACAGCCTGTGGATGTTCCTTGGATGGCAATAACAAATGAAAGCGAACAAGTAGAGAATGCATTTATAGCCATTTATTGGTTATAATTTTTGGTTATTTTTATGGGATTATACATTCTACCAATGGGGTTATTGGCACTTATAATTGGTATTTTGGGCCCATCAGCTTGACACCTTTGCGAAAAATACCTTTCTGCACCGGTGCAAGGCGGTGCCTCCCAGTTATGCTCATTTGTTTACAACCCCCATCAACTAGTGCAATATATCCTACCATAAACCCTTTGGCTATTTCACTTATAAACAGGCTTCGCGATTCCGAACTGGGGCAGCATTCCATGCATATATCATCTTGGCTTTAGATTCGTTATATTCTCATTTATTCCGGGAAAAAAAAGAACAATCACCACTATGATTTTGTCTCTCTGGACGATTGGATTGCACCAATTTCCGGAACGCCAAGGATCAGCGACGCTGGCCGTGGTCGGGGCCCCCGAGACAGCTGGCGACGCAGAGTCGTGGTGAGTTCTTCCACTTCCACACCCTTTGAGCCGAAATCGGCGCAGGCCGTGCAGGAGAGGTCGTCCTAGTGCCAGAAGTGTTTTTAATATATTCATTTATATGAATATATATATATATATATAGTAATCTTCATTTTAATTGATTAATATGAACATCTGAAATATATATATATATATATATATATATATTCTTAATTACTCTAAAACTTCTATGGACCGAGCGTCACCAATTTTGAGAGGCAAATAATCGAACCGAATTGGCCATGACTTTCACAGCAAACTGTTCGTGTTCTGAAGGGTACGACAAATCACAAACTCAAACCATTGAGAACCCCCACAATGATGACCTCATAGCTTTCAGGCTTTCAGTTCTCTCATGTTTTATTATCTGGTTGGTGGTATACCTACCCCTCTGAAAAATATGAAAGTCAGTTGGGATTATTATTCCCAATATATGGAAAAATAAAAAATGTTCCAAACCACCACACAATTTCCCACACAATTTCCGATGTCGGCTTGCTCAGGGTTAGGAGCGAAGCCGTTTTGGCAGGCATCCTACGCACAGACCGTGCGGTGAGACGAAACGTCGTCCCCAGGCAGCGCATACCGTGGTTGTCTTCGAGCCAACGGTAGCGCCTGAAGCGGCTTGGATCCTCGAGTGCATGGACCAGCTAGCTCCATTGCTATCCAGTGCTCTGAGCCCCTCCAGCTGTAAGAGCTCCATCTGACTGATGCCGAGTTGACAAAACTTTGGATGGAATCTCCTTCAGCTCTGCATGCGGCCATTCCCACTTTCTGGCCTGTCAGCTTCAAGAACACTTTCAAGCAACGCCTGAACCATTTCAAACGCACCAAAAACGGGTTGCGCTCTGGGTCCATGTACGGACGTGTCAGGGCGTCCATCCACTGCCGGCCGGACTTCACCGGTCCTGGGCAACCAAACGTAAGTTGGTAGTCAACGTACAAGTGAGCTATGGTGATCCATCGAACTTCTCCTGCATCTGAGCCGGTTGTTCGATGTCGCCACCAGCGTCCAATCCGATGCGCCAGACCTGCTCCATACTCAGTTGCAAACTGTAAAGGGATGTCACCACCACATGCATCAATCTGGAACTGCATGGGAAAGGAGCGCGTTGGCCGCTCTCGTTGCACCGGCATCTCATCCAATGTCGTCTGGGAGTCTGTCTGGACGCTGCGCCGAGCCACTGCCACATGGAGGGCACAAACCTGGTTGTGCAGCTTCCGTGCGGCAAACGTTTGTCTGACATGCTCCTGCCATAGGTCCCAAAACTCTGCTGATCGATCCAAGTTGGCATGTTTAGCCACTCCGTCCACCAGGTTGTTGTACCATGTCTGCCAAACTTCGACACGACTGCGAGCCTGCAAAAGCTTGCGGTGAGCTGGAATCTTCTGCACTTCGACGTTGTCGGCACCCAAAGCTGCATAGGATGCCATCACCCACTGCCACAGGTCAGCACTGGCAGAGTTTGGTTTCAAGGCTGTCTTACCCGAGGTGAGCCGGTGGTATTTATTTACAACCCCCAAACAGTCACAGTAGATTTTTACCCTGTAGGTCCCAAGTGCTGCATGATGCAAAACCACAGCAAGGGCAAACAGTTCACCACGGTAAGCCGTTTGACAAAGTCCAGGGACATGACCCGCACCAAGCACACCACCATGTTGGAAGTCCCAAGACGGAGCACAAGGTTCAGCCAAAACAGCACCCCACGAGGCCACCCGGATGGCTGGGTCGGCCTGCCACAAACAAGAACCGTCAGTGAAAACCTCATTGAGCACACCCCCACGGAAACAACCCACCAACGACGGAACCTTACAAGGAACAGCATCCAACAACCGAAGCCAAGCAAGGTGAGTGGGCGGAGAAAGAGCCCATCCGCGTAAAACCAAGGCATCGGGCAAAAGTCCAAGGTGCTGCACAACATCAGGGGCAAGTTTGGTACGCAAGTTCAGGGTGTTGGGGCAAGCATAGTAGCGGTGCCGCAAGGAGTCAGGCTGGCCACACCACTTACATGTCCCATCGCCTTCATTCCAGTGGACATGTGCATCTTGTGTGAAGAGACCGCCTGCGAGGCTAAGGCGCAACATGCTTTGCTCATCAATGGCAAAATGGGCAAGGGCTTGTCTGGTGGTAGTCACATCGACCATGGCAAGGCCGTGGAAATCTTTGCGGTGTTGGACTGAAGTCGCAACCCACTGGTTCCATTGCCATTGCAAGCGGTGGCACAGTTCAGCAAAATTGATTTGGCCAGGGTGGAAAAGGCCGATGCGATCCTGCCAGTGTCCGGTGGGGACAACTGCAATCCCGATCTTTTGAATGCGCCCGAGCAAGACAGCCGCCGGTGAGGACGGGGGGCTATGCAAAAGTCCATTGGCAAGAGGGAAAAGGTCACTCGCCCAAAAGTCCAAAGGGCAGTTGAGGCGCGTCTCACCAACTGTTCGGATGAGGGCAACAAACTCAGGATCGGCATAGGCTTCAACAAGTCCAAGGAGGAGTAAGGGATTAACACCAGGTTTATCCATCCCTAGGGCTTGGTTGGCATGTCGTCGCTGTGCGAGCCAAGTGCTGTCACTGATGGGAGCACTTTCAACTGCATACAAGCCACGCGGCCATGCCACTGTCCGCAGTGCTCGGAGTTTGGCTTTATACCCTGCTTTGCTGTTTTTGAGCTGTGGCCAAAACTGACCAAGGGCCTCAAGGCGGCCGGTGACTGTGCTGTTTGTATGTTGGCGGGAAAACGCCACATGGGCTCCTAAGTCTTTGGCAGCATGTCGGACCGGGATGCCCTGAGCTCGGAGGGAGGCCCGCACTTCAGCTGAGGTGGACCATGCATATGTTTTCTGGCGGTCGACTGTGAGATCCGCAAGAGCCGCAAATTCCAGCAGTGCATCCAGCTGTTGAGTGGCAGCTTGGGCATTCCATGTCAAAAAGTCCCAGTTGTCCACAAAACTGAGCACCCGAAGTTGAGGGTATTGGGCAGCGACAAAACGGTGCATGAGATCATCCATGAGTAACATGCCGTAGCAGCTCAAGGCACATCCTTCGGCTAACCCGGTGCTGGTAGTAAAACCGCCACTGAAAGAGTCACGCACCTTGAACCGACGGGTCATTGCAGAGAGGGCTCCGCACCAGGCAGTCATGGTGGTCATGGGGGTTCCTGCCTGCACTGCTGCTGCAATGATGGGGTACCTCGGTAGGCAATTGAAGCATTTCTCTATGTCGGCGGTGAGCCCGCTCAAGCATTGATTCTGGTCATAAGCTTGCTGGATGCTGGTGACCAAGACCCGCCAGAGCTGGCTGGTTTGGTGATGTTTGCGATTTCCGTATATGTCTGCATGGCACCACTGGCTTGCTTGGTCAAGCAGGGATCTGGCATGGAGAGAACTGAAGGCTCTATATACCATGGAAAAATTAGTAATAGGCCTATAGTCTTGGGTGCTGGCCGCACCTTCTCTCTTGGCCAACGAGGCCACGCTGCCAGTGACCATTTGGATTGGCCACGACCCGTCGGAGCCTGCTCGGTTGTACAAGTGGCACAAGCTTTGGAGGGTGTTGTGGTCGCTCTGGATGATGTCGCTCCTGCTAACTCCGTCAAGGCCAGTTGCAGCCCGGGCCTTTTTGGCGGCAACTTCTGCTCGCAAGAGCTCCGGTGTTATGGTGACCGGCGCCAGGCGCTGGGATGGCATATGCGCTCGGGCAAAGGCAACCAGGCGTTCCCAATGGCTATGGGGCACATCATCATGCTTACACCATCTCTGTTTCCATTGTTCATGGAAAGCTGCAAACACGTCCTCAAGGGCGCCAAGCGGTTGGGTTTGTGTCACCTGTTGGCCAACTTGGATCTTAGACATGTCATTGAGATACAGGGTGTCCTCAGCAGCATGGATGATGGTGGCTGGGGTTGAGTCAATGACTACTGGTACCTGAGCATCGAAAGGGGCAGGCGGGTCAACCAACACTGCTGAATCTTCCGGTCGGAGTTCAGTTACCTTGGCCTTCTTCAGTACAAGCAAGCTTGTGACAGGTTCTGGCATGGGTCGTTTGGTGTCTTGGTAGATCAGGTTGGCATTGCGTTTGTGGGCACTAACCCGTGCTGCTGACTTGGCTGCATTGAGGGTTCTTTCTAAGGCACGGACTTCGCCAAGAAAGGCTTCACACAGTTGGCATGCAGCATCTGCGGAGGGTGGATGCACAGGCACAAATCCAGGGTCCTGAAGTCCAATGCATTGTCGTGACAACCACCACTCTTGGAAAGAGTTGGGAAATCCAGGCGCTTTGATGATGCTTCTCCAGAGCATGCAACCATGCAGCAGTTGATCACCTGTGGCTGTTCCATGGTGGGTGAGTGCCCATCGATGGTAGTTATGCATTCTGCGCAGTTGGCGAAGCCATCGGCTGTGCTGAACACTATGTCCATGAAAGGCAGGCTGGAAGTCACAGGAACGGCCTTTCCTTGGTGGTGCGGCCCATCCTTTCCTAAGCAAGGGTTGGGTCCTTTGGCCTCTGCCTTGCATCTGAAAATCTTTGTCGGCAAGGTGGGATTTGGCTTGCTTTTCTTTGGCACTCCACAACTCTTTGTACTGGTCAGTGGGAGGCCCAGTAGAGAAATCCAGCGGCTGGTCAAGTGGAGGGACGGTTGCCCATGGGACTGGCTTTGGCATGGGCCACAAGTACCTATGTGCAAAGGCCCCATCAACCTTAAAGAAGGCACGCAAGACTGAGTGATCAGCAAAATGATCATGGTCCACCACCACAGTTTGAAAGGATGAGACTAACTCAGGGGAAATCCAAAGCATGTCTTTTCTGGTACATCCCTTACAAGTTGGTTGGGGTTGGGTGCCAGTGTGGAGGCACTCCAGGTCTTGCACTTCACGCCAGCCTAGTTCCTGCAGGCGATTGAGGACTGGCAATTGGGCTGGTTCATGATTGAGGTCCCCACAAAGGTATCGGGGCCCCGTGGCAACATTGGTCAGGTGATCGATCAGGAAATTCAACATGGCTGAGGATCTGCTCAATGCATTTTGGTGCACCTTACCTTGGGGGTACCCGTACATTACAGCCCCAGTGACCCACACTTGGTTGATGAAGGATCCTGTGATTTGCACTCGTCCGGTTTCAAAAAGGTCAGGCGGCCAGTTGGCGCAAAGTGCGCGGGCTGGAACACGGGTGACGGTTGCAACCCCTGAGTATTGGCCTACATCGTTGGTGTTGATGCGGGCAGGCAACGGTGCACCTGTGATCACATGGTTGTATTGGCTGTGGGACTTCAGGCTAGTCGACAGCATGGAACGTGCGGATGCGGTGAGATGGGTCTCACAAACTTCAGAAAGAAGAACACTTTTGCCCTGTAACCCGGATGGATTACACACCCCAAGGGACCAGGTGTCACACTTGGTTGCAGGACCTGGCGTCTTGGCTTCACCAATGCGGCACTCGGCACTCCAAAAAGAACTCAAGAGAAGGAAAATCCAAAGCAAAAATCTTGGTGCCCTAAAGCTATGGTTCACCTGCGATGGGACTTTATCGAGGCTACCGGGTTTTCACTCATGCCTACCCTTCTTGGCAAGGATGGTCTCCAGCTTGCTCATCTGGTCTTCGAACATGTTGGACATGTGCGTCCGTTGGACTTCCATTTGGGAGACCATCTGGGCTTGCAAGGTCTGGAGCTGGGCCGTGTTTTGCCTCTGGTGTTCAGTAACGGTGCCCTCTAATGCCTGATGGCGAGAAGCAATCTGCTGCATCTGCCTCTCCAGTGTCTGTAGGCGATCTTCGGTGTCATCTGTTTCCATGCGGTCCATTCGATCCATGGGGAGCTTCTCCATGATGCTGCGCTCCAAGCGCTCCTCCAACTCCTGGAGTTGTGGTGTCATGGTCGGCGCAGGCTGCGCTGGCATTTTGTTGAGGGCCTGTTGCCACGGGTCATGGACGGTCCAAGGATCTGCATTGCTGGCTGCGGAGCACAACTCGATAGTGCTGGGTGGCCCAATCACAGTGCCATGTTCGGCCATGCCTTCACGAACTGAGTCACATCGGGAGATCATCACCTGCCCATGCTGCATGTTGTAGACCAACTGGGGAGGGTCTGTCACAGATTGAACAAGCCACATGACACCACCTGTGATGGGTCGGCCAGGTTGTAAAGGTCTGGCTTGCCAAGACCATTCAGCAAAAACACGGCCGATGGATTTGCGGTCACTTCCATATGGAAATGGGCCACATTGCCATGTCTGGCGTGCCCCGGGTGCAAGAAACTGCCCATCTGGCTTCAGCTTTTGAAAGACCTGCTGGAAGTTCTTGTCAGTGACTCGCAGTCCATACCTTCGTCCGGAACGTGCTAAGCCCAAACTCATTGCTTCACATTGCGACTGATGCTGGGCGGCAGCTAGGTCAGCCTGGGGAATCCATACCACCTGGAACTCACTGGATGGGGCGGATGCATCTGGCAATCGCGGCTCTATGTACACTCCATTGTGGCCAGACATGCGCAGCAATGCATACTCCTGAGCTTTGAGGTATCGTACCTGAACACTGAAGTGGCTTGCCTGTGCATGCTTTGTTGGACGGCCAGCATCGGTAAAGAACTGCCTACGGAACACATCCAAAAGCACATCTTGGGTGTTGTCAGGAGAGGTCGGATGCCACTTGTCACACTTGCAATCATTGGTACGGCACGTTTGGAGTGGTGGCAATGCCTGCAAAACCTGCTTGAAGGGATGATCAGACAAACCGGACCAGTCGTTGGGCCACTGGTCAGCAAAAACAGTGATGCGGGCACATGCAACGGGAACATCATGGATCATGGGGCTGCTACTGGTGAAGACCGGAACAATCGGTTGCTGTCCAAGCTGTACCAGATGTCCTGAAAGCAGAACTGGCTGATTGTTCACTGAGCAACAGGCAGCAAACCGGATGGAAGCCCACTGCAACGTGGTGTGCATTTCTTCAGGTCCATTGATCACCAGCATGGCGAGGCTCTTGTTGGTCAGTGTCTGCCCTGACTGCAGGAAAGGTTTGGCTTCTGTGAAAGACATTAAGGCGACCCCAACTGCTAAAGGTCCAACTTGAGAGGCTTGGATCTGCGGGGCAGGCATACCTAAGTCCATCTGGAATGTGGCTGGAGCAAGGGTCAGCTTTGCTGGGTCAATGTCCATGGGTTTGGTCGGAGCAACCTTTGGGCCTCCAATTTTTGGCTTCGGTGCCTTTTTGGCTTTGCGATCTTGCATGGCTGTGTTGAGCTCGTCCGGCAAAACCAATTGGAAGGGTGGATGTTGCTGGTTGGCCAAGTTTTTCAAGGTCTTCCATGGCGCAACTCCTTGCATGGCATGTTTGACTGGGTCGGTTCCAAGGCTCTGCATCACAAGCTTGGCTCTGGACGGGGCGGCATTACTAGGTACACCATGCTGCTGCAAGAGACTACTGACAACTGACTGGAGGTCAGGGACTCCAGTTCCCCAGCACCACGGTCGGGACACCTGCGAAAAACCCTCAAAGGACTGACGAAAAGTTTCTTTAAACTCTTCTGCTGCATGAAGCAACTGCTCTTCTGTTCCTGGGAGGGACGCACCAGTGAGTCGATGTTGCAAAAAGGCAATGGCAGCAGGACCACAGAGCTGAGCACCAAACTGTCAACGGGTGCAGGACACTTGGAAAATCGGAAGGCCAAACACGGAACACAAAAGTCCATGCAATCGATTAAGTCCATTGATGTCAACATCATTGTGTTCCCAAAGGATGACTTCAAGCGCGGTTTGTTTCAGGACCCACAAACATGGCGTCCAGTGACCATCATGAAGGATCACCGTTGCAATCCGGCTGAAACGTCTCTGCATAGAAGCCCAAGACTGCACTGATTCGGGTGTACCTGAGTGCAACCACGTGAGGGCAAGCAAAGGGTCCAAAACAGCAGTTTCTTTGGGCTTTGGGATTGGGGTGGCACTCAAATGCCACCAGATTTCATCATCAGCCCATGCATGCTCTTGGTTGGTCAGCAGGGACATACGGATGTCGGCTGGGATGACAGGGCGACGCATGATGGCACACAGTTCAACGTCAGGGACCAGTGGTGGCAACATGGAAAGCAACTGGTGGGACTTCAAATCCATTAACCCTGTGACTGTGGTGTCAATCCTGGTTGCAGGGTCAACCGACATAATTGCAGAGACTGGGCCTCGGGAATCAATGGCCTCAGTTCGGTGACCTGCTGGATCATCTTCAGACGCCAAGTCCATCTGGGTGGCAACTGTGAAGTCCACTTGCTCCTGCATGGGAGGCGGGTGTTCAATGGGGGGATCATTTGGGTACAGGTCTTCGTACTTTCCAATGGTAAGACGATCAAACAGCGCCAATTTGGCTTCATGGGTGGTGAGATTGTCTTCATCATCTTTAACCCAAATCTGATCCAGGGACATGTCATGAAGGCGACCATGCGCAATGATGAGGTCTTTGACAACTGCAGTTGGCGGAAAGGCCAAAGTCCATGCCTGTTGTCCTGGTTCCTGGATGGTGATGAGGCATCGATCAGGGGCACTGGGCTGGCTTGGCACATTTGGAAACAAGTCACGGCCCTGAGTCATAACCTCTTGTTTCAACATCTGCAGCAATGCCATGGGGTCAGCAGGGGCAGTCTCTGTGAACAACATGTGGACATGTCGGGCAAGTGATGCAGCGATCCAAATCGATTGCATAGGGCATGCCATCTGCCCAACTGCACAGAGGTTTAATCTTTGGTTTCCACCCCATTGCAGATTCAATGGCACCCCATTCAGCAGTGACACCTCCAAAACATGCATGTGTCTCCATGCCCCAGCCTGTCCTTCGGATGCAGGAAGTTGCAACAGCTGTGCGTAGATACCTTTGGAAGCAAGCAGCTCATCACTGAAACCTGTCGGTCTGCATTCACACGCACACGGCAGTGTCTGGTTTCCCCATGAATGGAGAGCTGTTGGCAGCTTGGCGTCCGGTCGGACTTGGTGTTGCCTAAGCATCTGTCCACCCAATTGGAACTTTTCAATTTCCAGGTCTTGCAGGATCAGCTGGGCTTCATCATTGGCCGGCCATCTATGTACATACGGCATGAGGTCACGGACAACCAGTGAGGAGCCTGTTGGAAAGGCTGGAATCTTCACTGGACCAATGCACGGATGCGTGGCTAAGACCCACCAACGGTACCTGCAGGCGGCCCAAACATTTTCCAAACGGAGAGAGCACTCAACAACATGGTATCCAAGTTGATCGATCAGGGCTTGCAAGTGTCCTCTGACGTAGTTGTTGTCACGTGCTGGGACAACGCACTCCAAAACTAATGCAGGGGATTGCAAAAGATACACCATGCGTAGGGTACCTGGCAGGGATGTTGACCGGCTGTCAAATTGACCCCTCTGTGAACCTCCACGTGAGTACGGCTGGCATGCAAATCCTGACATGATGGTGCATGGATCTGGGCAATGGGCAAAAACCTGGCTGGCTGTGACATCTTGGGTGATGTCTGCACAAACGATCGGAATTCCCGGATGCAACAGGCTATGAAGCTCAGCAAGCTTTGGCTGGCATTCCACTGAGCATTTGTGTCGAAAACCGGCACGGGTAAATCCAATGGAAGACAGACCAACACTTGAACAGATTTCAACCAGGTTAAAGACATGGTCGGCGCACAAAGGACGGTGAGGAAGGATCACACTAGACTCATCCAAAACCAAGTCCACCACAGCACCAGCAGACAGAAAGGAAGCCGACACGACTGAAACCCTGGATGCACCGGTGACCTCAGGGGGGATAAGTCCAACTAGCCTAACCACCTGCTCACCCGGGATCACTTTTCCCACGCCAGAATTGGGACTCCAGATGATGTTGTCCACCACAACTGATACTGAACTGCCATTGCTAAGACAAGACCATGAGGGTCGAAAAAGATGGTCAAAACCAGTTTGTTCAGTTGAACCAAACATTGTGGCCAAACCTCCCAAACATCGGCTAAGCGAAAGTCCCCGGCTGTCACGGTTTTGGGCCAAGACTGTTCCAAACCACCAACCAGTTATGATCTATTTTTGGGCTAGATTGGGAAATTTATCGGCCTGACTCGTAGTTACCTGACACTCTTGATCCTCTTCCGGAAAAAAAAGATGCAAAAGATCTGAGCAACCAACAAGACAAGGTGAAGCCCCCTGCACTTATGTTTTGGGGTTATAAATGGTTATAAAGCCAGATATATCATGATATATCATGATACATCCACCAGAAACCATAGAATTCACCTAGCTTATAAACCATCTTAGCCATCCTTTGGCCTCACGTTCTACCATTTTGCATTGATGTAGGGAGGCGGATCGGCAGTAAATCCTATAACAATCAGGCTCTGGTTAAGGGGATGGTCGGGATGGTTTCTAATGTTTCTATAAGAACCATGTCCAGCAAAATTGGGGATGGCGGGATGGCTCACTTTTGGCTTTACCACACTCTTCAATTTTCTTGCATGCCGGCGAAAAAATCTACCACTACGGCATCCGGTAACATCTCCCACCACGGCTGATCTGAGAATCCTTGGGAGTGATTTTCCACACAAAAGGCATCCCATCTGGCTATATCTAATCATAATACAATGTATTATAATATAAACTATATAAAGAATTAAGTATAGATATTACCGTACCTCACCAAGTATATTATGTATATACTGTATATATATTACAATTCTACCAACTCACCAACCTGAACGAAGGCAATTTCGGAAAAGCCATTCAGCACCTTGGAGTCGAGGATGAAGCTTGGGATCAAGCTCCTGCGCGTCAACGGCCTTCATTGGGAGAGAAATTCGGGATGGTGGATCCTATTGCTTTGCCACCATGAAGAACTATAGGCTTTAGTTGTTGGTTCGATTGTTGAATAGAACCTCCGGTTTCAAACCACTGGTATTTATCTATCTTATTGATTGCCCTATATTGGCATGTAACTGTAACAGTAAAGTTCCGATGTACAAGCAAATCTTGAGTAAACATAAACAAACCATTGTTTGAGTGGTCTTGGAGCCAAGTGATTTGATGCTGGCGAAGTGCTGAAAACATGGAGCGAAAACATGGCCGTTTCTCCATTGGTCCAAGGTTCTCATAGGAACATACAACATACATCATCTTTGGACTTCTGGGGCGTGCCAACCATATATGATGCGCACCAGCAATTTACAGCATCAATTTAGAGAATAAAAGGGTGTTGGGTGGAAACAGGGGAGTTACAATAGCAAACCATCCCCAGTTTGCGGTTCTTTCATTCCATCTTATTTCTTGGGTGTCATTACATTTGTACTTCGGATGATTTTTCATCGCCCCTTAGAGGCCCCAAAGGTAGGTTTTTCTCCATTGGTCACTGATTAAAAAAACAACGATTGAGGATCCCACGATGATCTCACACGCTTTTTGACCCGCGGCTCAAAAATGCGGCTCGATGAATTCCTTCCCCTAGTGACCTAGTGTGGATTGGTTGATCCGGAAGCACCACAGTTATGGCCCAAGTTGTACCAAGTATAAGTACTGAAATAACCCCATTTATAGAATGTATAATCCCATAGAAATAACCAGCTATAACTATAACTAATAAATTGTCAGAACTGCAATAAATAGAATTAATAGAAGCAGATCTCTTCAATTGATTCCCCAATCCTAGTGACTCTAGTGGATTTTCCATTGGGAAAATAAGCCAATAATCACCGACAAACCGCAAATCCAAGTTTTGTACAGCAATCGAGTGCAGCAATCTATTTGTGAATGTGATCCAAGCAAAAACCCACAAAAAACAACATCCAATTTGCTGTTAGTTAGTAAACATTCACATTTATGTTTTGAAATTTTGAAACATGAAACATATCAAGATATCCATCCAAGGTTTACACGGCTTACAACCTTTTTGTTTGTTTATTCGTAACCTCTCTGCCTGTCGGCTGAATTTCTATGGCGTCACTGCTCTTCATCCGCTGCCGGCGGAACTTTCAATGTGACATGCCGATACATGCTATGTTTATCCATCTTGTTATCTTGAAGTAGCTAGATCATCTAGATATTCCAAGTGTGTGGCACAATCCAATTCGTCCGTCTGATGTTCATTTATGTTCCATATTCCTGCAAGATAGTTCCAGTTCCTTGTTACAACACCAGCCACCACTGCGGAACTGCGGTGTGCACCACGAGGTTCAATCCGCCAGGTTCCGGCCCCCAGGGCCCCCAGTTGTGTTGGTTTATGACCTCCAAGCATAAGATAAACAGAATACACAGTAGTTCTATCCACCATAAACGTACGTAGACCAACTTATGGAGTCAGTTTAGCTATTGGGAGCCTCAGCCTGGAACCAAAAGAAACACATTGATGCAATTTACCCTGAGGGATATACTGGACTGCCAGCACAAGAAAGGCACGGTAAACATGTGTAAACATGATCATTTCTTGCTAAAACAATGAAACAACTAGGAATTGCAAAAATATAAACATGTAAAAATCAATAAATATCAATAGGCCCAAAGACGCATCCTTTCCCCACAATATCAAAGTCACCCTAAAAAACATCCCGCTGTCTATTTGGATCCATTCATTTTGGCCCTTCGGGCTCTGAAATCCCCAAAATGTGATGGATGTGAGGAACCCAGCAGGCACTGGTTGGAAGCAAAATTGCGCCTCTAAGATGACTTTCGGTAGCAGTCACATGCATCACTTTCCTGCACGAATTTTCAATCATGGTATCATGGTGATTCAGTTGCCGATTCATGCTGATTCCAGTTGCCATAGTGCCATAGTGCGCAGGTGGCTACCAACCATCAGCTGAAGACGGGGGAATCAAATCTGCACCAAACGAATTCATTCTATCAACGCGTCCATCAGTTCAGTTCGGGAACACTTTTCGGGCAGGTTACGATGGACATGGTTTGATGCGCAGCCCATCTGGCACTCTTGAAAACCAAATATAGCTTCTCGCCCATGGTTTGTCCGGTTGGTGGTTTGCTTACTTGGATTTTGTTGGGGATTCCTGAAGCCATCAACGATCAAACATGTATTTATTAGGACCCGGGTCGTGAGCTGTTTGGAAGTGTGAGATGAAGTGTTGGATCTTTCCAAAGTCGACTTGTTTATGCTGGTTATCATTTGTGATTAAATCCCTATTTATATCTTGGCCTTGGGCCACATGTCCATTATTGACTTTATATAAATTACTATTATAATAAAGCTCTTTGACAATAATAATCCATCTGATTTCTTTAAAATGGAATCTTGATGTTTTTTTTGGATTCGTACCCTCATTGATTGTTGGCCCTGTTGGCCTTGATCCCCCTTTAGGACACGCTTTCAATATGACCCGAACAGGCCCGAACTGTTCAGGACACGGTGCGTATTACGTTGCTGTGTCATCCCAGTCGATCTCAGGGGTGCAAAGGTTCTTGATGTGCACTTCATCCTGCGAATAAAGGCGACGAGGTGAGTCAGTAAGTCAGTAACTGCAACTAAAATCGGACTAACTTCAATAGTTGGGATAACATGTGGGTATATAATATACACAAAAACGCTTATAAATGGATATCTCTATTATATATATATATAGATATTAATAATGATTATACATGGATGTCTGGATGTCAACAATCTATCTATAGCTGGCTGATTTCGTACTGGGTGATTTCGTATACCCCTTTATTAATCCTTTATTTTTATCCGATGATACTTGGCTGCGCGATCCATGGGGCCGATGAAACCGATTGAGGTGATGTCACCAGGCTCATTGAGCTACTAACTACTGGTTGGTGGTTTTTCGCCCTACCCCTCTGAAAAAATGATGGAGTGAAAGTCAGTTGGGATGATGACTAATCCAATATATGGGGAAATAAAAGCCATGTCCCAAACCACCAACTAGTCTTTTTTGGTTGTGTCCCAATGTGTGTTGCAAATCCCGGTTGAGTTTTTTCTTTGTTTTCTGCATGGCGAGATCCCTGCAATGAAGTAGTGGGTTGCTGGCAATGCCCACAAGATTTAGTGGAGCTAGGTTACCCGCTGGCAACTTCACATAGCTATCGAACATGACACACTTCGACGGATTGTAGAACATTAAAGAGTGAGTACTAACCATAATAACTAACCTATGGATACCTATGGTAATTCGTATGATTCGTGACACTTTGCTATGGTAAACAATTATAGATGGCTACAGTCAGCCCCGCCTGCAGTTTGGGATGCCAGAACCTGAGCCCAGAAAGTCATAAAAGCCATGTTCCAAATGTTCCAAACCACAAACCAGTGAATGCATTGGATGCCATTTCTCCAGCTGTTTTCCATGTCCTGAGCTTCCCAGCATATCCGATCTGCGTGAGACGTCCTGGCCCAGTGGCGCGTAACCATGCCCGGTGTCATGGCTGAAACATCCCCCTCTCAATGATTACCCTCTGGTAAACTAACATAACTATGGAAAATCACCATTTTTAATAGGAAAAACCATAGGAACATGGCCATTTAATAGGAAAACCATCAGAAAATCATGGCAATTATATATCTGGTTGGTGGTGCAATAACCATCTTGAAAAATATGAGTTCGTCAATGGGACAGATGACATCCCATATATGAAATGGAAAATAAAAAACATGTTTGAAACCACCAACCTCATGATGTTCATGGAACTTTTATAGCAAGCCACTTCATATTGATCTTTTTTTAAGGCCAGTTTTAAATATATCATCAAGTGGCTTGGCTGTTGATCCATATATGATCAATGATTCTCAATGAATATCATCTTTTTGATTCCCAAAAATATGTTCCAGCCATGATGACACCAGAGGGTAATGCCATTTGGGGATAATCCATGATAATCCCCTTACCAACCAGCGTGCCTATGTGTGACGGATTTTTCCAAAGAACCTATATGGGTTTTTCCCCTAGGCTGACAGAACAAATATTGTTGGAAAATCCCGCCATCGGTGATGATGGGTTGATGTTCAACTGTAAATGAACCAAACAATATGGAAGTCCATGATTGTTTCGGCTTCGGAAACGGATCTACAGGTTTTTTTGGGGTTCCACACATCAAGAAATCACGTTGTCCACATATTGTAATGGAATAAATGACCGATGACCTTAGATGGTCCAAGTTTATCCACCAGTTCCAGACATGAAATATTCGCAAATTAGAGGGGGATGATTCTCCTGACAATTCCCATAAAACTCCGTGAGGTCATGAAAATAATCACCCAGATTATATTGATAATAATGTATCAATTAAATGATGTCCATTAATTCACAATCAATTATATAGTAATTAGTAATTATATGCAAAATATAAGATCTGTTCATCAGTTTACCGATCCATTCAGTATATGGTATGAACATGTATGAGCTAGTATTAACAATTATATGTTCATACATGTTCCATATGTCCTATTCTCACCCCCAAAATTACTATTCGAAGAGGCATTAAATCGTCTGAAATCTCTAGTTTTCTCCAGGTCGTTCATATTTTGACCCATACATCGTAACCCCATCTTAACCCCGTCTTTAATACAAATTAAAAACCCATATTGAGCATTTTGATACCCATATCTTATTACCCTCCAGTAAATTAACATAGACCTTGCCAGATAGGGGTTGGAAGATTAGTTTCCATTAAAAATGGGCGATTCTCAGGGTCTATGTTAATTTACCAGAGGGTAACATGTGTAAAAACACATGTTTTCCCATCGTTCCGGCCACAGCTAAAAGCGCGTCCTGGGCGTTCAATAGCTCCAGGAAATCACTGGCATAGCGTTGACACAAGTCCCAAGGCCTTGGCAGACCATGGGAAATTCAGATGGACATATATTGAAATATGGAAGTATGTTTTTCAACACATGGGGAAAATAAGGGCCCAATATGTATGCATGTATATATATAATATTATATAATAGGAATAGGAATTTTCACATTCTTTGAAGATTCAGATGGGGATTGAGTTGGGTTTTAGCGGGATCTAAAAGATTTAGGGGGAATTCATCAGGTTTTGGGAAGTCAGGTGCTTTCTTGGGGAATAGCCCTCGCAGTTAAGATTGGGGGTTTCACCCTCGGCTAAAGCAAAGCGAAATCAGGTGACTTTCCTCCATAGTCCGGGCCCAAAACTAAGGTGGACAGGGGAAGGTATAAGCATCAAAAAGTCTCAACTAATAACTAATGAGTACAATAGGACGTGGTAAATGTGGATATGTGGATGAGATGAATGAACCATCATGAAGCACGGTGCATGGTGGTCATGGAATCAATAAAGACAAAAAATACATGTGTTCAGAACCTGGCGATCGACTGGTCATCAATGTAAACTATCCTTTGTAACCAGTTCCATAGCAGGGGAATAACAGCAGGCTAGAATGAACTACTTAACCAGTTTCAATGTCTCTATAAGATTTCGTTTTTTTGATACTGATTTTGATTGATACGTATCAAGGAACTCCAATATTCATTAAACAAATCTGGATATCCAAAAAATCCTGGATATAATTCAGTGCTATGTTCCAAGCATGTTTGCCCTGCCACCTATCGCGTGTCCCCGGGCCAAACGTGCATCTGCATCACGTCCGCAAACTTCTCTGGGTGTAACTGACACAACCTCAGGCGGTGCCAGGGGCTTGAGATATAACGAAATAATTAGAAACATTGGGCCTTGAAATCCTTGAAAACGGGAAACAATATCAACGTCTGGGTTATGGTATCAAAGCCCCATACATTTCTGGTTGGTGGTTTCAACCCCTCTGAAAAATATTAGTCAGTTGGGGTTACTATTCCCAATATATGGAAAAATAAAATTCATGTTCCAAACCACCAACCAGATTTGGCTTGTCCCTCCAAGAAAACATGTGGGGCATGTGTGCATTTTCCATCTGTTCATCTACCAATATGATCTTCCAAATCTCTGTGACAGCACCTTCAGCCAAAGCCTTCTGGGAGACCCCGCTCTCCCGCTTGCAAAGTTGACATCCTCAAGGGGTGTGACAGTTCCGTCCCCCAAAACTGGATCAAAGAAAGGAAAACGGGAAACTCCTGGAAGTTGGGTGTCCCCCAGTTATAAGTCTTTGTTTAAGTTTCCAAATAAGACTACGAACTAAACCCTAGTTCTCATAGTACCCAAGTTCTGTGGGGATCCCAACGATGGGGCTGAGTCATCAGCCAATCTTTGTATCACCATTTCCTACAAGGTGGAAATACCCCCAATTAAAACAGTTGGTTTATATACTTGCACCCCATGAATACTACGTATAGTTATAACTATCATAAATCATAGTTATTGGAGTTCTTTGCACCAACTTGGCAATCGTTTGGGGGCCCTTAGGACACTCTGAGTAGCTCCAATTGGCTCCCTATTTGGATCAGAGATGCAACATGCATTTATGATTAAGAAATATTAAGAATTATCTTCACTGAAACATGATTGTGCTGATTTTATGGCCAGTCATGGTTACTTTATGAATTGGCGATGCTTAGGGTGAATTTCATGTGGTACGAAAAATGAATGATATACTGATATACTGATATATTTCATCACGTATTCATATATTTATATATGCATATTCAAATACACATCATGATAAGTTCCTACATAGTCTTGCCTTAAGTTCATTTTCTTAACGCAATTTTGATCAATATCTATCATGGAAGTTATATAGGTGCCCCCTTAATTTCAGCTCAACCCCTGAGGTGCTTCAGGGAGCGACGATGGTGACCCCTTTGCAACCTCCATGTATAGAGGAGTTCCAGTTGCCATGTTTGAGGACATTGGAAGGGTAAATCCATATTTGGTTGGTGGTTTTAACCATCTTGAAAAAAAATAGTCAATGGGAAGGATTATCCCATATATTATGGAAAATAAAAAATGATTGAAACCACCAACCAGCATATTATTATTGGTTTATAATACCCAATGACATCCCCATAATAAACACTATGATTAGTTGGTTGATTTTACCATCTGGTTATTAATCAGTCTACCCTCTGCTAAACTAACATAGCTAGGGCAATTCACCACTTTCATAGCAAGATCAACTCATGTTCAATAGCTAAATACCCAATTCATGTGTGTTTCACAGTGTTTCCAGAATATATTAGTATATTAACATCTATCCACAACACCAATTATTATCAAACAAAAAAACATATCTATAAATAAAATCCTCAAAACCCATATCTGTATATTTTCTCATGTTTCTATTAATTATATTGGTATACTATAACACTGTCTATTATCTTCCAATTCTTGGTTTTTAACCACCCTGGACTCAGCTTTTCACAACGTCCCTTGCCTCGCTGCTGAACCCAAACGACCCCTAAAGGGCGCACGTTCCGAGGTGGTGCCACTCCGTCCACAAACACGCTTCCACCAACCACTCACCACCGCCTCGGGAAGGAACCAAGGATCCAAGGAGGATCCAAGGATCAAAATCAGAGTTTAACAATGTTGAGATATATGTTGAGATATACACATAGTTAATCATTTCACAACATAGGAACTTTGTGACGACCCAAAACGAAGAGATCCAGTAATAGGTTTTAAGATGTTATAAAATGTTATGCCCTCTGGTAAACAAACAAATGGCCATTGAAATAGTGGATTTACCCATTGATAGCATGGTGATTTTTCATACTTATGTGACAGTTTAGCAGAGGGTAACCAACAACAAATCTCAACAATATAGACTATAGGGGTTGGATTGATTGATCAAACATGGTGGGTTTTAACCAACAAATTTCAACAAGTACAGGGATTGGATCAAGAAAAATGAGATTAATGAACTTCAACGGGTTGATGAAATTTGATTCCAGCAATATTTCAGCTATCATCGCAGGGGTCCAGTATCAGAAATCAGGCAGGATTGACTACTTCGCCAAAGTTCTCAGATTCAACCACTGTCCTCTGAAGCCTTTGGATACTCTAAACTCTGGGCTGGTGCCCCAATCCTTTAGCTAAGCTCATTTGTAAAGCAGATCAAGGTAGACATAAACACACACACATATATATATATATATATAGGATTATAAAACTATTGAACCAAATTACAACTATGGGGCACCACGTTGTAACCAAATGGCTTCCAGTGGTACTCTTGGCAGGAGCCATTGACCGGGCACCCGACTTAGCTCTCTCTGCCTTAGGGTGGCTTCAAGGCATAGGCGATTTTTGGGTCAACGGCTGACGGCTTCCCCTGGGGTGCCCGAACAGTTGAGATTCTTGCACTGGCCTTGGCGATGGCGGCAACAAGAGCCAATCATGCATTGATATGGCTAAGCTCAGAATAGGTTAGATGGAAAGTCATCACAATTCAAGAATTCAATGCAGTGTGGCCGCATATAACGTGAAGAATCGTGTCTTCACTGGGTTGATTCTCCATGTAGAAGTGAGTCATCAGGGTAGCCGAAATGACTGGCCCAGTTATACAGGCTTTATCAATCATCGCTATTCTCGGATATTCTGCAAACAAATGCTGGTTGGTATTGATATCTACATATATCTACCATCTCACCCACCTTTGAGGCAAAATATTTTGATGGTTAGGCCCAGTCACATCCTACATCCCTCGGGACCTCTGCCGATGTTGATCTCCCTAGGTTTACTCATCAACTCCCGTTTTTTCTGCCACGAAAACTTCCACTTTCCACCTCTGGCCTCGTTCTAACCCCCTTTTCCCTTTCCTTGGGACACCCCAACCCCATTTATAAGATCTATAATCTCGAAATCAAAAGTTACCCTCTGGTAAACTGTCACATAACTATGGAACATCACCATGCTATTCATGGGAAAACTCACTATTTCAATGGCCATTTTCAATAGCTATTTTGACAAAAATTACCAGAGGCTATATCACATGAATATCCCATTAAATCACTATAACATCCCATTAATAAATCCCATTAATAAATCCCATTAATATCCCATTTATAGATGGTTTACCTATTAAAAATGATGATTTTCCATAGCTCTCCAGGCCAGGAACTGGTAGAGGAACTGGCCGCTGACCACGAAGAGACAGCGCTCGGCCGACTCCCCAGCGCAGAAGGGCACGTCCTGCTCCGCCAAGGCGCTAACGCTCAGCGCCACGCTGGTGAGCCTCCGGGGGAAAGTAAGGGGATAGGGGAAAGTATGGTTAATATATTAATATATGGATATATATGGATATTATATGGTTAATGATGGTTAACAATTACCATCTGGTTATGACACTCACAGTTTGCCATGGAAAGATCCACCCATTTTTCAGAACGGTAAACCATCTATTTCTATGGGCCATCTATACCATGGCTATGTAACAAATAACCAGATGGTATTTCATGGGAAAATCATGTAGCTAACAAGCAGTGATTGGAAGTTTCGATCATGTTTGTAGGACTAGGACTTGTGTATCTGCCATAAATCCAACAGTTGGCATTAGAAATAAACCAGCAAAAACCAAAAGAAAATGAACTAAATGCCAAAATGTTGCTGGCTTAAATCATGTGAAATCACCATTTATCATCATTTATCTATATATGGAATTTTTGGTTTCACCATCTTAAACCTCATGTTCATTCATTTTCCAATCTGAGTAAATGATCATTTTTATCAGCCAGCACACTCACAGTGACCTTTTTGATTTTTTTAATGGTCTATCCCCTGGATAAGGTCACTTAAATAAAATTATATCAAAGGGTCACTTAGCAATTTATCAAAAGGTCACTTAGGGATGGTAAAAGGTTACTTAATAGGCCCTTCTTGGGAATGTAATGGAATGTAGTTGGGATTGCTAATCAATATGACATAACATAATCCGGTGATAGATCCATAGGTTTTGACAATAGGTCTCTTTGTTTAAGTGATTCAGTAAATATGTTGGCAGTACATATGCTATCCCCAATTAGCCATAAAAAAGAGACCCATCAATCCACCTGCCCTTCGCTGCGGCTGCGGCCGCTGTGGTGCATTTCTTCTTCTTCTACTTCTTCAAGTCGAGGAAGGAGACAGGGGTCAGTGGCCAACGGGCATATGGGATAGTCATATCACACATCCCACAGCACACGCCACAAATCTAATCAGGCTAGAAACAGCACACCACATCTAATTACGACAGAAGCTCACGTCGCCAGCGTATGCACACAAATGCACAGTAACGCTGCAGCACTTGAAAACACAGTCCGTTTGGAACTGCACGCACTGCCATAGTCTTAACTTTACCAACATAATCCTCGTCAGAATAGCAGGCGACCCATAAGGGATTACACCTGCGGGCTTGGTCGAGGACCAAATGGTCCAACCTGGGCTGGACTTGTAGGGGTCAAAATTGATAAGTGTTGCGCATGAAATTTGCAAACTCTCAGGGATCAAAAAAGTTGCAAGTGTTGCAAATGAAAACTTTAAATGCAATCCAAAAACTGGTGCGTCTTTGGACGGACCTTCCAAAGAAGAACCCCCTTCTGCAAGGCATCGGTAGCAAGCCAGTTCACAGAGACGTGAAAGAGGTAACAGGCTTCCTAAGATTCCCACTCAAAGCCCATTGCCCAAAAGAAAGGAACATGTGAATGACAGGGGACAAACATCTAGGTTCTTTTCACAGCAAAAAAATACAAATTACTTTACTTCGTGTGATCCCCGCCATGTCATTTATACATTTTGTTACTGGCAAATCTTCTGGCATTCTATCTGACATATCTTCTGGCATTCTATCTGGCATTCTATCCGGCATATCTTCTGGCATTCTATCTGGCAAATCTTATGGCATATCATCTGGCAAATCTTATGGCATTTTATCTGGCATATCTTCTCGCATTCTATCTGAGATATCTTCTCCACCACGGGGAGCCAGTTGAGGTTCACCTCCACCTCAAGGCACCAGGCACCACCACGCCGGGGGGTTAACCACAACCACCCCCAAGGAGAAACCTTAGCTGAGGTTCACCTCCACCTCAAGGTACCAGGCACCACCACGCCGGGGGGTTAACCACGACCACCCCCAAGGAGACCTGAGTTGAGGCTCACCTCTTCAAGGAGGTTGAAGTCCAGCATGCTCACTGAGCTCGGCGGGTCCCAGGTTGAGGTCCAGCGGTGCTCACTGAGCTCGGAAGGTCCCAGGTTGAGGTCCAGCGGTGCTCACTGAGCTCGGCGGGTCCCAGGTTGAGGTCCAACGGTGCTCACTGAGCTCCGAAGTTGGCGAAGAGCTTGACCAAGAGTTGGCAAGGCAACAGTGGACGTGGAAGTGGAGGCAGAGGTGGTAGAAGAGGAGGAGGACGCGGAGGAGGAGGAAGGAGGAGAAGGAGGAGGACGAGGAGGAGGATCAGGAGAACAGCTCTGATAAAATCTAACAACCCTCACCTGGCAGGTGGGAAATTAATTAATGTGAAACGCGCAATCCAAATGATACTAAGATATGATGACAGATATAACAGTGGTGGTGTATGACTCATTTATTGCAAATATTTCGAATGCAAAATATTTTTTATAGGTTGAGAGTTGACGGTGATACCAGCCACAGCCCACACCACCTAGCCGAGCCAACATTAAAGAAAACGAGGGACTTGTAGCTCTTGAATCTTCTCCTCCGGTAGCAGCACATCTTTGGGAGTCATAGCTGATCGCATGCGCACCAAGCCCACAAAGACCGCAGCGCGCAGCCTGGGCATCAGCAGCACAATGGGTATGGGGTCAGGTTGTGTGTATGTGGGTGTGGGCGAAGCACTAGCAGAACAGTCAAGTAACTGTGCATGGTCATCTTCTGGGTGGTCTGTAGCAACTGCAAGCGTGATGCCCATAAGCCATCTCACCAAGATAACCGATTCCTCATCACAAGTGCATGCACATGTTAATATGTAATGCTCTCACGCAAGACGCACACATGTAGGAAACTTACGCGTACCTCAGCCCCAAACTGCAGCATTAAAATGCTTCTGTGCCAACGTCGGATAGTTCTTGCCATTCTCACATTTCAGTTGTTTCCTGAGCATTTTGAACAATATATGCTAAACACAAAAAAATGTCACATTTAGCATGCAAATGGCTCAGGCTAAGGTCTTCCAAGGTTCAAGGAATACACTTGTCCTCGGTTTCCTGGGCTACTTGACTTGAGAATTGTGGCTTTACTTACCCAAAAAGGCAAACACAACACCAATGTACCCTGTGTGTGTGGGTACAAGCGGCTGATCTTGTGCAAACGACACTGCTGGACAAACTGCACGTGAGCAGCATGAAGACGTTCATCGACATTGTCACCTAGGCTTATATGCGCGCAAGTGCACAAGCCCAAACCAACACAAACAAGCATAGCCGTAGGGCGCAATTAGTTCTCAAGACCAGTTACCTTTCCAGACAAGATCGGTTTGACAAAGTTCCACAAGTGCCTGGTAGCAGAAAACTATAGAGGACCATGCATGCATGTATGCTGCGTGTACACTGTTTTACTGTTTTACGTGTCACACACAGCGCAAACCCACCATCCACTATACAAGGTACTGACGCACCAAGTTCGGGGGCCAGGGTGAGGTCCACCACATGCAACCAATCCAACCCAAGTATCGAAATGTGCCAGCCCGGCATCCGGCACCAAGCATTGTTGCGACATCCATCGGTGATGAATTCGGCAGAAGTCACCTCAGGCTGGAGCAAATATTCCTCAAAACTAGCTGAGGTGGAGGGGTAACAAATCAAAATGCAACACCACCTACACCAAAGCCCACAACGTTTAACATGGTGGTGTCACAACGGGTGGAAAACAGACAAAAAACACACCAACAAGATCAGGAACCATGGTCTGACGGTGGGGGGCAAACTTACCATGTAGGGTGTAACAAAGGTTTCCTGCTCTGGTGGCACGGCAGTGCCAACAGACCCTGTCACTCACCCAGCTGTTGTGGGTGTGGTATGCGCGTTGAAGGTACTTGGCATCGCCTTTGTGTAGGACAAGGACGCCTCTCCACCCCGCAGCAATAGGTTTCCCTGCTATGTCTTGACGCGAGGGAATGACATTGCCCCACGGGTCATGGCCAAACCACTTTCCGTTAGCCAATTCCGTAAGGGACCATGTCAGCCATGTATCAAGTGTGTCAAATGTTTCATCAAGGCAGTCTTGATTGTTTGTGACGTAGAGCAAAAGCCTAACATCCCATGGGGACGTGCCCCCAACCAAAACCGATGACACGGTTGCTACGCAGAAGCTCCGCCGTCTGTGCGACTCAGCATCGTCAGCGTGTACACAAAGAGGCACAACTCGTGAAAGGTCCACATCCTGAGTTAGACATGCAGAGCACAAGTAACACATCCGTTGTGCGTGGTACACCTAGTTACGTAGTTCATGCACACGTGTGTACACAGCACGTAGTTACGTAGTTCATGCACATGTGTGTATGCATAGCAACCAAAGCACAGGGTCCGAGAGCACTGGGTGTTGGCGGAAGAATTCAGTATCGCGATTGCGCTCCCAGAATTTTTCCAGCGCCTTACTTCATCATTTGGTGCACTCACTTGCTATGTTTGGGTTATGCATTTTCCATCTTAGGTTTGGTAAGTTCTCAACTCACTCAATTTAAGCAAGATACACCAGGCTGTCCCAAGAACCTCCTTCTGAAAATTTCTTGGTCGTAGGCAAATATCGAGGCAAACCTTTCAGGCCGGAAGATGTTTGGTTTTGTAGACCTAAAACCCCACAACCTTTCAAAGTCTTTCAGCACCTTACCAATGACGAGAAACATTTCAGAGGGCAGGAACATAGGCACTTTACCAAGGACGTACTTGGGATCCAGTCCATGGTCCACCATCACTACTGAAATCCTGGCAGCACACATGCGCTCTGATACAAGAGAGGTTGCTAAGAGGCAAGGTACGTCATTGTTCCATTGAATTTAGTCCAAAGTACTCCCAAATTTTAGGAAGCATGCATCTCCATTCTTGTCGTGCCAGCCAGTTCCAGAAGAGTCGGGGTGCGTTCGGATTTTTGCCCTCAGCTTTCCGTAGTCTCATCAAGTCCTTGAGGCTTTTCCTCAAAAAGTGGCTGCATATGAGTAACACCTCATGCTAACACAGAACATATATAACAACCATTTTGAAACTCCATTTGAACAAGTCTCGACTGTAACCGTTCAGGGAATCTCCGGTGGATCACTCCGAGCATGGCAACCAAAGTGGTTACACTAACCTTGGATTTCGAATGTTGTTGGGGTTGGATACTATAGCGATCACATTCATATTGGTTCACATGTCAATAGTTGACAGGGACACCATCATCATGTACTCTGCCTAGAAACCTCCCTTCCAAGTTCAATGAACTCTTCGACAATGTCCATGGCATCCATGATGCTAGACGTGTGCTTCATCTTGAAAAATGCGCGTTTAGTATCCCACGGAAGTAACATAGTACGTGGGTCCCATATTATTTTCAAGGTCAGGCACCCTAAATGCAATTTTTGGTATGTGGGTCCCACATTATTTTCAAGGTCAGGCCCCCTAAATAGTTAATTGACTTTTTAGTTGGTTATGTATCAATTGTCGAGATACGTATATAAAGAAATTATGAATTGGTCTCTAAACCAACTTATATCTTATGTACTGAAGGAGCTCACCTCGTAGATACATTGTTTTGTCAGTATATAAGCCCCTTGCATCAAACAATGAAAACTAGCACTCCAGGAGCCAAGGCACAGATCAAGACACAAGGCGAGCTGGGGTTGCTATCAATGGTGGCAGGCTGAAGTAGGGGTTGCTAACATTCCCCAGCTTATTCATGTGGCAATGTGTGTAAACCATTTTTTTCCCAGCGCGCTGGTCCCCGATCAACACAAGCCACATCCCGAGGCCCCAAAATATTTTCACCAAAACAGCAATGACTTTTTTTGAGGGTAACAAATCATCCCGGACCTCAGGTTCTCTTAAGACTTGCTTTACCCATGGCCAATGTCTTGGCAGGAAACTGACAAACTCAAGATGTGGGCACACCCACACTTTACCCAAAATCGGATTGACAGGGTGTGTATGGGAAACCCGCCTAGATAATAATGGTGATATTTGGAAGCTAGAAATAGGAAAACAATCCATGAACGGTGCTTCCAAAATATAAACGAGAATTGTTGTAATGCATATATAGCACTTTTTGTGTGGGAATCCCTGTGCATGGAAGAAACTAATAACTAGAAACCGCGGTGGAAAACATGTTCAAAGTACTATATGCCAAGCCCATTGGGATTCAACATCTAAAAGTGGAATGTGTTACTGTTTCAAAGCAAAGCTAGCTATTGACATGAATCTTAAACAACATGTGGGTGCACCACTTAATCCGATGCCTCATCTTCGGAGGCACTGCTCTGCTTGGGCAGAGCATCAGTAGCCTTTCGAGGCCTGGGCTTTCGGAGGTTGATCCTTCGCTTTGCGTCACGGATGTCCGTTTCAACCGATGTGAGCCACTCCTTTTCATCTTCCAACCACCTTAGGAAGACCATTATGGATATGTATGGGATAGGTTATCAGTCCAGGTAGGTATTTAATCGGATCCCCACATATCCCCGTTAGTTCCACTTTTTGAAATCAAGGGAATGCATAGGGTCCCAAAAAAACAATTCGAATATGGGTCACCAGCTGGTCTCGGGATCGTTTATATAAGTCTAGATTTCCAGCCATTCTATTGGTCCAATCTTATAATATGGGGGGAATAAGATCCTTTAACATGAATCTCTATTTCAGCCCCCCACCAAGTGACTGGTTCATCTCCTCGACATCCACAGCACTGACGGGTCGACCACCACGTTCAAGGGCTTCAGCCATGTGGTCAGGGAGAACTAATCGATAGCCTTCCAAAGCATTTACCTTAGTATAGCCAACATTTGAATGGTATTTTGAAAGCTGACCCCAATCTATAAGTCACTGAGGTTCTTGGATGATAGGTCCATAAGCTGATAGCAATCAGGACTTAGATATGTTGTGCCACTGTTATGACATTCTAAATCATGGCACTAGCTCTGCGCTGTTCCCAACTTGCAGATCCCGGATCTCACGAGTGCAACTGTCGATCTCATTCAAGGCCTTCTTGATCCTTAGATATGGGCCATCTAAACCCCATGAATCGATTAAACTATCTTGCACAAGAAAATGGTGCATGCATGCATGCTGATAAGTATCTTTCCCTGGTAAGTCTTAAGTTCTTTCAGAACAAGCTCTGCGGGACTCTTTTCTTTGGTTCCCTTTCTCTTCTTTGACTTGATTTCTCCAGTCTTCAAATCAACCAGGCCCATAGAGTCTAGTTCATTCACCCCACTGGCGATTGCCTTTGCAACGGCCTTTTTGGCCTCACCCGATCGAACCCTTCCCCCTACCGTGGCTGTTTGTTCCCCTCTTGTGATCTCTCCCCTCTCTTCCACGATTTCGGCCAATACCTTGTACATCATTGCCTTGGGATGGTCCGATTGGGGATGCTTCGTCCCCTTCTGACCTCAGCTCGGCAGGAAAAGTGCAGGGAAGCCAGGTCGAGGCAGCTGATGGATGAGTGTGAAGCAGCAAAAAAAATGAATTCCTCAGCAAAGACACCCTTCACAAGGTCTTTCACGAAAGCTTGAGCTTCGGGAGAAGTACCATATATTTTCTCTAGCTGAAACAAGGTGACAGTGACGTACTTGTCTTTCTTGCTTGCCTTGGCTAGTTTTGGCACTAGGATCAGTGGATTTCCCAAAAAAATAAACCAAGTATACTGCGACAATGCCACCTAGTTTCTTCCAAGATTTTGAGATACTTCTCTTCAACATGGATGGAATCCAAGGTGTCATTCACAAGCCATGCCTTGAGCATGCCAAACCTGATATGAGCTGACTCATGGTATGTTCCTGAAACTCTAGTGGGGAAATTTTTCCGATGAATTCAAGTCATTAACATGTAATCGATATAACAAATTTGAAGGGGGCCTCTCTGTGTCACTGCAGTGGGTAATCTTCGTAATAAGCGCTGGATTCGTGCTCCTGTGGATAGCGCGTCTCAGCGCCGAATACTGCCTCTTGCGCTCCTTAGAGGGATATGATGTTGCCAGGCAACCCAAAAGGTGTGACCATAGACATATCCAATATAATTATGGCAATATTTCAGCAAATTTAATATAACAAAAAATATGTAAAGCCCTAAAACCTGATCATAGTGCTAGTATCGTTTTCTTCCATTTCACTGGGTCCACTCATGTTGCCGATTGCTTCCTTTTGCTCAGCTGAGAGCTTGGTCATCCGAGCAACCCCGCCACCCCTTGGAGCCTCACAGGGGCTTTAGCTGATCCAACCAATAACGGAAAAAATTGAGGGATTAATCTAGTGCCCCAAACACCCATTGTTTAGTCCCAAACTGTCCTGACTGGAGGGTGGTGTTTCCTGGGGCGACTGTTCACTGGGAGCACCACGTGTGGTAGGCGAAAGAAGCTGCTCATCAGAAAGACCTCGCAAGAGATCAAGGCTCGATAGGGTTCCCGTGTGCTCAAATGGCTTCTGCATAGGTGTTGCCACCTTTCGGGGCTCCTCACGAGTCAAAAGGAATTTTCAATCCCAGGGCTCCCATATCATTTAGACAGCAGTGGGTGCATGTCGATCGTAGTGTGTTGAAACATTAGGGCTGGTCCCAGTGACCATTCACAACTGTAAAGTCTGTCCTCAAGTTCACTACCAGAACGTTCATCCTCTGGCTGTGGTCGTAACTTCTTCTTCTCTGGAGATTCACCTGTGCCAGTGACAGCTTTCCTGGAAGTCTTCTCGGCGCCTTTGGCTTTCTTGTTTTTGTCGACATCCTGAGGTTCCATTTCTCTCTTGGTTCCACATGGTGCTTCTTGCTCGGTGTCTTTCGGAGGCCCTTCCCCACCAGCTGCGGTGTTGTGCTTCTGCAAATCCTGGGTAGCAGTGGCAGTGGGTACCTTCATCCTGTCTTCATCCTTCACTTCTTTCTTTGCTTTCTTGTCTTTCTTCTCCTTCTTACTTTTCTTTTCTGTCTTGGTTTTCGTCTCATCTTCTGTCCCTCCTGCTGGGGCATTAGCACTGTCATCAGTGCCATTCCCCATGCTTGCTGTCTTGCCTGCGTTCTTGTCATTCTTCTCATTCTGTCTTGCTGTCTCCTGCGCCTTGCTTGTAGTCTGTGAAGTAGCTGGCACCTCCGAGGTTGCAGTCGCAGCCAGTGGAGTCTTGGATGCTGCTGCTGTGCTTGTTGACTTGTCACCAGTGGTTGTGGCAGTTGGTTCATGTCGGTCCTTCCCATCAGCTTTGTCTTTCTTGTCCTTTTTCTCCTTCTTTTCCTTCTTAGCCTTTTTTTCCGTCTTCTCTGTCTGATCTGGCACAGCTGCTGGCATCATCTGAGTTTCCTTGGTAGGCTTTAACAGCTTGACGTCTGTGGTTTCGGTATGCTTCGGCTGATCTACTGTGGTAGAAGGCAACTGATTTCCCGTTTGCTTCCCTGCAGTGTCTTCCTTCGTGTTTGTCGTACCCTGTGGCATACCCTTCTTTGCTTGGCCTTCCTTCGCTGTGCTCTTCTCATCGCCTTTGGTCTTCCCACTAGGTGTCACAGGTGCAACAGGTGGAGTCTTGGAGGCTGCTGCTGTGCTTGCTGACGGTCTCTCCTCAGTCGCATGTTTGCCTCCTGTGTCTGCCTGGTCAGTCTTGTCTTTCTTTTCTTTCTTATCTTTCTTTTCCTTCTTTTCCTTCTCGGTTTTGTCAGGCACATTTCCAGGCAACATCCCATTCGAGGTAGTGACCCCACCCCCACCTACTCCAGTGGTATTCCCTACCATCTCTTTCTTATCCTTCTCTTCTTTTTTATCTTTTTTCTCTTTCTTGGCTCTCTTGTCTGGCTTATCAGTACTATCGCCACCTGCCCCAACCATCATTGGAGCAGCTGGTGTCACTGGCGTCGTGTTCTTTGGTCCTTCATTTTTTTCCTCCTCGCCTTCCTTGTGTTTCCTTGTCTTTCCTCCAGCCATCGCCTACAGAGATGAAACAAACAAACAAATATGAGCTAGAGCAAAGAAACATGGGAAAACATAAACTTTGACGAGACAGTTGGCCCTGCCTCCAAAAACACACAAGTGAGGGAAAACTTGGGTGCTGGTCTCTTTTGGACCCTGAGCCTAAGTGACCTCTTTGTGACACGCTCTGACACGCTCTGACACGCATAGTGAGCTAAAACTGTAAGTGACCTCTTTATACTTCCTAAGTGACCTCTTTCTGCTTATAAGTGACCTCTTTCTCGATACTACATATCCCCCAGCGACACGCTCTGACACGCTCTGACACGCAGGCTGGAGAGCAGCAGATTGCAAAACTGCAGGGGTACCCAAGTTGGAAGGGAGCTAGGCTAACCCTTAAGCAGGCAGCTAACACGTTGTTTTCCAACCACATGTGCCCAGTGGTTCCCAAAGTAAGGCGAAGTTATACCATTATTCATGGTATCAACTTTGAAAGGTTAAAAAGGAACATGGATAAACCAGAAACGACCTTCAGTCCTGTTGATCTGGGAAGACAGCCCGCCTCAGTAGATGGGGATGTAGGGATCAATGCACCCCATATGCACCCATTCGGGAAAAATGAGATCAGCTCACAAAAGATATAAGGTGCATGTACCTAGACCACAATTAATAACAGTTCTACTGATTGAGCCAAGGCATCTCGCTTCAGTAGATTGGGGCTGTATGGATGAACAGACCCAATGGACCAAAAAAACTATGTTCAGTTCACTAAAGCCAAACAATGTGCCTGTACTAGGCCCCAATAGAATATAGTATGTTTCCCCCGAAAACATATTCATTAATCCTCAGTTTCTTGAGGGGCCATTTTTTAAAGCCAAGGTACCACATGTGCACATGTATTATAGCTGTCGCCAATGTGCAGTACGACGGCCATTCTCCCGAATCAGGTCATCCAAGGCCCCATAATCATCATCATTGGGGTCATCTTCAGTGATTGTGATTTCCTGCAGCAAAGTTGGGCAAAGGAAAGCGTATGAGCTCTAGTCAAATCTTAGCTTGTATGGGGTCAGTGGAGGAGCCCAACATATACCCTGTATGTCGACAAGATAATTTCAAATTGAGACCAAAATTTGTTGATATATACTATACACCTCAGAATTCCTTTGGGGGAAACATTAAATTTTATATGATATATATAGTAGAGGTCTTGGGAACCCAAGAATTGAAGGGTCACATGCATGGGTTTGTGTAAGCCCTGTCCGGGTTAGCTGTTGGCAACACAGAAGAACGGGGCATCAATGATGCAAGAGCATAGCCAAAACCTGGAGGGTAGGAGGCACTCTCTTTCAATGCCTTACTGTTCCCCGTCACTTGCTTCCGACCCGACTTCGAAATAGTCTTCTTCACTAGATTCTTGCGTGTCCTCGGGTTGGACAGGTATTGAAAATTAGGTCAAGAGTCTGACTTTTAAATAGGGAATGTGCCAACAAAAGTCAGTGCCCCAACCCTTCAAAAATTACTTTACTTCGTGTGATCCTCACCATGACATTTATACATTTTGTTACTGGCAAATCTTCTGGCATTCTATCTGACATATCTTCTGGCATTCTATCTGGCATTCTATCCGGCATATCTTCTGGCATTCTATCTGGCATATCTTCTGGCATATTATCTACTCAAATCTTCTGGCATTCTATCTGGAAAACATTCTGCCACTTTATCTGGCATATCTTCTGGCATTCTATCTGACATTTTATCTGGCATTCTATCTGGCATACCTTCTGGCATTCTACCTGGCATATCTTCTAAGATTCTATCTGGCATATCTTCTGGCGTATCATCTGGCAAATCTTATGGCATTTTATCTGGCATATCTCCTCGCATCATATCTGACATTCTATCTGGCAAATCTTCTGGCATTCTATCTGGCTTTTGAGGTCCAGCGGTGCGCACTGAGCTCGGAAGGCCCCAGGTTGAGGTCCAGCGATGCACACTGAGCTCGGCAGGTCCCAGGTTGAGGTCCAACGGTGCGCACTGAGCTAGGAAGGTCCCAGGTTGAAGTCCAGCGGTGCGCACTGAGCTGGGAAGGTCCCAGGTTGAGGTCCAGCAGTGCGCACTGAGCTCCGAAGTTGGCGAAGAGCTTGGCCAAGAGTTGGCAAGGCAACAGTGGACGTGGAAGTGGAGGCAGAGGTGGTAGAAGAGGAGGAGGACGCGGAGGAGGAGGAGGAGGAAGGAGGAGGAGGAAGGAGGAGGAAGGAGGAGGAGGAGAAGAACAACTCTGATAGAATCTAACAACCCTCACCTGGCAGGCGGGGAATAAGCCATTTTTTTTAACCCTGGGGCACTATATATTTCGTGGTCCACAAAACATAAAGGTTTAAAGGGTAGCTGCTGGGTAAATAAGATAGCACACATGCAGTTATCTGGGTTTGACACTTCATTTTTTGATTTTTGAACAATGGCAAACCAATAAGATGTTTAGGCTACATTCCCTAGACCTTTCACATTAAGGGGGAGAATGCTCTTACAGCAGGGGGTCTCGAACAGAAAAAAACATGATTATCAATTTGGGTTAATTCCGTTTTAGCCAGTCGCATTGAAGATGAAATTGTTTAGATAAATTCCCATAAGGAAAGAACCAATTCATCTGATAATTGCATTTGATAATTGAGGTCGACACTGTTTATTTGATAAATTCCCATTTGAATTCTCAGTGGGCCATTCCTTGGCCATTAGAATGTGATGAATGTTAAATGTAAAAATAAATCGAAGCACTTGTCTTAGAATAACAGTTCTGCAGTTATGGCAGGTGTTTGTTTGCAAACAAAAAAACGGGCTTGGCCTACTTCTGGCACCTGCAGAACAACCAAGTTGGCAAGTCGGAGTACGGACCCTTCGTTGCTCGGACCGTGATTGAGACCAAAAGTGGGAGGCCGCAGTGTCTGTACGCCGCATGTGGACGGCCACACCCGCGAACATGCCGATTGGGGGCGATTATAAGGGTGACAACGTCACCGTAATGGTCTACACCGACATGGTCAATTTCGAGGGATGGTACAAACCTCATGATCGTCTCCAACTAGAAGATCGCGATTGACCGGTCACCGGGACTCAATGAATGTTGGACCTACAATTCGTGATGTGAGGCCGAGTCATTTGTCCTTTACACCCGATATTATATATATATATATATGCTATAGTTCAAAAATATCGAATCATGCCCCGGGGCTGCCATCACCCAGGTTCACCCACCATCACACCAGTTCAAGACACTGTATCTCCTGGAGTTGGCGTCTCAGCTGGGAAATATTCAGTGGGCGTCGGAGGTGATGAATCCCTGGCAATGTCCCATAGCACCTCAGATGTGCTTATTTTTTTTGGCAAATGAGAGATTTCTTTTAACATTGTTGCAAATACAAGGTATCACAACCGATAAAACATATATGATGGAGCTTCATTGCTGGAGGGTAGATGCGAATCCCCTGGTCCTACAAGCAACTTGCATGCACATGTTCTAGGACTATTTTCTGATAAGGCACATTGTCATTTTCAACGTTGGGGCACCCCAAGATCCCATGGGAAATGCCACTCGACGGGCCCCAGTCAGAAGAAGGAACTTTTTGACAGGTCTATAGCACCACAACACCTCAGCTCATGGAACCTACCATATTTATATATCATGGGACTTTGTCACACTGTCGACATGGTGTTAGTATGAAAGACAAGGGACCGAGCTGATGGGCTGCTCACAAATCCAGTGCACACCACGCTTCCAAGCATAGAAGAGACTTAGTTGAGAAGTTCGTTCATGCAAGATTAAACTGTTCGATCATGTTTTGAACATTGATTTCCATATGTCACTAACGACCAACCATTTTAGAAGAACCCTTTTGCGAACCAAAGAAACATGTAGAGTAGGCGGCGGACTAAGATATTCTGGAGGATGACGGCCTTCTTCCCATTTCCAGCTGGGTTTGTCCACGATCTTCCTGTCTGGCTTCGTGACCTAAAACATTTAAGCATGACAAACCCGGCGAAGGACTGGGAAAAAGGTCGATAGATCAGGTTCAAATGTTTCGACTGGCATTCTTGAACTAAAGAAAGGTTCTAATGGAATCCCCTGGACATTTGGCACCATCGCGAAATATAATTATGAATGGATTCGGATCAAACAATATTGTATGCCAAGCTGCAGCCACACCCATGTTGCACAGGGTGGTGCAGCCACCAACAGTGAACCAGGCCTCATATTTCGTACCTCAGTTAAATACAGAGAAAAATGAGGATTAGCCCCTTATTCTGAATCAGTGGTGCCTGAACATATTTCTTTATAATAGGATGTCGTGCGTTGCACACGGTTCTTGCTAGTAGCTACATGCCATCTAGCTGACAAGCTCTGCCAACCACTCACTATTGCTATCAAGATACAGCCGCCAAGATGGCGATAAACCCCACCGTGCGCAATAAGTTGTGATTGGCACTGTAAACCACCTGTGTTGGGCAGAACTTGGGACTTCAACCATTTTATGTAAAGCTGACTGGTAGGACCATCTAAGTATAGCATAAACCGATTCAAAAAAGATAAACTTAATGTTCCCATCAGTATGACATGTATATTACTTCGATCAGTAAGACACTTTGAAGCCAATTTAGGTTAATCCCATCCATACGATCAACTCAAAAAGTATGAAACCTTGACCCCATTTTATGATCGCTCACTACATGGCTATAACATAATCGACCCAACAATTTTGAATCCCTCTATTTACCCCCCGCAAATGTTACTCAAACCGATTCAACATAATCAATGCACTTTACATGTCCAAAAAACCCTGATTAGGACCCCGGGTTGCAGGACAAGGGTTTGAACAGCTAAGTGGTTGTGCCAAGCCGCGTCAAATTCCTTCCCTCGGAATCCTGAGGATCGGAGGGCTGATGATGCAGCAGCATCACCAGCGCAAATCTCAACCTGAGACAGCACGTGTGGAAGAGGGGTGACAGAGTTATATGGTGGGAGGTCAAAAAAAATAATAATTATATGCCCTCGTCATCCCATCTCAGTAGAACAGATATATATTTTGTACCAATGGGTAAATTGTATGCTCAATCGAACGTTTGATCACAACATAGATCGAGTAGTCTTTATTAAAATCGAATTGTAAAAATCCTTGAACAACAATATATATGATATAGTGCCACCAGGAAACAAAATCATTCGGAGCATGGGGCAGTGGAATTTGATGTAGCAGCGCAATAAGTGGCAGCAAATGGCTGGCCCTCATCCCTACAACGCCAATATGTGTAGGACACACGGAATTTCGGTTTACAAAAAAAAGTCTTATGGGCCCGTGGTTCCTTCAAGAGTTGGCACCGGTGGCCACCCCTATCACTCCAGCCAGGTTCAGGTAGAGTTTAAACACACGCATGTCACCACAATGCTATACATGTTTGGTCACATGCTTCCAGATAGAGGGAGTGTTTGTCCCCATGGGCTCACACATGAGTTTATGCAAAGCTACGTGTCATTTTTTTCCCTGATGTCTAGCACCCCTGATCCAAAGACCCTTGACAATAGTTTGTCAGGGGTAGACCCAGCGACTGTATGCAGCTGTGTGGCAGCGACCTAAACCAAGATGATGTAAAACATGGTAAAATAATTGATGGCCACTTACGTTGATAATTACCTATCACAAATCATTCCATATATCCACCACACAGCACATAGGCCACTCCCCAGCGTTGAAAAGACTGACTACGCCAAAAAGGGCTGTGGTACGATGATAAGTGAATATCAAATATTTTAGCCTTTTAGCTATTTCTCCATACCTAGCCCTTTTTGTTTTTCTTGGACTTCGACTTAGCTGCCGCATCCTTCAGCAACTTGGACTTTGATATTTTTTCAGCGTTTTCCCCTTCCTAACCCGTGGTCGTCCGCTAGGCTCAGCTCCGTCCCCGCCCTCATTTGTGAACCCTCTCTCCACTGCCTTCTTCAAACTGTAAAACTTGGAACCATCTGGTGAAATAAACACCTTGTAAAGTGAGCCCTTCATCTTTCCTGACATCCTGCGCCTTGTCTCGATGGTCCACTTGTCCTGCCGGTTTTCATCGACGTGTACAACATCGTATTTCCTTAGCTACTCTGGGTCTGACCACATTTTCAAAGTATATTGATCCAAAAACAAAATTCCTGCACACTTATGCTCAAACAAGTTTCACCCGTTGTTGTCTCCCTTGCTTTTGACGTAAAAAGTTCCAGTTGCTGATCAGGAGTAGGGACAGTACATGAAGCTTTTTCCAATGCACGTTGTTGCACTTTATGAATAGCAACCTGAAATGCTGACATGGTGAAGTCCTGTCGGGTGCTGCTGGATACAACTGATTCCTTTTCCTCCTTCTCACCTTTCTTCTTTGCCTTGGCCTGGGAAACTTATCTGAATGGGAAGTACCAAACAACACGGAATTATTTGTTTTTTTGGTAAGTTATGGGCCAAGCCCAGCCTTTGCGGGAACTGTGGGCTTTGAAGCTTCAGCTTCACCTCCTTCTTTGACCGGACTGCCTAAGCCAAACAACAAAGCTAGATTTTAACTCAACAAATAAAATCAAAACCTTTGACCGCATTGCCTAGCCAAGAAAGAAACTGATCATTCGAGAGAAGGTGGTCTACAGATTTAAGATATATTTATATAAGATCGATGCATCATGGTATATTGTGCTACATGCTCACTGGGACTCACGTGTCACAATGGTTCAAGATGGTCGAGGTATGTGTCCAAGTGGCTCTTAGACTTCTGTCGCCGACGATGGGTTGGAATCGGTCCAGGCAAAACAGGCTCTTCCATCAGGTCCTTGCCAGCATGTGTCTCCTCGAACGAAGTCGTGGCAGGAACTGCGTAGCTTGCTATTTTGTCTTGCTTTAGTTTGTTCAATCTTTCTATTGCCAACTCTCGTGCTATGCGGCTTGGAAGTGTTTCTGGCAGTAGTGGGAATTGAGGGCCAGTAGTGGACCATCTTTTGAGATTTGATACAAGATATTCTTCACGGATCTTCGAGAACCCTTCCAGTGCCTTCTCTGCCTTCTCAATCTGCTGGGAACTGCTCGTGCTGCAAGTCGATGATGTCGATGATGCCGATGATGAGCTCGACGAAGAGGCTGGTGATTTCACAAGACCTTGAGGTTCCTCAGAACTATCATCCTGAGTCTCTGTCGGACCTGGGTTGTGGAGTTTGCGACCTTTCTTACCCAAAGTAGCTTTCCTCTTTGGTTCACGTTTCTTTCTTGTCGTTGGGGGGTCTGCTTTCTTTGGCTCTTCCAATCTCTGTTGGATCTCGTGGTCTGACAGGTGTTGCGTGTTAAAACCAACTGCTGCTGCTGATGGTCGCCCTGCATCGCATCTTGTCACTTGTGTTGAGTCTGCCTGATCATCAACCTGCATGGCCTCTGTCTGATCATCAACCTGCATGGGTGCTGGAGTTGTGCTGTTGTCAGCGCTATCGGAGGCCAACTCCACCTGATTGAGCAACTCAGCCAGGTCAGATGAAGATTCTGAGCTGTTCTCTTCCGCAGTGTTGTCATTGGTTGCATTCTCTGGGCTGGAAATCTTGCAATTGTTCATGTGCCCTGTTGCTGCTGCTACTTCTGCTGGGGTCTCTGATTCACTACCATCAGAGCTGCTTGAACTGTCATCACTGTCATTGTGCGGTGCTTCTGCTGTCACCTCAGGTTTACCTTCATCCTCACCACATGGTTCATTCTGTTGGTTCCCTTGTTTTGGGACACTATCGGGAGCATTGTCATCGTCGCTACTGTCGCTACTGCTACTGCTGCTTGCAGGGTTGCTGGAGGCATCGGGGTTTGAACTGCTGTCAGAGTCAGAGTTGTCGCCTTCCTCAGTGTTGAATTTCTTCAGCAAGTTGATGGGTTGTGGGGCTGTTGGTTCAGGTTCACTCTGCATCTTGTCACATGTTCCTTCAGAATCCTCGGAATCCGACATGGATCCACTTGACGGGTCATCCTTTCCTCCTTCACTGGGGACTTGTTCCTCCTTCGCTACATCAGACTCCTCATCACTTGCTTTGTCGTTGTCCTCACTGTTGACATCACTTGCTTCTGTTGTGTTGACCTCGTTTCCTGCCTTGCCTGCATCGGAAGAGTCTTCTGTTGTGCTACTGCTACTCTCATCTGAAGAGTCTTCCTCGGTCTGTGGGGTTTCCTTCTCCGGAGTCTTGACATTGCAACCTTCCTTGTCACCTTCCTTTGCTTCTTCTTCTTCTTCAAGACTTGCTACCGGCACGAACAGAGAATAATATATATTTCCCCATAGCCCCATATGGTGTTGAGCAATATTAGTTTTTTCTAGTTGCTAAGAACGACAAGCGATTTGCACCTCCTCATCGGAAGTGACCTCTTCTGATTCGGTTCCTTCAGGATCAACCCCTGTAGATTCTGCTGGCAAAGATCCACATTGTTTCCTTATTATATGAATGCATTGTGTTTGGTCACGAAAAGTGGCAACTTTCGACTAATCGGCTCTTTAAAAAAAGATAAGGGTCATATGCTCTTCAGACAGGCCAAGTTCAGGGAACATGGGTTGCGTCTCAGCATTATCCACCAAACTCCTGGGCTCACAAGAAGACACCAAACTTAATGATGAAACCTTGGTATCAAATATAAGCAATTCCAAGTTCGAACCAATAGACTATCAAGATGGACCAGGTTCCCTGTACTACCAGTTGATGTCGATGACAACTTCGGCTCAGAAGATCGAAAACCCATCTTCTTGTGGCGGAGGATGACCCGGTGGCATCTAGCAGCCTAAGTTGTAACAAATTGATTGCTGACCTATGCGTATAGCGTTAACCGTTAAGCCAAACTATAGCCAAGAAACTTGTGCTTGTACCCAGTCGTTGCGCTCATCAGCGTCCCACCCAGCACCTTTGGTGGTGATGGTTATGGTTATATGTTATTTAACCCTGAAATTATGTCATATTTTTGACGTAGGTGTGTTGCGAAAAAAAAACTACAACATCAGCTGGGGAACAAAATTTGTAGTGAGATGCCAAATTCGAAACGATCTTTCTGAACTCTGCTTCTCTGGGAACTCGGGAAATTTTTGCTTCGGTCCATGCAGCCCGGAGCCAAGCGTTCCCCTTTAACCTCAGGTCGCCGCCCGGCAACATGGCCTTTTCCTCCTTGATCATGTCAATATCCATGTGGCTAATCATAAATCGTCGTAGGCACCTGGGATTTGACAGTGGCTGGGCTTCAGCTCGTTTCATATACCCCTTTAGGCAGTACGAGGACGATAACAATACCCTTCCATGTGCCACAGTCATTGCCATCTAGCATCCACCATCGATCTTCACCAATCATATTCATCATCATCATCATCACCATCATCATCATCACCATCATCATCATCATCATCATCACCATCCCAAAAATACAAACATACAGTATCCTAGCTACCTAGCTTGTAAAGTCACAATTTTGGGCAGCATCATTCGATGGTCAAGAAACCGTCCATCCTTAGAGAGGTTCTTGATCTTTTGCTCGCCAGCATCATCCGACATGGCAAGCACCAAAGGCGGCAAGCCCAAAAAAAACAAAATATGCTATCGTATGTCCCAATTTATGTTGGGCTTCTGTTAGGCCTATTTATCCAGTATCTCCCTATTTGGGGTTTTGCCTCATGTTGCGTTCGCCGCCATGCGCACCAATCTGAGCCCCAAGGTGCTCCAGAAGGCACAGAACCTTGCGCGGAGCCTGTTTCGGCGCCCCTGATACCACCATAAAGGTCACTTAAGAAATGATCAAAGAGGTCACTTAGCATTTGAACATACCACAAGTGACCTTGTGTTTTTTTGGCTTAAGTTACCCCAAAACGAGGTCACACTGAACGACCTGGAGCATGTTTATTCATTTTTCCTATGGTTTCCTATGGTTTTCATGATAAACCCCATGGCTATTGGCCCATTGGCAGCCGGCCTTACCACCATGGGCTCGATACACTGCTGCAGCACGTCAAAGAGTCGGTGCTTCGTGAGCAGCCTGCTGGCTGGCCGTATTTGGAGGTTAACATGGTCAGGTTTCAGCAAAAAATGAGTAAGATATAGATCATGTAAGATCGAAAAATACGCATTGAAATTGAGTATCAACTTGAATGTTTTTATTGGCGGAATCTCAGCCAATGATTTTCCCAGCCAAAGCCATGGCCCTACAGTAGGCACTGTCTTCAAGCCGAGGACCACCAAATTTCAGGCATACCCTTCTGCAATGTTGACACCAATGGGAAACAACTAGAAACCTAATTCCAAGTGACTTTGCCAACGGCACAATGCAAGCATCAACAGTGCACAGTAGAAATGCAGTGTTTCCATCCCTTACTCTCTAATCCGAGTAATAACCAGCAATGTAATTAATGTGGGTAAAGCAATAATAAGCAATCCCCCAAATCACCATAAATAGGTGGTAGTGTGTAAACCAGTCCAAATTAGGGTGGTTTATTATGGCATTGTTTTATCCACATTATAGTATAGGTCAAGCATATGTTCCATAACATTTTGCTTTGATAAAATATGGTAATTAATCATAACATCTCATTAACCAAAACATATCAATATTTACCAATTGTTCCATAACATCTAGAGATAATATACATCTATAGAACATATATATATATATATCAAAACTTTTCAGAATACATCATATCCATCATATCAATATTTTCCATATGTTCCATTTCTGGTGGGTGGTTTGAACCCCTCTGAAAGATATGAGTCAGTTGGGATGATGACATTCCCAATATATGGGAAAATGTTCCAAACCACAAACCAAATGATGTAGTTTAATGTGATGACAATATCATCAAATACAATGTTCAGGGTCAGTCAATTGCGGAACATTCCAATGATGGAACCAATATGTTCCAAACCACCAACCGGATATCTCATTAACCATTATTAACCACTATTAAACCAGTATTGATCACTATTAACCAAGCCATGTTCCAAACCACCAACCAGAGATACATTGATGGATTCATCTCGTTTTGCACCCCTCGTCGCCTCCGATGAAGCTCCCAGCTGAGTAAGTTCCGCAAGGGCTCCGACAGCAACGCCAGGATCCTCCGTTCAACTGTGGATCAAACCCGTTACTTAGGGATTAGCTAATGGGCTTAGTAGGAACTGAACCCCAAACAAAAATAACATATGTATATTCAATCTACTACATATAGTTTAGTAACTCCATGGCCCATCTACACAAAAGAATTTTAATTGCAATATCTAGTTTCATTAGTTGTATGATATTGTATGCAGCTATCCATCAGATATACCCTCTGGTTATTTAACAGAGCTATGGAAAATGACCCATTTATAGATGATGTACCTATTAAAATTGTGATTTTCCATGGCTATGTTAAATCATCCATCAGAGATGGTACATTTACACATGAATCCAGTATCAGTAACGGCGGGCTTCCTGCCCACTACCAGTTCTTGGCCGCCAAGTTACTTGATGTCCTTTTGCTGCACATGCCCCCTGCGATGGGTGATGGCACACGGCAGTTCCTGTTATGGGTTTGTTACGAGAACCCAGGGGCACGATGCTGTACTAGAAAACATCACCCAGAAGCACCCTGGACCGTTGATCACGCCATGGGTCTTCCCTATACCGAAGAAGACTCATGTTGAATTCTTTTGAATCGCCGTGGCTCGCAATTGGCTCTCCATGTTTGCCGGTCATCTAAGAGTCTAAGTGTGTTGCAGCCCAAAACCATCCCTTTTGCTTGTGGCTGAATCCCATTTCAAGATGTCTTATGGCATGGGGATACCCCCAAATCACCCAAGCATACCCAAGCCATGAACGACCATGACTTAGTTTTAGTTCACCATGGTGATGCCAGGGGATCTCCCATGACTTCAGTACCCCCCATTTCTGATGATCAAAGTGATCAATCTTCAGCCCCATCACGGTCCCATTGACCGCCCCACCGTTGATGCTTGGACTCGCACCTGTCTTTATAGACCTGACTCTCCAGGTATCGAATGATGCGCGTGCGGCTGGCGGGCGGAACCTGTGTGCTCACCCGTATGCCATGGGAAAAAATGGGCAAAACATCACCCGGTAACCCTCTGGTAAACTAACATAGCTATGGAAAATCACAATTTTTCGTAAGTAAATCAAGTATATAAATTGGCCATTTTCAGATATGTTTTCCATGAGAATTTATATGAAAAGGTCCCCCGTGGGATCCTGTTTTCACAGACCTGAAACAATGCTGCAAGCTTCGAGCCGTCTGACAACGGAAAAGCCGAAAAGTGGATGATGTGAAAACGCAATTTCTTTCAAACTTTTTTACGCGAAAATGCATGGAAAATGAAACTGACGTCCCCCCATTCCGCCAATCAGTAACCTCTTTCATGAGATGCCCCTACCAACAACCGGTGAACACCTAGACATACCGGTTTCGGCGTTTCGGCCAGCCTGGCGGTTCCGCAAGAAACGCCGCAAGCGCCAGAAGTCCTTCTTGGCACATGCCTGATCAGCGTTCTGTTGGTGGATTTATAACCGAATAGTTAGTGACCATGATTAATAATCAAGAACTAATAATCAATAATAATTATTTAGTCAAGTGATAGTTAATCACTACATAGTTTTTGACAGTCAATAACAAAAGTTAATTGAAGTTTAATAATTGTGATTTAAATAAATGTCACCATCATCTGTCGATGTGTCCTTCAATTGATTCCAACATCTACCCGAACTTAAAGAAGTGCCTCCAAGTTTCTGCCATTCTCAGCAACACTCACTGGATTGGTTGAAGGGAAAAGCTTAACCGGAAACCATGGTTTTCCCGATGAGATATAGGGCTGATATAGGGGGTTCCATGGATTTTCTGCATTTTTGCCAAAAAAACAATCCAAATCCAATAAAACACTTTCCTTTTTGCTGAATTCCTCCCTTGGCCTGCAAATTCTGCAAGGACATCATGGACGTCGTCACTTGTCCAATGACCGACGAAAAGACCCTGGCAGGCCATGCGATATGGAATCTGGAGGATCGGAGAGCAAAGATATTCAAAGTGGCCCTAAAAACCACCCTACCAAAAATGGACAAAGAATACAGTTATGGCCAAGTTATACCAGTCATGTTTGTACTGAAATAACCCCATTTAAAAGAATGTATAATCCCACAGAAATAGCCAGTTCGAACTTATAACTAATAAATGGCAAAAGCTGTAGGAAGCAACTACAGTAAAGCCAACTTGGCTTTTAGGTCTTCAATCAGCGGGACTTGAATCATCTTCGCTACGTATCCGCTACGTCCCGTCCCTAGCGCCTGGGGGTTTGGATTCCCGTTGTGAATGATTTAGCTATGAATTATTGGCTATTACCCTCTGGTAAACTAACATAACTATGGAATATCACCATTTTCTTAAGGGTAAATCAACTAAAAACAGCCATTTTCAATAGCTATGTTGGTTTACCAGAGGGTAACCATGATTGGCCATTAACTATTATTAGCCCTATAAATAATGCAGAAACATTTGGAAAAAAATACGTTGTTTCCCCAACAACTTGCTCTATGTGACCCATGTTTCACAGTCTGCCGCAGAGCCACAGCAGGGAGAAGAACAGCACCATGATGGAAAAGGCCTAGATTTTTTCACCGGACTCATTGGGGTGAAGGAGTATTGTAAACCCCCTGGTCATTTTACATATGGCCATTCAGTTCATTGATTTACCCTCTGGTAATTTAACATAACTATGGAAAATCACCATTTATAGTGGATTTTCCCATTGAAAATAGTGATTTTCCATAGTTATGTTAGTTTACCAGAGGGTACCTATTACAAAAATGATGATTTTCCATGGCTATATTTGTTTACCAGAGGGACAATGATGATAAACCGGGGATTTAAGGGTACCCGATGTTCAACAAAAAACAAAAAAAGTAGCCTCTGGTAATGACTGTTACATAGCTATTGTGACATAGCTATTGAACATGGCCATAGAAATAGTATAATTGTCCATGAAACATGGGGATTTTCCATAGTTATGTGACAGTTTACCAGAGGGTATCTCATATCAAATCCCCATACGTGGAAGAACATGAGCAGCAAACTGTGTTAGTTTACCCATAGGAAACAAGATACAACACGACACGAGTGCTGTGCGCCCTTTCAACCAGGAACATCGCAAAAATCCATCGGAATCATCTCAATTGGGATGGACATATGTGGCACTCCAAAATGTGCTGTGCCAATGTTTAGATCCTCATGTTTCCTCGCGATGTCCCATGGGCGGATGATCTCCTGTGTTTATCTAGAAAAGGCAATATCATTACCCTCTGGTAAACATAGAAAAAGCTATTGAACATGGCCATTTATAGTTGAATTACCCATAAAAAATGGTGATTTTCCATCGTTTTTTGTATCAATGGCCATTTCAGGATCCTAGATTGGAGGTACCTACCATATATAAGGCCTATGTAAGGGAATATCCCCACAAAATATGGCCTTATATGGTACAGTACCTCCATTTTTGGATCCTGGAATTCCCATTGATTGTATGTTTACCGGAGGGTATGTCAGCCAGGGATTCATAAAGCCACAGGCTGTTTGGCAGGTAGCGTACATTTGTCTCAAATGATCCCTGGGGAATCCACCAGGGTTGCTCCATCGAATAACCGGATCATTCAATCACAAGTCGAAACGCTTAAACTGTGTTAAGAGTAACTATTACACAGTAAAAGGTTGTTATTTGGTTGTTTAAACATATTTAAAGTATTAAACCTTTAATCATATGTAAAGATTCCCTAAGTTTCACCGTCAAAAGCCCGCTTCACCAAGTGTTTCATCTGTCGAAAACCTCTGAGGTTCCAGCCCTTTCTGCCGTGTTTCGTGCCTTGCAGGGCGAGGCGGAGATCTGCCCTAGCTCGGATCCCACGAATCGGATCCGTGGTGTATGACCCAAATATAACCCATACAAAAACATAATATCCCATGTATAATAGGACATATTCCATATAGAAGTCGGGGGTATAACTGTATAACCCATTGAACCCGAGGCGATTGTCATATATCCATTTATAAACTTAAAGATGTTTAAGTGTATACAGTGTCTTCTCTATCTATCTACAAATTGCACCTTTTCACCATATCCTGGCGATTTGCCCCTGAGAAAACGTGTGCTGGGAACACATACGTGAAGCGTTTGGATTTGAAGAAATAATCACCATCATTAAAAATCATTAACCATCATTAACCATTGGGTATGGCATCACCATTCTTCCCACTCAGAAGCAACCTTGGTTGATCTTGATACAGTTCTTACTGTCCCTAGACCCGAGACAAACTCCAAGAATTGTTCAGTGAGTCGCTCACACCCTGGATAAAATAACACACCCCTCAGGCACATTCAGGTCAAGTGGATATCTAAACCAATACATCTCCAAGAATTGCACATGTTCAGCATCCGTGAAACCATCCACCAAGACTTATTTTACCCATCATCTCGGCATTTACCATCACTTATAGCAATGGATTGGTTTACATAAGGAGAAAAATGCAGGAACCCCCGTATATCTATCATTATCTATCTATATGTCATAGGAAAACCCATGGTTTCCAGCAGATTTTCCCTTAAACCAATCAGTTATACCATGTAAATCACCAGGTTTCAACTGCTTCACCGCCCAAAATCTTTCGCCGGCCAGTCGCCGTAATCTCCATGGAAGCAGGCGTGAACTGGGTGAGGCTCCAGTGAAGTGATGTGCTGTAGCCTGGGGAATTTGAAATGCGCCTGGTAGATGTGGCTGGCCATGTATAACAGTTATAGCTGGCTATTTCTATGGGATAAAACACATTCTATAAATGGGTTTTTGTTAGTACTTATAACTGGCCTTTTTTGGGTCATAACTCTAGATGTTGCTGGCTATTCTAAGGTCAATGCTTGGACATGATTGGTGAATATGTTGAGATATACACATGGCTAACCATTTCACAACATAGGAACTTTGTGACGACCCAAAACGAAGAGATCCAGTAATCGCGTTTTAAGATGTTATAAAATGTCATACCCTCTGGTAAACTAACATAGCTATTGAAAATGGCCATTTATAGTGAGTTTTCCCATTTAGAGTGGTGATTTTCCATAGTTATGTGACAGTTTACCAGAGGGTAAGTTGGGCAAGCAGGGCCACCTGATTGTTGAATTACCGACATGTGAACCAGAGACACCCGGCAATGGGACAAGCTTCACCATCAACCAATCCTGGATCTCAGTTGCATGTGAAAAGCCTCCAAAAAAAGCACCAAGATCGCGGTTAACGTTGGTAAACATGCCTGGATTAACTGTGGTTTATGCTTGATATGGTAGAGACCCATAGTAAAGACAAATTCCCTATTTGGTAAAGTATCAATCTTCGGAAGTTTCCCCACCTTTTTTGTTTTTTTCTGTTGGTTGAGTTCAATGGCACATGAGATGCACACCGTGGTGCATCAGTTTGTTAGCTAAATGAGTTTATAACTCCAACAACTATGGTTTCTAGATTTCTAGATGTTTGTAGATTGTAGACTCGTAGAACAAAACATGACTGGGGGGGGGGCACCACTTTGTGGTAATTTCCCTGAAAACAATCCATTGAGGTCAGTAACGGTCGAAGAATATGTAATTTCATGTTGGTTCAATCGCTATGTCCCCTATCAATCGACCAAACAACCAATCAACCAATCAATCTATCAATCTAAGTCTATCAACTATCAATCTGTCGATCTATCAATCAATCCACCTACCTATCTACCTACTATCTATCTAATCTTTCAATCAACCAACACATCTATCTATCTATCTATCTATCTATCTATCTATCTATCTATCTATCTATCTATCTATCTATCTATCTATCTATCTATCTATCTATCTATCTATCTATTATCTATCTATCTGTCTATCTACCTATCTACCTATCTACCTACCTACCTATCTATCTAATTTATCAATCAACAAACACAACAATCAATCAATCTATCGATCGATCTGTCTATCTACCTATCTACCTATCTATCTATCTATCTAATCTAGTCCAATCGAATCTAGTCCAATCAAATCTAATCTAATCGAATCTAATCTATCTGTCTATATATATATATATATATATCATATATCCATCATTATCCACATAATTCCACCATATAAATCGACTGTTTAACTTTCGAACCCTTCGGCGTCAAGGGGCGGTAGAGCAAGTCACGGTCCTGCACTGCAGCTTCACCCCCTGCAGGCGAAACTTCGCCAAACGGTACCCGTTGAGTCATAGCTGGTATAGCTGGTGGTGATTCCCCCAGTCATATGGGTAAAAAATATGCGATATGATGTTAACTTCTAACCATAACTGGTTGATGGTATACCTACCCATCTGAAAAAAATATGAGTTCGTCAGTTGGGATTATTCTTTTCAATATATTAAATACATATATGGACAAATAAGAACCATGTTCCAAACCACCATTTGGTCTCCATTTGGCGAACACGCTGCCGAAGTCTGGCGTCGACAGCCTGCTTCTGAGGTGTCCAAACCTAGATGCCAGTGAGACAGACCTTAGGGAATCGACCATCGTACTTCGCACACGGCAAAGAGGATAAAGCCTTGGTTGTCCTCCAAATACCTTGCGGGCAAATCCTCAGCACCCAGTCGTCAATGGCCTCCAACCTAACTGGGTCCCACCTGACCGCAAGACAGCCTGTGTGCAACTGCAAACTGCGGGAAGAGGGTCTGCAATATTGAGAGACAGAACCAACCCCATGATGACGAAGGCACTCTTTCAATACCTTAGCAAACCAACGAGTTCGAGTTTGGAAGGGCACGGCTAGGAGATCGAATCCAGGGTCATCTGTGCCAGACTGCCACGTAGTGGTCTTAACAGGCCCGAATTCACCTGACATCATGTAGTCAATGTAAAGCTGATAGTGTGACATCCAAACCAAAGGAAAGGAGGGATCATAGCTGAACCAAAACCAGGACAGCATACGGCGAACTGTATCATCCCCGTACCATCGCACCGCTGCAGATGGGATGAGAATCTCAGGCAGAGGCAGTCCAGCCCTGGCAGGAAACAGAGGTTGGGAGCACAACTCAGCTCGTTCCTCACCATCTTCAGGATCATCATCACGGACAACTCTCCGACTGATGGCAAGCAAAACATGTTGAACGGCTCGTGACAAAGCTCTGGTGGCACTTACCGCCTGGACATGTGTTTGATAAAAGTCCCAAAACGCAGCTGGCCGCATACGCTGCGCAGAAACCGCAGCTTGGTCAGCCAACTGGTTATGATAAAAGCACCATTCCTCCAAGGGATCATTCGCAGCGGAAAGAGACTGATGTGCTACCACCTTGGTAATTTGAAGCCAGCCAACGGGAAATTCCTGCAGACAATCAAAAATCTCACGCCACAAATCTGCATGCGGACTGTTAGGTCTTGGCCTCTGCCCTTTAAGCAATCTGCGCAAACGTACAACAACCGATTTGCAGTCAGACCACAACACGACCTTAGCGCAATGCTGACGTCCAAGTTGTAATGCTCTGAGCACTGCAAGCACTTCGGCCCTGTAGGCACTTTGCAAAAGACCAGGCAGCGGTCCCTTGTCCATGACTTCGCCACAAAAACCCCCTGGATCAGCCCTAACTATTGCCCATGAGGCAATCCGGCAGGAAATTTCATGCTGGTTGAGGCAACTACCATCAGTGAAAATGTGCAAGTCATTCACCATAGGCTGCAAAACAAGAGGCAAAGGATCAGGAATAGCTGAAAGCTGAGTATACCATCGCCGAGCAGTCCAGGGCCTCAAACTCCATCCGTAACAGGTAAGAGTCTCTGGCGCCTGTGTGATTACAGCCATGATGTCATCACTAACACTTTTCCTAATGCCAGCAAAATGTTCACAAATCCAAAAGCGATGGTACCTACTGTCAACACATTCGCAATAAGGGCACAGATTGGAGCCCCCTTCCTGGCAGTATTGTTTACTGTCCTGCGTGACATGAGTTCCATTCAGGCTCTTTTTGAAAAGTTCTTGGTCATCACGAGACAATGAAGTCAACCACGTTCGAGTCTCAGCAGGGTCAACATCACCAAGTGACGAGAATCCTGGGCGGTGACGAACCTGTTGGGCAACAACGAATTGCCACGCCCATTGAACCCTAAAACGCAACTCGGAAATGGAAATCTGAAAGAGGCAAAACCGGCCAAACAGATCAGCTACATCCCCATTGGCGCACACATGCCACCCTAGCGTGTGAAGTCGGGTCAACAGAGTGGTGGTGAAGCTATTGGCAGGTGGAGCATCACAACCCTCAACTAAGAGCGTCAACATGTGTCGGACATATTGCTGTTCACCACTTTCGCGCACACATCTAAATGTTTGCATGATGGCCCAACATTGGGGGTCGACAAGGCAAGGTTCGATTAAACCCAACTGGATCCAAGCATTGGCACCAGCATTATCGGAGTCAAGACCTTTCATAGCACCTGAACGAAGCTTGTGAAACACCGCATCCCCAATGTCAACCGCTGCTATGGCATGAAGGGCCTTTGGCCACGCAGAAGCAATTAGAGCACGGATTTTATCCCGATACCGACAAGCTGACAGGCGAAGTCGTGGCCACACCTCAAGCATACTCTTGACCCTATCTTGTAAGGCAGCATTTGTGTGCTTCCGTGCCAATTGCAGATGGGCACCCAGGTTTCTACCCCCCAGCACTACCGTGAACCCTTGTGAGCGGAGCAACTTGCGGCCTTCAGGGCAGATTGACCAGGCATAGGCTTTGCGGGCATCCAACTGAAGGTCCATGGCATCAGCAAACTTATTCATCATGTCAACAGCTCCTTGAAGGAGGACAGGATTGCAAGTGATCAACTGCCAATCATCCACAAAGGAGACAGGAGTGCAAAGTGGGAAATAAACTTGCATCCAGCGGTGAAAACATACGTCAATCAAAACCATAGCAACACAGCTAAGGCCACACCCTTCCGGGACCCCAGTCACACTCAGCAAGCCCTCCGAGAGGGAGTCACGCAGTTGAAACCTCCTTTTCATTTGGGTCAGTGCACCAGTCCACGCAAGCAGAACTCGGCTGGGAATTCCCATGTGGGCAGCAAGCTCCATCACAACCAACCTAGGCAAAAAATTGAAAGCCTTTGCCAGATCAGCCACCGCTCCGGTGAGAGGGATATTGGCCACAAACGATTCCTCTATGGTCCAAAGCATTCTCGTCCAGATCTGAGCAGCGTGTCTTCCCGGCCGACTTCCATACAAGGTGTCAGGCAACGATGCATCCAGGTTGCTCAATGCCCGTTTGGCTTGCGAGGAGCTCCAGCACCGATACAAGAGACTAAACACAGTGATTGGTCGAAAGTCCGAAGGAGTGCTAGGAGTAGCCACTTTCGCAAGGCTGACCACTTTACCATCCACCAGCTGGCTAGGCCAACGACCATCACACTCAGCCGAAGCAAAGATATCACAAAAAGCTTGTAAAACCTGCTTTGGCATACGTTTCAGGTCCTGCAGGGTGACCCCATCAAACCCGGCAGAGGTGCTAGCTTTCTTGTTGTGAATGATATCAAACAACTCAGGAACCTCCATGGGCTCCCATACAAACTGTCCAGGTGCAATGTGTGCACGTGCAAAAGCCAAAATGGTCTGCCATCGCTGCGGAGGAACATTGACATGGCGCATCCAACGCTCCTTCCATACCTTCAAAAATTCATGAGATAAATCAGAGTGAGTACCTACATGACGAATCTGGGAAACCTGTTGGCCAGGCAACAATCCCTCCGTGTTCTCAAGCCAGAGTGCATCACTGTCATGGTGGATGACAGTCAAGGGTGTTCCTTCACAAGCAATGACCCTGTCAGGCACGAAATTGCATGGTCTATCCAAAACCACCTTACCTTCCTCATGGACAACCTCCTCAACAATTGCCTGGATGGGCTGCAGCAGAAGGTCAACCCCCGGGGTCACCGGCGGTTTCATGTCCATGAAAACCAAGTTGGGGTTTTGTTCCCTTCTGTAACGTGCATATTGTCGAGACTGCTTCATGAGGGCAATTTCAAAATCTCGGGCAGCAAGTACCATACTGTCCAACATTGCACAGGCAACAAGATGACCAGGCGGCCCCACAGGACATTCAACAGGTGAGGCATTCACTTTGAACTTCATATTTGACCACCATGAGGGAAAATCAGGCACAAAACCCTTAGCTCTTCGAATGGCACCCCATGTTTCTGCAACTGGTATTCCAACATCACGTTCACTAGTCAAGAGGCGACAAAAGGCCTGTAGTCTCCTGACCTGACGCACCCACTGGGCATGTTTGATGGATTGTCCACAGAAGTGTGGCTGGAAATCACCTTTTCTACCATTCTTAAGAGGCACATCATGGCACGGTTTACGTTTCACAGGGTGAAGGCATTGTGCCCTGCCGACCATTGCATCAGGAACAGGAAACGGACATTGTTGCACAGCACTATGCTCAATGTCACGCCACAACTTCTGGTAAGCCTGAGTAGGATGCAAGGAAGGGTCCCACACTATTTGATCACCAAAATCATGAGGCCAAGGAAAGGGCAAAGGTTTGGGCCATACGCTAATCGCAGGCATGGCATAAGGCATCTGAAAGCGACCAAGCAAAACTGAGTGATCCGGCCAAACATCAGGCAGCACATCTCCCCCCAGCAGCAAGTCTTGCAGCTCAGGACTCAAATACAGGAAGTCCTTGCGTGTGACATGTTTACAAGTTGGTCGGATTGGGATGCCCCACTTTTCAAGCAAGAGATCTTGCAGTTCACGAAATCCAGCCCTGTTCAGGATGTCAAAAGAGGGGAGGGAATCTTGGGCAACATTCCAGTCCCCCGCAACGTATCGAAAGCCCTTGGTCAAGTGACACACCTGAGCAGCCGCATGATGCAATAAGAACTCATTGTTGCGGACATGGTTGGGATGGAGATGACTCTCGGCTTCCCCATACAGAACAGCACCAGTTAGCCAACAGTCCCCAACCAGTGTGGTAGCCAAGACAGCTCTCCCAGAATTGTTCACACTTTCAGGCAAGGCAGATGGAATCAATCTGATTGGAAAACGGGAAACAACAGCAACTCCCTTCCAGGCATTATCCGAAATCATGCATGGCTTTACTGACACGACATCAGTGACACAGTATTTGTGTTTGGCCTTGGCAGCTTTGAGGCCCGACCGAAATTTGGACACATCTTTCCCAAAGAAATGCGTTTCCGAAATCATCCAAATATCCCCTATGGACAGTTCAGAGGTGAAAAAGTGAGACTTGTTGCGCAGCCCAGAAGGATTGAAACATCCCAACGTAAAAACATCCTCAAATTGTTGCGGTCCAGGGTTTGAGGCTTCCCCCACGTGAACCAGGCTGAGCATCACAAAAGCAAACCACCATCGTCGCAGTTGAGGTGCAGCAAGACGACGCTTCCAAACGCACATAACAGGACAAACCAACATGGGGATCAGGGTCAGCCATGCCCGACGAAACGCACCAACACAAAAGGCCAGAAGCAGGCCGGCAAGGCACATCAACATGAGACAAGGCGAACACCCCTCCCCACACCGTCATTCCATGGTGTCATCCCTTGGCCTTTGGCTTGGGACCTCGGATTTGGTTCATCTGTTGTTCGAACATCGCCTGGATGCTCTGCGACTGTGATTCCAGCTGTCCGTGGAACTGGCTTGACTGCTGCTGAATTTGGCTTTGCACAACCGCAAACTGCTGGTTGCTATGAGCCGAGAAGTCATTGAATTGCGCCTCAAGGCTCTGGTTCTTTCCCATCAGCATCTGAACCTTTTCCTCAAGAGACGTCAGCCTCTCAGGGGTGTCATCCTGCTCCATATTCGTCGGCAATTTGGGTAGGACCGCAGACTGGATCCTCTCTTCCAGTTGTTGCATCCCATCTGCCGCTGCCGTCGCTTGCGCAGGCGCCCGAGACTTGTTGTATGGGCCCCACGGGTCAGAGTGCAGCCAAGGGTCTTGCTCAGGCACAGATTTGACGCTTTCAGGACCACAGAGAGACAAGGTACTCACTGAACCAACTGTGAAACTCCCAGCAGGACGCGTTTGTTGCGCCACAGCTTTGTGTTTGGTGATCACCACGTCACCGTGGCTGGTGCTCAAAATTGATTCAGGTGGTGAGTCCACTGATTGCAGCAACCACATGGAACCTTTGCCAGGAACCGGCTGCATGGGTTGAAGAGCTTGTACCTGCCATCCAACCTGCCTCATCGCCCTGGTAATGGCGGCCCTATCTGTTCCCCAAGGAAAGGGGCCGGCACAGTACTGAACCTTCGGTCCATTCGGCAAAAACGGTGTCTCAGGTCTGACAATGGCATGAATCGCAGGAGCTTGTGCTTGCTTCACACGGACCCCTCTACGATCACCTAGCCTGGCGATGCCTATGATCCCTGGATTAGTCTGCTTGAGGTGGGACAACTCACTGGCATTCATTCTCGGGGCCCAGATCACAACATACTCCTCCATGACCTGCTTTCCATCAGGGGTGCGAGGTTCCATGTATGATCCTGAGATACCACTGGCAGCCAACAGACTAGGCAAAATCGATGCTGGAACTCTCAAACATACGGAAAAGATGTCCGACTTGCTTGCCTGAGTAGGGCGAAAACTTGAAGTGAGAAACTGTCTTCTCCACACATCCATGATCGGCTCCTTCACCTGCAGATTGTCAGGGTTATGCCAACAGTCACACGTGCACGGAGATTCATGACATCGGCGCAAAAGGGGAAACATCTGGACCAATTGCTTGATGGGGGCATGAACAAACTCTTCCCATGGCACAGGGCACTCATCACGATAGGTCATGATTTTCACGGAAACAACATCAAGAGGATCCAGTGCAATGGCGGAGGCTGCAACGTGTTTCTCCACAATTCCTTGACCAAGCTGGACAAGGGTGGCCTCTACCAACAATGGTTCTTGATTGGCCGAGCACAGGCATGGAACCATCATAGTCGTGTGTGGAAGTGAAGTCTGGACTTGATTTGGTGGCTCATCCAGCACGATCATAGCCAAGGGGCCACTAGACACAGTTTTTCCGGCTCGCAAATATGGCGTGGCATCTTTCAATGACAGGAAGGCAACACCATGTGCTACAGGGCCGATTTGCTGCGCAGCAATTTGGGGCAGAGGCTGTCCCCCAGATCGAAATGTTCCCTCAAGCAATGTGAGTTTCATAGGGTCCAAGACACTGGGAACTGGCACCTTAGTATTGATTTTACTGGGTTTGATCTTTTTCCCCACCGTTGCACCCTTGTTGGCATTGACCATGGTTTCCAATTCGTCGGGCAAGATAAACTGGAATTTGGCGTTGCTGCCGACTGCCTTCAAGGACCTCCACACGTTTTTGGCCTTCAATGCCGTCTGGATGGTCTCAGTACCAATGGCCCTTATGGCTTGCAATGCACGCTGTTCAAGTAAGGACTCTGGCACCCCATGTTTGGCAAGGATTTCAGCCAAGCTTGTGACTAAAGCAGCAGAAGGACCTGAACCCCATGCAACCGAACATCGACAACACTGATCCGTCAACACAGCCTGGACAAAACTTGCGCGCAAATTGGAGTGCACGTCTTTGAGCCTGTCCAAGGTCGATGGGAAGACTTCCCCGACAATTATTTGGCCAAGGAAGGCAACGGCCGCTGCACCACAGTAGTCATGATCAGGCAAGCTCTGTGGAAACCAATGGACAACATGTTCTGCAAAGCCAAGCTGAGTACACAGCACTTCAACCAACGGCAGAATACAGCCAGCCGTAGTGATACCATCATGCATCAGATGAAATGTCAATTGATCCTGATGTGGCACAATCCAAATCGGAACCCAATGATGATCAACAAGCTGAACAGTGACAATGTGGAAACCGAGCTCCTTGATTTGTGGGTGAGTCCTCGCCCAAGATTCACAGAGGGGTTTTCCCACAGTATCCCACGCAACCAGAAAGAGAGGATCCAGCGTTACAAAACCTGGTATCACACTGTGGTCCTTGCGTCTGCGTTCAAACTGCCCAATCATATCATTGAGGTGAAAACGAATTTCATCATCGCCCCATTCTCGCTCATGTAGGCGCAACAATTCCAACCTGTGCTCAGGAGAAAGGCAAGTGTGTGACAAACTACACCTGTTGGCAACATGACCTCCAGGTCCAGCACCATCACTGCTTCCTGCCGTGTTGCTAGAATCACCACTACCCCAAATGACAGGAGCACACACATCACCTTCAACTGCAAGGGCGTCTCTAAAAGAGTTGCGCAGCTGAGAATGCACCACGTCAAGTTCGGCAGAGGAGTTCGGAAGTTCAGAGCCGAGAATTGTGTGAGACAAAAAGCCCACTGCCAGTGCACCACACCTGTCATCAGACTGAAAATCACGGCAAAAGTGTTGAATCTCGAGTTTCACATTACCAAGACTACAAGCAATCTGTTCACACAGTGACTGCAGCAGAGGGTGGACACGGTCAGTTGCGTCCCAGGTAACAAGGCTCAAAATTTGACCCTTACGGCAAAGCAAGACAGGAATCCAATGGCTGTTAAGGCAGCAAACCGTGATCACGCAAATGTCTTTGTCACACAAGGCCGACGCAGCATAGGATACCTGAGAATCATCAGATACGCATTGGGTGAACAGGACTGGGTCCAGCAGGGCCATCTTGGGCACTTCCAATGGGGCATACACAAACGGAACCTGGTCAATTATGTGCTGCAAGTGAAAGTGAATTTCGTCATTACCACAAACTCCCTGCTGCTGGTCAAGAAGAAGGATTCTGTCTTTTCCTGAAATCGATGCAGAGGGCAGACAAAACGAACTCGCCAAGGCGTCAGGCATCACATGGGCTTCACCACCTTCATGGTGAGGCTGGTTGACTCTGTCGACAGCATTCCTCTGAAGCTTAACAGACTCAGTGGCACTACATTTCGGAGGGCCAATGGATCGGTCATCGTTCACTTGAGGCAATCGTTGGCAAGACTCACCAGACTGGTCAGGCACACTGTCAAACCAAGGGGTGACAATAGAGACGCTATGGCTCAAAGCTGGCTGAGACCCGCTGCCCCACTCATGTGGGCACATACAACATTTTCCCTGATGAATTGCCTGAACAAAACTAGCTTTCATGTTGGAATGGGCATAGTTAAGTGCAGTGACATCACCAGGCAGGTCAGCATCAAGGATCACATGCCCCAAGAAACAAATCGACGCGGTGCCGCACAAGGCGTGGTTTTCCACATTTTGAGGAGTCCAGTGGATCACATGTTCATGAAACCCAAATTGGTTGCTCAGGAAATCCAAAAGAGGGCGAATCTGGTCAAGTTTGGTGACTCCGTCATGCAAAAGATGAACCAACAAATATCCCTGACAAGGTTCAATCCATAGGGGAACCCAGTGATGGTCAACCAACAAGCTCGCAACAATGTTGTGTGAGTCAGCAACAACCTCAGGGTGTTGAGTACACCATGCAGCACAGGCAGCCTTGCCCGTGGTCTCCCAGTCACGCAATGTAAGTGGATCCATCACCACAAAACCAGGACACTCATGATTCCATCGCCTGCGCAAGGAGTTGCGATAATCCAACATGTTCTGAATGTGGTACTTGATTTCATCGTCACCAAGTTCCTTGCCGTGAGCACGAAGAAGTTCAAGTCTTTGTTCAACTGGGATGCATACATGAGAATCATCAAGGTGCAAGGATTCCCCCATAACCTGCAACTCATGATCACCTACCGTGGTGTCACCACAACCCCAAATCCATGGTCTTGTAGTCATAGGACCCGTGGTCAGCACATTGGCAAATGAGGTCTTGAGTCGGTGATGGATAACATCGGTTTCCTCAACAGTCGTGGGCAACATCGTTCCATTCAGAGAAAAGGACAAAAAGGCCATAGCAAGGGCACCGCATTTGTTGGTGGTCAAGAACAATCTGTGATGTCTTTCAACCGCAACATTTTGAAAACCCAAAGACTTGGCAAGAATGTCACACATTTGGTTGAGGAGAGAATGGTCATGGTTCGGGGCATCCCATGTATAGACATGAAGGACATCCCCATGGGGGGTGAACACAACTGGGATCCAATGCTGGGCAATCATGCACGCAGTAACCACAATGCACTGTTTGGAGCGCACTTCAGGATGATTTTCACCCCAAGCACGACACTCATGAAACCCATGATGCAGCCACCCAGAAGACAGCAAAGGGTCAAGGACAATGCAAGTTCTGGGGTTCACCATCCCCTGAGCTTTTTGTTGATCATCATAGCGTTGGACAAGCAAAGCAATGTGGTGACGAAGTTCATCATCACTCCAAATGCAGGATTGACGATCCAGAATCATGTTTCTGTCACTGGCATGCATCACCTGATTTCTCAATGACAATAGATGTTTCTCATTAACCACCGCAGGGACTCGCAATTGCAAAAACTGTTCATCTTGCAAACCAAGCAATGGAGCCGCAGATATCCAGGAAGTCTGGCAATGAGCCTCCAAGCCTGGCACAGAATGTGGCTTGACATCACTGCCCAGATCCCCAATCTCCTGGGACAGGGGCGTGGTACACTTCCATGGCACAGTTGGTGAAATGCAAGCTTCAAATGGCATAAGGGAAGCATGGGCTTCTGCATTGACTGGAGCTGCAGGAGGAGCCCCAGTACCGGATGCAACATTCAGCGCTGGCGAAACTACATGGTCGGATGCAAGGGTGCAAGACACCTGCTCACCCATGTCAGCATGATCACCACTGAAAGAATCCTTACCAATTTGCACATCATCCACTGAGTCCATCATGGTAGGAAAAACATCACAAATGCAATCATCACTAGCCGGCATGCCTTCACATCGAATGCAAATGACCTGGCCCAGTGACAAAACATGTGTCGGAGAAATCTCTTCAAAATGTTGAAGATACCAGTTACTTGCAAATTCCCAACTAGCTTGGAGTGGGCCTGCACAAATTCATGAACAGTACACCCAGATGCAGCAAGGAGTGTGATTGGATCAGCAAACTCATGGTAAAACACGACAATACACGCATCATCTTTGGGATGTGGAAGCTGTGGATGATCGGGTTGATGTTCAAACCACGGCGTGGGTGTCAAATCTTCCTCAACCACTGCATCAACATCGGGCTCATCATCCAGATGAGGATCGTCAATCACTTTGGGGAGACCCTGACATTGCCGAATCAAAACATCCAGAATCGAAGCAATGGTAAGGTTACCTTCTGCAATCATGGGCCACCTTGGCGGATGCATGAGTTCATGAATGGACATAGATTCGACATCCTTCCAAAAATGCATCAATGAGATCATCTTGGCATCACAAATTGATTCTTTCTCACATGGCCAAACGCGTCTACATTGCATCAAGATCCATGACTGATAGGCTTGCAACTGCGCTGGCGGCGCAAAGGTGGCATTCCCTGATCTGAGGATGGACAAACGTTCAAACAGGCAAGAAAACACCCAAAGAGCTTGGAACGGGCTGGCCATCTGACCAGCAGCAGCAAGCGTTAACCTGGGGTTATCACCAAAATCAATTGTGGGGTCAAATCCCTGCAAAGCCAAACATTCATTGGGATGTATGTGCCTGAGTTCCTGTGCAAAACGATCAGAAACAGACCTGACCAACAAGCCAAAAAGGCCCTTGTCCTCCAATCGACGCATCGAAAGTCCACTGCTACGGCATCCACATTCACATGGCATCAGTTGAGAACCCCAGGAGTGTAATGCACAAGGGGCACATCCTTCCATGTTCAAAAGATACCGAACACATGACAGGTCACCTGCACCAAAACATTGTTTCTCAATTTCAGTCAAAAGCAGGCGAGCTTCATCTTCCTGAGCCCATGATAAGATTCTCGGAATGACACATGCAACCTTGGTGATTCTGGTGGCAGTAGGCCATTGAGGCAGAGGAACGGAACCTATCCATGGGGCAGTCAAGATCCACCATGCACGTGACCTACGTGAGGGCCAAATCTCAGACAAATGCAACTCAGATTGGGTACAACAAAAACCTGTGGCATCAATGAACTTCTGGATCTCCGTTTTCACCCATGCGTTAGAAGCTGCTGGTACAACGCATTCAAGGATTATGGCTTGTGCCCTGGTATAGAAGGCCGTGGCCAGGACACCACGAAGGCTCATAGCCCTGCAATCATGTTCACCTCGTTGGTCACCGAGCTTAGAGAACGGCTGACATGCGTACCCTGCAGCTACAGTTGAGGCGCCTTTGGACAAATGCCAAATCTTGGCAATAGACTCAGCAGTTCCTACTTCAGCATGCAAGGTGGTGACATCACATTGTTTGCGGTACAACATGGTCATTTTGTCATTGAAATCCACAGCCAAGACAGGTGTGAAACCTGCTGCTGCAAATCCTTGGGACATTCCACCGAAACCTGAGCATAGTTCAACCACCTCAGAAACAGTAGACCAGGATGGCCTGCAGTGTTGCAAAATCTTTGTGTCCTCGTCAATCACCAAAGCAGGTCGTGGATATTGTCGCACCAGGGAAGCCCCCAAAAAGGAGTAGAACTCACCATCCCCATCCAACAAACCAGACATGGTAAAGAAGACCCCGTCAGGAATAGACTCGAACAAATGAAGGTCGTGACCCGGGTCCCAACAGTGGAGTTTGGACACCAAATTCATCTTTGAACCGACATCAGTTGAAGAAAACCGCATAGGAAAGTCCATTGCAACAAGTGACCTAGCACGCCCCCGCTCAGTCAGAACTGCCGCACTAGCTGGAAAGTGGCTTGGGCATCGCGGCTGTTCCAAACCACCAACCAGATATGATTCATATAGGTTTAATTTGGTAATTTGTCCAATATTCACATACGGCCACTTGCAGTTTATGAATGGATTCCTTTCATTGTGTTGGAGGAACTGGGGTGTGCTGCAGAGATATGTTCAATTCATCTTAAAGTTTTTTCTAAAATGGTTTAACCATCGTCATAGCCTCCAGGTGACCATCAAGCTGGCAAATGACCTCCACAGTTGACACACACACACACACGCACACACACCCCTTACCATCTGGTTATTTAACATAGCCATGGAAAATCACCATTTTTAATAGGTAAACCAACTATAAATGGGCAATTTTCCATGGCTATGTTAAATAACCAGATGGTAATTTCTCCTAGTCCCATATTGGCTAAATATCTCCATTTTTGTAGATGAACTCAGCATTTAGCCGGAGATTTTTATCCCCACTTAGAAAGTGTTCATCCATCCGGTTGGTTTCCCCAAAATATCATGTTGGTCAACAAGTCTCCATTTTCAGAAATACACACACCCACAAACACACACACACACATATATATATATATATACACTCATAGTCGTAGTATATATATATATATATATTTATATATATATAAATATATCAACGCCAGATCAATAAACTTTGGCCGGATTATCGTTGCTATTCAAATTGGTCCCCCCCGCCCGGTTTATAACAACAAATCAAAAAGATAGAACAGTGTTTCCAGGTTAGGTGATGTTTCCTGCACAATTTCCAGGTCCAACTTCCCCGGCATCTGCCTGTCTCGCTGCTGGTCCAACTGGGCCCTGATGCAGCCATCGAGGTGCCAAGGTAGTACCAGGCGCAAGCGATGAAATGAGTCCTGGAACTGTTGCAGTTATGGCCCTTTTACCAGTTAGAAGTACAGATTCACCCCATTTATACAACGTATAATCCCATAGAAATAGCCAGTAATAAATGACCATAACTGTATAAATGGGAAATCACAAGTTATCACTGGCCATTCATTTATTTCCATTTATAGCCAGCTATAACTAATTTATTAGTTATAATCCAATGGAAATCAACAGTTATAACCAATAAATGGTCATAACTGTGGAACTGTTGGGATCCGTGGGAAACATGGATAACGCGGCAAAATTTGCTTGAAAAACCATGGGGAAAAACGGTGAGCAATGGAAAGAGGCAACACAAATCGGTTGGTGCCTGTTTCTTCCCCCTATCATATCCGTATGTTTATGGCGGGATCTATTGGTGGCATTATGGTTGCTTTGATACCCCGTGGGTTGGGTCAATCCACCCTTTATTTCACCAAGGGTCGGTTCTATTCTCCATCAGGAATCAGGCCTATAACTTTTATAGATACGAGTAACACAACAACTGCTTGACATGAATTATCCTCCGGTAAACTAACATAGCTATGAACAATAGATGAAAACACATTAATTTATAGATAGATATATAAAGTATATACTTCCCATTAAACCTACACCTACACTTAAAGGGTTTTCTATTAACATGTTTGATTGCGAGGGTAGATGCTCTTAACACAACAACTGGTTAACATTAGGGAAACACTTGTGGTTGTTTTTCCGAAACTATATTTACCATCTGGTTATTTAACATAGCCATGGAAAATCACCATTTTTAATAGGTAAACCGGTAAACCATCTATAAATGGGCCATTTCCCATGGCTATGTTAAATAACCAGAGGGTAGTAGTTTACTGCACGGGAACGTCCTGAGTTCGATGGGTTTTCCTCTTTCAATGACCATATAAAAAGTCTAGTTTGGGGATTCCCAGCGATCCGCCACATTTGACGACACCGAAGGGTATCACCAGTAAAGCTGTTGTGGGTATTTACTATAGAAATTATTATAGCCATTATGGTACCCTGAATTCTATATATATATATAGGAGTAGTTAACTAAGGCCTCTTATGCAATATTATGTTTACTAAGGTCCCTTATGCAATATGATTCTAATTTCTAACCAGAACTGGTTGGTGGTTTTAACCCCTCTTAAATATGAAAGTCAGTTGGGATGATGATTCCCAACATATGGAAGAAATAAAAGCCATGTTCCAAACCACCAACCAGATAATATCATAATAAGGTTATGGGTCAACGCCCAAACGGTACCCGTTTAGGTACCCGTTTAGTCATAGCTGGCTTCAGCTGGATGTTTACTCTCCCAGTCATATGGGTAGCTGTCCCAGGATGGGGCCCCAGTTCGTCAAGTTGGTGCAAATAACTATAATATTATTCAACAGTGTACGATACTTAAAACATCTTATAACTATATCTAGATGGAGTTATAAAATGTTTTAAGCCAACTTATAACTGGGGGCCATCCTGTATGAAATGTAGCTATACTCTAATGTTTCAGCCGAAGGGCAGAACAAAGATGCCAAAGACCAAACGCGCGCAGGTGAAGGCGATGAACCTCACATTTTTCGCTGTCTTTCGCAACCCCAGAAAATGGAAAAAAGTGGAGCAGTCCACGTGAAAAAATGGGTAAACCATGGAAAATCATAGAAACACATGAGTATGTTAAAGCGGTTGTACAATCACTTTTGTTTCATTTTTGTTGGGGTACTAAAACAGACATTGCAAAAAAAAAATCATCCAATTTAGCCAATCAAAACATGCTCCGGCGTTCTGTATCGTTCCATCACTACAGGAAGAAACACATCTTGGATGGTCCTAGTGGAGTACAACATGTGTTGTTCCAATCCCTGCAGCAGCCCCCGATGCCACGAAGTGTTTTTCCAGGTTTCGGGCTCTATTTTGGGGTTGCTACAAATGATTTCACATCCCGAACCTGATTTTATTGGATCATCAATTGGATGGTTCCCCCGGTTCACCATCAAGGGAACACCTAAAAAGGAACCCCCTAGTCTTTCCGGTAGAAGGTAGAACCAATGGTTTCCTATAGGTCTTGCCTGAAAACAAACCAATGAGAAAGTGGATTCACACGTTGGCAGATGTTGGCAGCAGGCCATAGGTCTGAACACTTTGGTACATCAAAGATTTGTTAAAAAATGCCCGGTCCGAACTATGGATCCACTTTGTGTCGCAATCGCCATGCAAATAATATATTTGTACGCTGCATATACGTACTTTAGATCATATACATGCTATACATACTACACATACAGTCCTTTACCAGTTATAAGTAATTATAACACCATTTAAACAATGTGTAATCCCATAGCAAGAACCAGTTATAACTAATAAATGGACATAACTGTAAATCAACATAAACCAACCAAATGCCAGCGCCATTGGACTTGTGTTACGAATCGTGAGAAATCGTGAGTGAATCGCCAGTGAACAATTCTATAAACCCTCGGCTGTCGAACCCATGACATTCCTATAAACCCTCGGCCGTGGAATCCAACAACATTGCTACAAACCCTCGGCCGTAGAACCTCGGCATTGCTATGGTTTCTCGTCGATGATCCTTTTTTGTGCGACTTTCGGCAAGGACTCAAAAAGTACGGCCTTAGGACCTTTTGGTCTGCATATAATACGTACTTTAGATCTTATACATGCTATACATACCATAGGGGCCGCCATGCCGAAACGCCACAACCTCGTCTCCTCTCCAAGAGACGTCATTTCGCTGTCGATGAGATCATAAACCTCGAGGCCGGCGCTGGCGATGTCCAGTGATGTGTGTTGGTTACCGTTGGTTCATACAGGGTGGTGCCCCAGTTCGTTAGCTAAGTTGGTAAGACCAATAACTATGGTTTTTGTTGGTGATATATCTATAGTTAATGGGATTATAAGATATTATAACCCATTGATAACTGGGGGGGGGCACCACCTTGTAAATATAACATAGTCAACCTATTATAAATAGTATTAAATAGTTATATAATAACTATAAAAAATGGCTTGTAGGGACTTGACCTTGTAACTCATACCCCAGAAGCCACATGGACTTGGCATTAATTGAAGTTAATTGGAGGGATGCCATAATATAGGTGGATTTTTGTTGTTCCTGTATGCCACAGATCCTTAATTACATGTTATTTCCTGTGGCGATTACCCACTTACTACATGAGATGCACATTTAAAAAAAATCTATACATAATTGTGATCATAGTTACAATGTGGGGCCACCAGCCGAAATCGGTTTCTTTTGGTTTATGCTCGTGGTGCAGGCCTCTCTGCTTTTGGATGGGTGAAACACTAAAAAAAACTGCCATATCGCGAAGCCATCATCAGAAATGTCTATCAACAGTGATTGCAAAACTAGTTGGTGGGTAAACCAAATGATGATTGGGTATTACTTTTTTTCCATAATCATAATAACTACGTACAACTATTACATCAATTACTGAAGTAGGTCAATGTGGATATCTTATATATTCGTATTTATTGAAATATTATACTTGGGAAACGGCAATGTCTGATAATCGTCAATTGATTCATCGCAGTCCCCAAGCTGTTTCCGCTTGGGAGTTGTCTCAGCCATGGGGTATAGTATGGTATAGCATTGCAGAACACAAATTTCATGGTGCTGCATCTGGTTGGTTTATGTTGATTTACAGTTATGGCCCCATTTATTAGTTATAATTTGCTAATTTGTTGTATATACATGGCATTCTACATTCTATAAATGGTGTTGCTTCAGTACTTATGACTGGTATTTTGGGCCATACAGTAGCTGTAGGTCCTTAAGTTCAAGGCGAAACAAGTGCGTTGCCACCTTGGTGGGTTCAACCACTTTGATGCCAAGGAAACGGTCGGTCAATGCTATGACTCAAACCAGCTGCGGCGACTATCTATTACCAACCATGAACTATGTGATGTCATCAAGGGAACTATGTGGGCTAACCATGTCACAAGTCAATTCACTAGAAAAAAATGTTCCCTTAGCGCGCGATTTGTTGGGTGTTTTTTTGGATAAATCTCCCAATATTGAAACAACGTCAAACTCAAGAAATGGCTGGGCAATTGGGTTTCGATAATGTTCCTTGGAATTCCGTACTCACATTTTAGAAGATTTGACTGCGATTGATTTGGGGTTGTTGGAAATCGATCTTTACCAAAAAATGGTGGTTTAATCCATCGCCAACGACGACGACCGGTACTGCGCCGTCGAGCTGCCATCGCCAACAATTTCTGCAACTTCCTCAGGTGGCTACACGTGAAAAAATGTTAGTAATACAATCGCAAACCATACCTTTACCATACATAAGTAGGTGAAATTGAAAAAAAAAAGTTATTGGTAGTGGTTATTGCTGTAGCAAAATTATTTCCATCGGGTTTGCATGGGAATCGTTTCCTTGTTCTGGAAAGCCGTCACTTGCCAAATTTTTGATTGCCCCACCCCTGCATGCTCCAAAAATTGACACAGTATCAAGTGACCAATGGAATTTTCTGTAACACGGGTCAACATGTATTCAAATGTCACGTTCGGGCCGCTTCATGCCAAAACTTGAACAGCCCCGAACCTTCTGTGGGACATAGAAAACAGCCATTTACAAAAGTGTTGACATCATGTATGGGTCTCGTTGTGCTACCACAATAAATATATTAATACCGACCCTTTTTGTCACCCCCAAAGTGCATCCCCACTTCGGTTGAATTTCAGAAATCCGCTGGGGTCAATTGCAAATACCCCTATCCCACCTCATCGTCGGCAAATAAGCATCCCATAGACCATGTTCTTCTTTTAGCTATAATCAGAAATAAGCCACTTGAACCCAGTGGATTTATCTTCCCGCCTTCAAGGCATTCACCAACTACCAGGTAGCAATTGTCAATTACATCCCCATTTCTTTAGAACGACCAAAAAACAGATGATAGTACGAGTAAAACCGGTAAAACTCCTTTCTTGACCAATCAACGTTGGGGCATGTCTAATGCCACACCCCGCCCAGGTCGAGACTCAGTAGTCGCAGCAGCCGCAAACAGCGCAGAGAACGCAACAAGGACCGCACAACACGGACGGAGTCACCTCACGGATGGAGCACTTATGGCTCTTGCCATGGAAATATATCTCCTATAACTATAAGGTGATGCATCACTATAAACCTATTTTATCTGTTCAGGGTTCAGGGCCAGAACTGAAGCAACGAACCGTGTTCTAATGAACCCGAATTCAATCAGCAATGTGAACCAATCGAAACATTCAATCAGTCAATCATCTAGTCGAAAAGGAAGCAGTGGGAATATGGTGGCATGCAGAACAAACATTGTGATATATTGTGATACCGCGATTTGTCTACAATGCGGTGCCCCATCGTTGTCTAAATTGTTCAGTACTTAGGACAAGATAGGACAAGTAAGGCCTGGATCAGAAACCAACTCTTATATTGGAGACCTGAGTGACTAGGTACATGTGGGTCTGGGGAAGGGGTTCCCAAGCAAGGCCTTACAGGCGCCGTGAGTTTCGAACATATTACGCGGCTGGTTTCTGAGCTGCGATTGCCAGCAGAGCGGCGGCCAATCACAGCTGCAAGATGCGTGCCTACTATTTTTTTTTTGTTGTCAGTGCCAGCAACATCGTGCTTACTTAACACGGTGTGGTGTTCCATGCACAGTGACAATTTTTTTGATCTTTCGGCGCGCCAGCTTCAACGTGCTATTCTGCAGGGTCCCTCAGGGGTCGTCAGTAGACGTGTCCTAAAACACAGCAAGCACTTTTCAGACAGCAGCTGGGTGGCATCTTAGGAGGAAAGTTTGGGCTCAAATTTTGGCACCAAAAATGGCTGGGGGATAGACGAGATGAAGCGGAATGCTTGCGGACAACACAATATATAATCTCAAATGCATTCATTTATTGCATAATGTGGAATGTTGTGGGACAGCTCAGCGCAGTTCCATACTGACTTAAAAGATTGTATTTGGGTGTATGTATTTGTCTCATTTTCTTGCAAGAAACATGTCTGGGAGCCAAAAAAACTTAAATTGGACAATGTCCATGCGTACCACTTATTGTTTGAAGAAACTTTTTACGGGAACACGTGCTTTATCAGTAAGTACAGGGGAGCTCCTATATTTTGTCCAGTCAATATATATATATATACAGTATATATATATATATACCCTCCGGTAAACTAACATGGCTATATAAAATCACATTTTTTCAGGGGAAAATCGGAAAACTCACTATGAATTGCCATTTTCAATAGCTATGTTAAATTACCAGAGGGTATATATGGCTGATCCGCTGAGAAGGGCCAAATATCCACATGAAGATTCTATGAAACATATCCACATGTCCAATGGGAAGCCATCTGTCTGGGACCCTGTAGGAGGAGCCATAAAAACCATGCAAGTTGATTCTTGTCTTATTTAAAGAAATCATGAAATATACGAATAGGCTAATTTTCCCCGTGCTTCTTTGCTGCAAGCGTCATTACACGTTTCAAGCTATGTTAGACCCTTCCCTTAGCATAGAACTGTAGATAGCAAACGTCACCTCTGGAAGGCCATTGGGTGCTCTTTTCAACCGAAACAGGAACCCAAAACGCACATCCTTGTAGAGGTTGCATGTGGTCATACTTTTACTCTAACAATTGTACGTGTAAAATTGCGCGCACACACACACATATATATATACATTTACATAATTTATATATATATATGTAAAGATATATCTATCCGGGTAAATTTGAAGACTTCACTAATTTGAATAGTGCGGCCATTTGGGGATGATTCCCCTTCAGAATCCTTCCAGGTCACAGGGTTCGGTCGTTTCGAGAACTCAGAGGATTTGTCTCTTTTTGTACATCCAACAGCTAGCCTCATGGCACAACTGGTTGGTGGTGCAATAACCATCTTGAAACATATGAAAGTCAATGGGATGATGATTATCCCATCTATGAAATGGAAAAATAAAATTGATGTTCCAAACCACCAACCAGTTTTGTAAATGGATTGTCTAAATCTGTTCACCCCAACCCGGACGTTTGAAACAAATCCTTAAATAACACAGCAAAACAATACTTGTCATCTGAGTATGAACGAAAACACTCCCAATACGCTGCGATTTTGACTGTAGGTTCAGGATTTAGGGTTCTAGGGTTTGGGGTTTTAGGTTGAGAGTTTTGTATAGGGTTTCCGGTTTCAGGGTTTTGGGGTATATATTATTGCTTTGGAAAGTTTAACAACGCGAGCCCTACACAGGGATTTGAGCATGTCAAGGGATATGCGCAAACGTTCGCGGGCAAACGTCAGGATTGCATAGGATTGCAGCGAATCTGTTTAGGTGAATGTTTGGCAATCTAAATTTGAAAAACATATATGGTACAATGTGGGGCCCCCCAGTTATAAGTTGGTTTATAAGCCCCAGTAACTATAGTTATAAGTACCATAAATCATAGTTATTAGACTTATAAACCAACTTAGCTATCTTGGGGGCCTCACAATGTAGTAGATTCAGGAGCGCAGTATTTCAGAAACAATAAAGTGGATCCATAAATTATAACCATGCTACACTCAGCTGGTGGATGTTAAATGATGTTAAAGGACCCCATGAAACAGGAGGCGAAAAACCCTTTTGGATATCACACCTTTCGCATATGAAGAAGCGGCATGAAACCTGAAAATGTGGTAACCCATGTCAACCAACACTTTGGCGACAATGCACCACTTAAATGTATCATGTGTAGGATCCTTCAGAAACATCAATCAACATGTCATGGCTGAAACTTGCATAAAAGTGATCATGCCGAATGTTCGAGTGGACTTTCCCTGACCGTGTCGAATTGTCAAGAAAAAGTCAGACACAAACCATCTAACTGCTGGTGATGAAAAATCCTTCGCAATTTGTCGTAGTCAGAAAATGCAGCTGCCTTCTTTGCCGTAGACCCGGAGTCATGAATTAAACGTATTTAAACTGTAGCACCTCGCAAGCAAGCAAATATATGACTAATATTGATTAATGACACTGAACTAGGATTACTCTCTCGGAGGCTGGTCACTAACCTATGAAACAAACGAAAAAAATCAAGAATCAGAATCGTGAAAACCAACAACATTTCACTAATTGGTGATTTCAACCCCTCTGAAAAATATGACAGTCAGATTGGATCATCATCCCAATTTTTGGGGAACATAAAAGCCATGTTCCAAACCACCAACCAAGTCATTAATCATTCATTAATCACTATTACTCATAATCATCCCAACAAATAGTTATCATGTAGTTGTCACTATGACCCATTATCATTTATATCAAGATTATCATTATCATATAGTTATCACTATTACCCAGTACCCATTATTATAGTAATCACTATTACCTATTAGTTAAAGTGATTATTCATTATCAAAATGATTATTCATTACAGTTATCACTATTACCCAGTACCCATTATTACCCATAATCATTGCAACAAAGGTTCCATCTTTTTCAGCCACTTTTTGTGTTGCTGTGCCGCTGTGCCTTCCATCGACTCAGCCGAGATTTGACCAAACCAATCAGGCACCTCTGGCCGGCCGGCTCCGTCGCGAAAAGGTTGGGAAACGGAAACGCCATGAGAAAACCATGGTTAATATATGGTTAATAATGGTTAATATATGGTTATTATATGGTTAATATACGGTTAATAATAATCTGGTTGGTGGTTTCAACCAACCCCACTGAAAAATGATGGAGTTCGTCAGTTGGGATGATGACATTTCCAACTGAATGGGGAATGGAAAAACAAAATTGATGTTCCAAGCCACCAAAAGGAAACTGATGATCAATCCCAAGATATATGGCGATTTTTAGTGCGATGTTTTCGCCGATTAATAGTGGCAAAGTTGGTTCAAATAACTCCGATAAGTAGGGCTTATGCTGCATATAACATCATATAACTATAGTTAAGGGGAGATTAGAATCCAACTAATATCTGGGGGGCACCACCGTGAAATACAGTTTACCACATTGTTAAAGAGGTACTTGATGCGATCCATGTCATCAATTTTCTTGCCTTTGTTTTCTATCATGTGTCATGTATCATTATTTACCTAGAATGGGTTTGGAGCAAACCTGAAACATTGATAAAAGATAACAGCCGAAGAACACTATTCAATAACTTTGATTATTTGAAGTTTATTGATTAATATTAGGGAACAAGTGCCAACATCTGCACAAACATAGGGTGTATTTGGAAAAATGTGGTGCTGATCTAGGAATTTGGGGCTAAGTTACCCAGTAATGTTTGTTGGTCTATGTTCGCCCAAGACATGTTTCAATAGATCTACCCTCAACAGTTTATTCATTCAACCGACTTAGGTAAGTATGGGGCATCACATTGTAATGAACAACTCGGCAACAATGAACTGTTGACAGTGCTCTGCTCAAGCACATGTGTTTTTTTTGCACTTCTGCTCACGTTGGTGAGACACGAGCCTATGTCAAAACTCCATCTATAGAATGTATAATCCCATTTATAACCAGTTATACCCTCTGGTAAATTAACATAGACCCTGGCAGACAGGGGTTGGAAGACTAGTTTCCATCAAAAATGGGTGATTTTCAGGGTCTATGTTAATTTACCAGAGGGTAACTATAACTAGTAAATGTAGGTGACTGTGTCTCCAACCATCGCGGTCTTGTAACCATCAGATTCGCTTTGTCTTGTTCTTCACAAATTGTCCGCAGGAACCGCCAGCAACCATCACGATCATGCCCCTCTTCTCCAAACAATGTCTGTGAATGTGTCTGAAAATGGGATATTCAATGGATTGGTTTAGGGGAAAATTTACAGGAAAACATCATATTTAATGGTAAAAACCATGGTTTCCTGTATTTTTCCCAAACAAACCAATCCATTGAGATATACCATATACCCCAATTATAGCCATTTAATAGGGAAAATGATAAATTACTGGATTTCGGGGTACCCTGTTTCAGACATTTTTACCACATGAATAGTAGTGGTAAGTCACTCAACTAGACACCCCTAATCAAGTCGACTGATTGGTGTGATGAACCATAGGGTAGTAGTTACACAGGGGTTGGTTTGCCTGTCCCATTTGGGGTATATTGGACATCACCTAAAAAAGTAGCCATGGCATAGACCATGATCACCATTCATGGTTGGGTAATGTGACCCATGGGGACATCAGTCATGACCCATGTTACACCATAGTAAATTTGCCTGGAAAGATCATAGCATGCACCAGTTCCATGCATCCGTTGAAATATGTTCTGTCGAACTGAGTCGAACAGAGTCGAACATTGGGAATTCCGACTTATTAATCTGTTGCCAAGGTGAGATAGAAGATGAAAAGAACTGGCTTACAGTAAAAGTATTTCACGTATAATTATGCTTTACGGAAGCCACTAAACTTACTTTTTGAAGAGGGGTCTTCAAATCTTGCTTGGAACTTTGGTATAACGAACCGCGAACCAATTAAAGAAAGTTGAGTTACATCATCCGGGTACATCGAAAAATTGCACTTTTAGAATCTGTTAGATCTGTAACAATTTGCCAATGTGAAGCAGTTTAACATAATTGCGGACAACCAGGTAAGTCGTCGAACTGAATGTGCAATTTTCCACAGCGATGATCAATGACCAAAATGACGGTATTCCTGTTTTGATAGTTGGCCTCAATACAAGGTCGGGCCGCAGTTATGATAGTTATGTTTGTTGGTTTATAAATGCATCTAACTAGTTTGTTATAGCAGTTATAACTACAATAAACCCTATAGTTGTCACTACTTATCATAGATATTTCAATTATCACTACTTATCATAGATATTTCAATTATCACTACTTAGCATAGATATTTCAATTCTCACTAGTTAGCATAGGTTTTTCAATTATCACTAGTTAGCATAGGTTTTTCAATTATCACTAGTTAGCATAGATATTTCAACCAAGTTACCTAACGTCTTGGGGCCCCACTCTCTGACGAAAAAAAATCTGCCGTGGACGACGTCGGGGCTGGGCCCCTGGGCCCCTCTGGGCCCCGGACGATCACGAGGAGATCCAAAAGGAACCTCTGCTGGCTGAAACGAGGCTCAGGGTGGACTACTCTCCAGTGAAAAAAACAAGGATTCATGGGTTAATATAATGGTTATATAATGGGATTATAATGGGATTATTATCCCGGATTATACTGGTGTATGTGGTGCATGATGCTCAATAATGGTTAATGATGGTTAATTCTGGTGGTTTCTTAAGGCATGGGGGATCCCCAAGTCACCATAGGTTTCAATACTAGATTTACTAGAATGATCTAATGACTTGGATGATTTTGGGTACCCCTATGTTAGGCAATCCCCCATGTGGATGTTTGTAATGGGAAATCATCCACTACAAATGGGTGTTTTATGGAAAACACATAGGGAAAACGTAGGGCGCATATGGAACATCTACATATACTAACTGACTAACTAAACAATCATCTGACGCGGCAAACCCACAGCCATATATACAAAACCTGGGGAATATCCATCGCATTCCATTGCCATGTTTGATTGCCATGTTTGATTACCATGTTTGATTACCAAGGTGTACATAGACCCAGGGTGTTGAAGCATCAACGAGGACCCTGGAAGCCAAAGGGAAAAAGCAATGGAGCAGAATATCAGAATAACTATCATAAAATGGGCGGCCAATATTGGGAAATAAATCTCCCCTAGTAAAGACATAAATACACAGGCACATAGATAAGCAACTAAATAACTGAAAGATATTGAAATACATCCGGTGTTAATTAACAATTCATCGATTTACCAAAGAATAACGGCGTATTTTACCTGTAGAAATATGTAGACCATGCGCCCCATTCACAGCTCGACTTTGAACATCCGAAAATGGCATCGAGTCGATGATTGAAACTTTTCGTGGTATCAACATCTGGCGAAATACAACTTCTCTATGGAAAATATAGGTTTTTTTGAATCATACCAAATGATGATTTTTGGTATGTATATCATCTATTTACATATGGTATACATCTGGAAAATATAGTTTTTGTTGAAGGTAAATCATCATGAATGATCTACAAATAGGATTGAAATGGAATAAATAGGCAATTGTGATCAAGTGTCCATCCACAAGCTGCGTAACAAATAACCAGAGGGTAATCATCCACTAAATTCACTAAATGTCCATTCGAACCACCTCTCCCTACTGGCAAGGGCGAGCTTGCTCCTATGTCTCTGGGCAGTTTCGCAGGGCCACCCCACCAGGTACGCAGATATTGCCACGAAATGGCACCTGAAATCCAGCAGATATTGGGGGGTTTCCTGTGGACCCTTCCCTTCATTCAAGTTTGAAGCAGAATGCGCATCAGCAAAAAACCTATCAACTCTCAACCCAAACAGGCAAGTCACACGCAATGGGGGCCATGGTCAATGCATCTTGGAATGAGAATGTTTATGTTCTTTCAGGTCTGTCAATGTGCGTGCCACCACCCAGTGATGATTTTCCTCACATCTAGCAGGAACTGGACGGTAGGGATCAGGGCGGAAAACCATTATTGTAGCATCTTTGATCCCCTCAGAATGTTGCCACAAGTCACCATAATCGGACCACTGAGATATCAGAGACCTATACATCACCAAAGTGTTTGGGTTTTGCTTTGGCGCTCCATTGCAAATCTGCGTAAAGAACATGTTAGAACCCGAATTCGTTTCACCCTCCTTACCCAATCCCTGCCACCAAGAGGCTGAAAGATGTGACCAACTCACCACGATGGTAGAAGGCAGTTCTGACGGGCTTCATGTTGGGGAAAGGTGAGCCCTGATAGCTAAGTTGGTTCATAAAAAAATAACACCCTTTTGCTGTAGTTACAACTACCGAACCCCCAAGCTATCATAGTTGTAAACCAAGTTTGCTAACTATAGAGTTCTGTAAATGGTCGATCGAAGTGTTTTCTGATGATTTCGCAAGTGTTCACTCGAGTTGATATGAGCTGACAGAAATATTGATATCAAGTTATACACATATTTATGATGAAGAAAAATCATGTCCGCTCCAAAGTATCGGGCTGGTCCCAAGTAGTTTGTTGTCAATGGGAGTTCCAGAGCAACGGATTCTGATAGATTTGCTATTGGGAATCCCATTTTTGGTCTCCAAAAAATCAGGGTTTCACCAAAATGGGGGATGGGTCAATCTGCTAGAAATGTCAATCTGCGGCGTCCTGCCTCGGGTGAACAACCAAATTGCTGTTGCCTTCATGATTTGCCGATAGCAAATTACACTTTCCCACTTTCGCAGTTTATTAAGTGCACCTTGGGGGCATGCCGCATTTCCAAACAAACCTATCAATCGAACTCGTTGGTGTAATCGCCATTGATTAAATGACTTTCCTATATTCAAATCCCTATTGAAATCCGCTAGAATCACCATTATGTCCCCATATTGTTAGTTACTAACCCATAACATTCCGTTAATCACTATCTTAAATATCCAATTTACCCTCCACTCTAAATGGAGTTTTAAAGCTGGGAAAATTATCTAAAACGGATGATTGTTCCATTGCAATGTTTGATAACACTGCAGGGTACTACATTAAGCTACGGTTAGTTATTACCCTTATGATTTCATTGAATCCTATTACATATGTGTGTCGTATCTCATGTGCATCACAACCCACCATGCAAGATAACAAGCAAAAAGCATTGGTGATCTGCCCCACGAAGTTACATATATATATATTAAATATGTGTATATATATATATGCAATTTACTCACAACACATAAACAACATGTAAACAAAAAAACACTCATTCAAAATAACCCAATCCCCCCCAAAAAAACTGTCTATGTAAATAATAATGATAATATGCTCTTTCATAAACAGTAAAAAACAGTAACAACCAACAAATATCTCTGTTGCTTAAACTTGATGAAACCAGGTTCTTACCTCATTTACATATTGCTTAACACCAGGCTACTGCGGCTACTGCGGCTACTGCGGCTACTGAGGCAGCCACACATTGCTGAGGATCATGTCCTTGGTGCTGTGGTGTTCTTTCTAGTGGCATCAATAAATCAATAGCGGTAATAAGTAAAGAAAGTAACAGTGTAATACTATTGAAATTGTTTTACTATTAAGTAGGTAAATCAGGGAATACCACCATAAGCAATACATATTACAGTATTACATTGTAAACTAAAACATACTATATAGTGTTTTTTGATGAGTATGCACCTCCAATAAATCGGTTCCTGCAATAGTCATTGAGCTACTGATTGGTGGTTTCAGCCTCAAAGATGTCAAGCTAATGATGGGGTCATTACATGACACATACTTCAAACCACCAGGCGAATTGATGTTACCCTCTGGTCATTTCACATAGCTATTCAACATGGCCCAGGAATGTGGATCAGAATGAAATTTACCTTTGACAATTGTTGTTTTCGATAGCCATGTTTGCCAAAGGCGAGTGTTGAAAAAACTTCATTATTGTTGGTTTTCGACCGAGTCTTACCAGAAAAAATGCTGACACAACAGGTACAACACATAGTCGAGTGGGTGGCTAGTCGGCAACATGCTCCGACACAAATACAACGTGGGGTCCCCTAGATGACTAAGTTGGTACAAATAACTAACTCCAATTTCACTTGGATTTAAGATACATCACCGTCTCGCCAAACAATATCAATCTTCCAGGAAGAGGCCCTGCAATCATCAAAGTTGGTGGCTACCCAGTAACAAACTGGGGCCAAGTGTCACCTACAATTCGTGGGATGGGCCATCAAGTAAATACCATATGGTTATGACTAACAGTTTGCCATGGAAAGATCCACCCATTTTTAAGAACGGTAAACCATCTATTTTTCATGGGCCATCTATACCATGGCTATGTAACAAATAACAAGAGGGTACTAGCAAACGCCCTAAGTTACCCCATTTACCCATTAGTTACCCCAACCGCAAGGCACACTGAGTTACCCCAGGGCAGACAGTAGTTACCCCAGGTGTCAAATCCCCAAGGCACAGCGGCTCAGATGCATCATGTTTTGAAGTCGTTGCAAACTTTGAATCATGTTATTAGGTTGCATTTAGCTATGCCCAGAATCAGAAAATGGGAAGGTGCGACCTGTCAACTCGGAGTCAAATCCCAATGGCACACCGCCAAAAGCCATTCCAGGCCAAAAGCTTAGCCAAGCATTGAAACAGCATCACCAGCTTGCGTTCTGGTATCTCCAAAAGAAACAAAATAAAGGGTGTCCATTCTCATAAAAGCTAAAATCCCAATGGCACACTTGCAGGAGAGTGGAAGACTTTCACGAAGTCGTTGCAGACTTTGAATTATGTCCCTAGTTGCATTTAGCTATGCCCGGAATCAGAATATGGGAAGGTGCGACCTGTCAACTTGGACTCAAATCTTAATGGCACACTGCCAAAAGCAATTCCAGGTCAAAAGCTTAGCCAAGCATCGAAACAGCATCACCAGCTTGCGTTCTGGTATTTCCAAAAGAAAGAAAATAAAGGGTGTCCATTCTCAGAAAAGCTAAAACCCCAATGGCACACTTGCAGGAGAGTGGAAGACTTTCACGAAGTCGTTGCAGACTTTGAATCATGTTCCTAGTTGCATCTAGCTATGCCCGGAATCAGAATATGGGAAGGTGCGACCTGTCAACTTGGAGTCAAATCTCAATGGCACACCGCCAAAAGCAATTCCAGGTCAAAAGCTTAGCCAAGAATTGAAACAGCATCACCAGCTTGCGTTCTGGTATTTTCAGAAGAAACAAATTAAAGGGTGTCCATTCTCAAAAAAAAACTAAAATCCCAATGGCACACTTGCAGGAGAGTGGAAGACTTTCACGAAGTCGTTGCAAACTTTGAATCATGTCCCTAGTTGCATTTAGCTATGCCCGGAATCAGAAAATGGGAAGGTGCGACCTGTCAACTTGGAGGCAAATCCCAATGGCACAAGCAATTCCAGGTCAAAAGCTTAGCCAAGCATTGAAACAGCATCGCCAGCTTGCATTCTGGTATTTCCAAAAGAAACAAAATAAAGGGTGTCCATTCTCAAAAAAAAATCCCAATGGCACACTTGCAGGAGAATGGAAGACTTTCACGAAGTCGTTGCAAACTTTGAATCATGTTATTCCTAGCTTGCATTTAGCATCTGGAATCAGAATCTGGGAAGGTACGACCTGTCAACTTGGAGTCAAATCTCAAGGGCGCACTGCCAAAAGCAATTCCAGGTCAAAAGCTTAGCCAAGCATCGAAACAGCATCACCAGCTTGCGTTCTGGTATTTCCAAAAGAAAGAAAATAAAGAGTGTCCATTCTCAGAAAAGCTAAAATCCCAATGGCACACTTGCAGGAGAGTGGAAGACTTTCACGAAGTCGTTGCAGACTTTGAATCATGTTCCTAGTTGCATCTAGCTATGCCCGGAATCAGAATATGGGAAGGTGCGACCTGTCAACTTGGAGTCAAATCTCAATGGCACACCGCCAAAAGCAATTCCAGGTCAAAAGCTTAGCCAAGAATTGAAACAGCATCACCAGCTTGCGTTCTGGTATTTTCAGAAGAAACAAATTAAAGGGTGTCCATTCTCAAAAAAAAAATAAAATCCCAATGGCACATTTGCAGGAGAGTGGAAGACTTTCACGAAGTCGTTGCAAACTTTGAATCATGTCCCTAGTTGCATTTAGCTATGCCCGGAATCAGAAAATGGGAAGGTGCGACCTGTCAACTTGGAGGCAAATCCCAATGGCACAAGCAATTCCAGGTCAAAAGCTTAGCCAAGCATCGAAAGAGCATCACCAGCTTGCCTTCTGGTATGCCCATAAGAAACAGAATAAAGGGTTTCCATTCTCATGAGGGCCAAAACCCCAATGGCACACTTGCAGGCGAGTGGATGACTTTCACAAACAAAGTTCGAAATTAATCGCATTGAAATCACACCCTGCCCTGCTGTAACGGAATCCGAGACATATGGAATATGGATGTAATACCAGAATCATGACTCTGGAAAGGTTTTTGGACGAGGTACCGGACGAGATACCAGACGAGGTACCGGAATTACATTTTGCCATCCCAGCCAGAACCCACCCCACGTATCCCCACGTCAGATCAAAAACTGTAAATGGTAAAAACGATGTGGATAGGTTCGAAAAATCCAAGCAATAAGGTCCGGAAGATGAGGTGGAGGAGGATAATGTCGCAGAAGATGAGGTGGAGGATGATGATGTGGAGGATGATGATGTCAAGGGGGAGGACGAGGATGATGCTTAGAATGATGATGTGGAGGAGGAGGAAGATGATGATACTGAGGAGGAGGAGGAGGAGGAGGAAAAGGAGGAGGAGGAGGAAAAGGAGGAGGAGGAGGACCGATCACAAGACCCCCGAGTGTGTACACACTGTGTGGGAAACTCACGTTGCTCCAGGGATTGTTAGGGGGCAAATGGATATAACTTGATACAACTAATGTTTGCCATGTTAAGAATCCCTGCGTGCCTATGCGTTGTGCTGTAAAGATCATACCAAATAACAAATCATGCAGTAATTCATTCCAGTGGTTGTGTCACTTCTTCCGCATGGCACACCGAGATGAGACAACAAAGTGCTATCTGAGACAAGAAAGGGCTTACCCCATCATTGCGAGATCGCTTCTTGCGGGGGGGTTCCATTGCCATTGAAACACCAATCAAAGCAATCTTGGGCCAAAGTGCCCAATCATTCGCGCATCTGCTGATCTTTGCAGATTGAATTGAGCTTGTCTAAACCTCATTTTGTAACAATATACCATTCTACCAAAAGCCAAAAGACACCGCTAAACTCCATAAAAGTAACCCAGGGATTGTTAGGGAGGCAAATGGATATAACTAATGTTTGCAATGTTAAGAATCCTTGCGTGCCTATGCGTTGTGCTGTAAAGATCATACCAAATGACAACTCCATTCCAATGGTTGTGTCACATCTTCCGCATGGCACACCGAGATGAGACAACAAAGTGCTGCCTGAGACAACTTAGGGCTTTCACCAGGTATATGGTTGTGTTTGAAAATTGGGGTGTATACCGTATACCCATAAAGTGGATATTGAATCGAATAGGGAAAATTGTCCTTAACCAATAGATTTGGAAGAACCAGGATTCCTGGCCAGTCTTCGGCTTCGTATTTTTTTTTCAGAGTCACCCTCAACTAGCAGATTTATGGTTGCAACATGCTCACTGCTGTTGGTAAAACAACAGCAAACTGTCCCCCATTTTACCATCAATGATAATGGGTGGTAGAAACCATCAAAATATGGATGATGCATTGCTTTACTAACATTAACCCGAAAATCGCTGAAAAAAGAGTCCCCAGTCCCAACCATTAGCAACAAATCACGTCACGACCTGTCAACATAATTCATCCCAAATCAGATGGAAGCTGGGCCCCCCAGTGATGGCCATGTTGGATTTTAAACCCATCCAACTAGTTTGTTATGACTATTACCTAAACCCCAGCCATTTATATAGTTAACCTAACAGTAACTAACACCCTTTCAATGTGCTGTTTGTTTGGGTGTTACTTTCAACAAAAAACATGTTTAAAAGCCAAAAAAAAAGCGATCGATGTATCTACCATTATCCAGTTCTCCGGTGACTCGGGTGACTCGAGTCTCATCGAGTCTCCAAGGACCAAAAGATGAGGATGCTCCAGTCGATCACATCCGTGACCTGCGGTGATCCCCCGTGATCCAGTGATCCTCCGGAGGGACGTTAATGTGAAGAGCCCATCATGAAACATCCGATGGGTGGATTATGGAAATCTGTGCTAAGCATTGAACTTCATTGAACTTCATTGAACTTCATTGAACTTCATTGAACTTCATAATTGTATATGATTTTGGGGTATGTTTGCGTATTACGATATTCTATACATAACATTACATAACTAATTATCTTGAATCAGGAACCGCATGGCAATGCAGAATGCCAGCATTTACTACATGTTTGTGGATGTTCTCAGAGGTTGTGGTGAGCCGGCAGCCTTGAACTTGAATAATTTGACTTGCATCCCTTTCAAGGTTTTCTACACGCTCGAAACAGGTGGAAAACAGAACACTTTGTGGCAATACATTCCTCAAACAGGATACTGGTGGATAGTTTGTCCCACCCAGTTGAGAGAAAAAATCTGCAACAATTACAGAACTAGCTGCTGTAAGCCATTCCCAGTTGGTGACTTGTGGATTCTTTGCGGCATAGATCTTGCCAGATTAGATAAGCTCAGCCAATATTCATACCCAGACAGATGGAAAAGTAAAATCCGAACCTTAAAAAGTGGTATATACACATGTGTTCTATCTTTTTGGGGAACCTCTATCTCTATCTATATGCACAAATATATATATATATATTTCCAGGCCGGATGTTTCTTTGTGGATGTTCTCAAGTTCCCCTAGCGAGATGTTCTACCTTGATGTTCTTTGAACTGGGTGCTGAACAAAGATGGCAGGCCATCTTGAACGAAGCAAGTTTGAGAAGCAACCGGTCCAGCTAAACCATGCGATCTAAACACAAGTCCAAGGAGAACTGGAATATTATGTTGTGTAGGGAATGGAATATGATATGGGTATGTCTGAAAAATTGGTGGATCCCCAGAACAAAATGGGTTTCAATACTAAAATGTTTTAATGACTTGGATGATTTGGGGGTGCCCCCATGACTTGGGAAACACGTTCCCTCCAAACCCCGGTTTCGCCCACACTCAAACAACACATCAAAACAATATGATATACGTATTACAGAGGATGAATGAAAACACTGGCTATACGCAGTGATTTTGACTTTAAGTTTTCAGGATTTAGCAGTTTTAATTTAGGGTTTTAGGTTTTAAGGTTTTAGATGGTTTTAGGGTTTGTTGTTCTGGAAAGCAAAAACAATTGAACCATACGCAGGGATTTGAGCATGTCAAAAGATATGCGGGATTCGCCGCGGGCAAACCTAGTGTTTACAGCGAACATGTTTTATGGATATCCTCTGGTATTTCAACATAGCTATGGAACATGTCCCAAAATGATTTCCGTATTAATGGTTGATCTGGGTATCTGTCAAGTCATTGGGTACGACAAGGATTTGATGGTGAATGCTCAAAATAAATCTAAACCATCTACCCTCTGGTTATTTAACACGGCCATGGAAAATGGCCCATTTATAGATGGTTTACCTATTAAAAATGGTGATTTTCCATGGCTATGTTAAATAACCAGATGGTAATTCTTGGGGTACCCAATTTTTGCCATGAGTATCAACCATCTCTGGTTTGTGGTTTCAACCCCTCTGAAACATATTAGCCAGTTGAACATGATTCTTCCCAATGTGTGGAAAAAGAAAATTTATGATACAAACCACCAAGCAGTATAAGTATGGTTACCCTCTGGTAAACTAACATGACTATGGAAATTCACCATTTTTAATGGGAAAACTCACTATTTCAATGGCCATGGCTTCAATAGCTTTTTGCCATGTGTATTAACCATCTATATATTCATATGTTTTTTTCTGGGTCTTCCAGAAACAGAAACCTGGATCCACCATGATCCACCTGGCTCCGAGGTGGATCCAATGCTGTGAAGGGAATGTAGAAGACGTCGTAGGCTGAGCGCTGTCACCGGTTCTGACCATGATACAACGCTATTTTCAGGGGAAAATCATGGGAACAACATCTTCCAATGTTTTTGTTCCTCTCTCTCTCTCTCTCTTGCTCTCTTTCTCTCTCTGCTATATAAGTATATATATTATATTATATATATATGCACATATGCACACATAGTTCTATGGAATTCCAAGTGGGCATTTTGCTTGGTCAACTTCTTTATACATTGCCAGTTTTGCAATACAATCCATTGTTTCTCTGGTGAGTAAACATTCCCATGTCAAGTAAAATGCAACCATCCCGTTGGTTTTCCTAGTATATCTGTATATACTGTGAATAAACATACATGTCATTAACATCAACGAAGTACTGGTTGAATGCCCCATGAAATTGGTGGCTTACACCACCAGTATCTTCCCATGATGCCAACCTGCATGATATATATATATATATATGTATATCTACATATCAGCTATGTCTGGGTAAATTATACATACACTATTTCACTCACCTGAATTAAGGATCCCCCTATACATCCCCATGGATCCATTCACAATGACGCCAGGGCTCGGTCAATGATCCCATTCTCAGGATATTCCCATGAGAATTGGCATTATAATAGAATTCTAATGTTGGTGGAATCATGTGACATCACATTTGTTCCTAATATTAGTGCCAATTAGTGCCAATTAGATTTCACCAACATGAATGGTCATATGGTCCAGTTGTTCCTATGGTTTCCTATGGTTTCCTATGGTTTCCTGTGGTTTGCTGTGGTTTTTATATGACCCTGTCACGATGACCTCCACATACCTCGGCGCCCGGGCACAGGAACATCAACGAGGTCACATCCTCGAGTTACCAACACATTAATATATTCAAACATGGTTTCAATGTGTTCTATTCATATTGTTCCGTAACAGAAAATATAGACTTACCAATGCATTAATGGAAGCATAGAAACTATGTGATAAAAAATAGCAAAAATGAACGTAACATATACATAGAGTTTAACTATAGTAACCATTCTAGAAAAAAGAAAAGTAGTAGATCAAAACATTGGTGTTACATAAATGTATAGAAAGGTTCTATAGGATAGAACTTAGTGAAATCCTGATGAACAATATGTACATAATATATATATAGCGTAATAAATTTCGTAATCTACCTACTTTTTCTATATTGTTGATTCTTTTTGGGGTTGCTATAATGACATACAACTGCCGGTCAATACACCGTTTAAAACTCATTCAAATCCAACTGCAAGGTGAGTCCCTGCGGTTACAGGCAGGTCATCCACCTAGTTGATAGCAACCAATTCAGCCTCATAAATCAACGAAAAACATCCCATAAAATTCCCTGGTTAAATATCCTATGGTTTCCTATGGTTTGCCTATGGTTTTCCTATTGGTTTCGTCACATTTCGGAGCCACTGCCACTTCGAACCACAGCCCAAGGTGCCCAAGTGAGCCGCAGCCGTCCGTTGGGATGCAGCGGTCGCAGCTTCAGAGACTGACGAATCACGCGACTGCTGAACCTGCGAAGTGTCGTCCGTCGTGTTTGACGATGACATGGAGAGTTTATGAGAGTTTACCCATCAAAAATACGGGTTTCATCTTGGTTATATATATATGTAAAATCCACAGTTTTGGTGGATTTTCTCAAGAGTTCTCCAATTTTGAAAAGTCATATGCACAAAAACATACACAAATGGATTCGACCATTTTAACAAATGACACTTGACCAACAAAACTGGTGATTATTTGGGGTCTAAAAGCACTCAGCATCTGTACTAAGTTGATTTTTTTTCTTTAAACGATGATTCCACAAAGAATGTGAGTGAACCAACACAACATGTTGAGGTCACAAGCAACCAAAACATGGAGTTTTACCCACCAAGATTGAGATTTAAGGACCAGAAAAATCGTTTTTTCACAATCTCAAGACATAAGAGGATCAGCGCCTCGATGGATTCTGAAAGTTCACAGAGGAGAAAGTGGCACCATTGGCGTCAGTGCATGTATATACCCTCCGGTAAACACACAAAAAACTAGACCACTATTGTTCATGGGAAAATTCACTATTTCTATGGTGATTTTCCATAGCTGTGTTACAGTTTACCAGAAGGTACGTGTATGGGATATATTCTGGTTGGTGGTATACCTACCCCTCTGAAAAATATGGAAGTCAGTTGGGATTATTATTCCCATCACTGGCAAGGTGATGATTCCACGATCATGCAATGACCAAACAATTCGCACAGAATCTGGTTGCGATTGGATCTACATCGCGTCAAAGTGGGCTAGGAGGGCTCTCCAGCATACCTGCTTCCAAACAGCTGTCCAATACCTGTGGGGCTATAGGCATTATGCAAATCTGGGGCAAATTGCAACAATTCGCGAACTCAAAGCAACGCCACCATAAAAAAAAGGTGAAGTCATTATGAGCTGCATTTACCCAAACATCATTCTTCCAAATCACCATTTTACATTCAAGGCATAGCTGATGGTATCCTTATGCTCCCTTGGAAAGCCACTTCAGCCCTGGGGGTTATGAAGTATGACTGCACCCAAGTGGTGAGCACGTAGCTTATACCACTACTCCGCCCAGAAAAATGATGCATTAGGAATCATTACAGGTACGGCCCTTTATATGTACTTCTGACCCCATTTATAGAATGTATATATAATCCCATTTATAACTAGTTGACTGTTTGCCAAAATGTCTGTTCCCGGTTTTGTTGATAAATCGCAATTCCATGCGTGCGGCCTCATGTTTGCCTTTAAAAAACATGACCTACCTTGATGACGTTAAAACGTGGAAATTCTTCGTTACCTTTGGAAATCTTTCTAAAACCACAGGAATCGGCTAACGCACGTCGGTTTTCATTCGCTGTCGCTGGTACTATCTCCTGAACTGTGTGTCTCTGTGTGTGTGCCTCTCTGAATGCAATATGCTTCTTGACATGCCTCCTGATCAACGCTGATTCCTTACTGTAAGCTACCAAAATCATGAACATGGCTGTGCCTCTGAATGGGCTGCGGGTGGACCGGGGCATGTATTTGCAATTTTCGCTAGCGCGTTGCTAGCGGCGATCTAGCGCGTAAAATACGTAAAAAAAATCGAAAATTTGGGAATATGTGGAAACTGACAGACTTGTAAGAAAAGCTGGCAAGACATTCACGACATGGAGGCCATGGCTGTCAGTCAAACCTGGCGCAAACCTAGCGGGTTTGCTAGCGCTGCCTTGCAGAATTGCTGAATTTAGTTGCGTGCCGCCTCATAACGAAGAGGAAAAAACAGTAGACCCAGATGAATTATCAACAACCAATACTAAACTTCTAAACAACTATTTTTGACAAATGGTCAGCTATAACTCATAGCCATGGCCATAACTGTAGATAGTTGAAAGAACACACTATAGTTAGGATTGTCTGAGATCGAGGTGCCCAGTTTCAATGGATCATTTTTCACATTTTTCCGATTCATTTGTTGCTATTGAGCGCAGTTGCAATGTGGGAAACCCAATGCCATCAACAACGACCATGGCGGTGGATGGTTTCAATCGACAACAATGGCGATGGAATGGGGATACATGGGGATACTTTATGGCAGTGGGTGATTCCCACATATTCCCACATTATTCTCATTCCCTAATAACTCCCAATCTTACCCCCCCCCAAAAAAATAGGAATTGTCATGATATCTTTCGTGAGTGTGGCAAACCCGCAGCCACACGCACGAACAGATATATATATATATATTAGTGATTAACATTTAATCTATTTTAATTTCATGTTGTTTTCAGGTTATCCTATGATTTTCCCACGTGTTAAATTCTTGCCACTTGGCACCTCTCTCTAGCCGATCATCAGCCAAATTCATGCCCTGCCCAATTTACCGCGCCTGAAAAGTGCGCTTCTCTCCTGGCTGCCGGTAGAGGAGATAATGATGCAACCTCCACATCATCATCATCATCATCATCATCATCATCATCATCATCCATATAATATACAAATACATACATGCGCTGCGTGTGTAAAAATGTATATGTGTGTATTATATATGTTATATATGTGTTATCATATAGATATATATTATATATCCATATCACCTGTGACCTCACCTGTGGGTATCAATGGCCATTTCAGGTACCTGAATTGGAGGGACCTACGATATATAAATAAGGCTCTGTGGGGAAGGACTATGTGAAGGGATATGCCGCAAGAATATGGCTGTAAAAATGGGACGGTACCTCCTTTAGGGTCCTGACATGTCCATTGAATTGATAGATACGATTATCACTTGTGGAAATCGGACCGCGCTCTTCCGCAGAGGCTGATCTAAGCATGCCATGATCTTCTCTGGAAGATATTGGAAGATCACTCTGATCCACTCGGATTCAAATCGAGTCTTCGCCTCCGCGTCCCCTACCCGTATCACATCCGCCTGAAGGTAAGCAGCAATGCGAGTCGCGGTAGCAGTGAGCACGAGCACCGTCGTTCCGGACCATTTCGCGGCTGCTGCCGCAACGGTATAGGCCGCAGAAGATTCCGCAAGGTGGAATTCGTCCAGGACTACGATCCTCCGCTTGTCCCTCGTAGCCCAACTAGAGCTCTGAGGCATCTTGACGAGAGCCTTCCACTAGCATCAATGGACACTGCATCTTCTCGAACTTCGTCAGCATCCATCTCGTCTAGGAAGCTCTGGAACAACTTCCTAAAAGTAGGATCCCTCACAGGCGTCAGGATCAGTCTCCGCCCAATCATCTAGGCATATCTAGGCTTTTGGCTGCTGAGGAGACTGCACAAAAAACACCAAGTTCCTTCCCAAAGACGCTGCTCTGGCAGCTACAGTCCATTTAGTTCGATGATACTTACCTCATGTGGGTAAAACCAATGCCATTTTTACCACCCATGACTGGGAATGGTAAACATACCACCTATAAAAATGGTGATTTGGGGATGGTTTATTATTGTTTTATCCAAATTAATTAGTATATTTATAGTGATTTCCCATGGCAAACTGTTAGATTACCAAAGGCTATAGCTTCTTCCCCAGCGGCTTTGCCCGAAAATCATCTACAACCATAGTTAAGTCACCTAGTCAGACCTAGTCATTCCCAACTGAACGCTGTCAATCAGCTATACATCCCATTGAATCACATTGTTTCCTTCTCAAATCTCCATTTTCCCATAGTTTTCCATGGTTTTCCTATAGTTTTCCAAAGGTTTTCCATGGTTTTCCTAGGGTTTTCCCATAATTTTCCTATGCCAAATTCGTTGCACCTTGATACCACTGGTGATCTCCCCGTCCGCCTGTTTCATGCCGCGACTCGAGGCCTGGGACATATGGTATCTGTGTGTGTTAAGAACTACATGTGCCCATATTGCCATAAAATCATAAAGTTTCCAAGCAAAGAAAAACATGGAATTCCCAGTAGTTCCCCCCTAAAATTTCCCATGGTTTTCCCATGGTTTCCCCATGACATCTGTGCGACGAATCTCAACGAATCTCAGCTTGGCACTGGATAGACCTCCTCAACCAGCTGTTCTGCCGCACCCTTTTTGGACCTGACGGCGGATCGTGGGAGTAGCCCCAAGATGACATACGTATGTTCACCTGGAATTGGAAATGATGGGATATAAGTGAAATGATTAAAATTTGGACATTGAAGAAGTTTTGAACCAAGATGGACCAACAATTGGGACATGTAAAGTTATATAACTGGCAGCATCACAAGACAAACAACATGTGTCGGTATAAAACATTGCAAAACATAGAGCAGCAACAAAAAAAACACCAACCAATCTATAGAACCCCCATGTTTTGGTGCTGAAAAAAAAACCTGGATATTTCTCTGGATCCCATGTCATCCAGGCCTCAAAAAAAAACTGTCTCTCAATGTCCTGAGAGACTTCTCGGATGAAACAACCAGGATCCAATGGGTGGACGTTTATAATTTCAAAAAAAAAACTTCGAATATAAGAAATCGGTATTATAAATAATTGGAATGTTACTATAGATATTTATAATAAACTTAAGATGACATGTCTAAGGTATATTTATCATATATAGTTATATATAATTATTATAGCTAATATTATTAATATTACATGATGCTACGATGAGAAGAAGCATACCAAACCGGCCTTTTGGCGACAGAAAAAAATCGTCACCCACGGGCCTGGTGTAATTCATACCTCGCTGGAACAACAAAACCGTGGGGCTGTGCAGAAAAACTGGGAATTCGTCAGAAAATTTGAAGAGAACAACTTGAGATTCATGGGGCAACCATGGGAAATATTAGGTGAGTTTACAATGAACAGTGGGATTTAGCGGGGTTATCATCCACTTAAGTGGACTTGGCGTTGACACCCAGTGGGAATCAGAATCTTGCCCCAACAAGGGTGAAAGTTGAAACCATGCCTGGCGAAAGTTGGTTCCGTTGTAATCAATACGAGGAGGATTGACCCAAAAACCATCGAAACCCCTTGAAAAAACACGTTCAACAAATTGAAAAGTGACCTTCAGAAGTAGACTGTCAATAAGCAGAAGTAGCTTCATTCACCGGCTCTCAGAATATTTTCAGGGGTCTTTCTCTGACAAATTCATCATGACGGAAATAGAAATAAAGGGAGTCGAGATCGATGTGCAAAGGAAGTCGAGATCACGGTTCTGATGGCCAAGCCTTCAATTCCAGAGGGCCAAAGTCGCGTTTCTATTAGTGTTTACATAGTCGTGTAAGTGTAGCATAGTGGTCATAGTGTACATTGTGGAGTGAGAGCCAATACTTCTTTCACAAATCTAGGATTGGTAATCGGTGAATATGATATAGTTATATAATTATAGCTAATATTACTATCACATGATGCTAGATTGGTAATTAGAGCCAGTACACCTCCCCATGGCTATCATCACATCATATCCCCAGCAAAGGACACTTCTCCATTGATGATGTTCCCAGCGAACAAAACGTCCATTTTGATTTGGTATTTTACAGCCAGCCACATTTCTGAATACCGGAGGGTACCTTCTGGTAAACTAACATTTTGCCATGGAAAACCAACCTTTTTGAGTAGGTAAATCAACGAACTGGCCATGTTCAACAACTACAGTTATGGCCTAAAATACCAGTTCTAAGTGCTTATACAGTAACACCATTTATGAAAAGTATAATCCCATAGAAATAACCAGTTATAACTAATGAAATTACCACAGGGTAGCACTAACGCCACTCCAACCAGCCCATTTTTATCTCCAGTTCCAAGCCACTCCAACGCGGCTTGAGCTCCAGCACCCGGCCATGACCTGCACCCGATAGGATCTTCGCAGCGAATGTGGACCAAACAGATGAAATGGATCATACTTGGTCCACATAATAAAAACAACATATATGTTTTGATATTTGGTATATATCCAAATCCAAAGATATTTGGCATTATGAAATATGGTTCATATGAATTGATGTGTATATCGATGGATGCTCAAATTATATTGACAAATTATTCATATGTTTTCATGTGTTTATATATCCAGGGAAGCCCAATTTGTTTATATATTTTTCATACATACAACAATGATGGTTCATTGCCAGTGTGAACCATATCATAAACACAATTCTTAACAAAGCTTGACCATGATCAACTCGGATGTGTTCTACAAAAAAACGATTCCCTATGTGGGAAAATGACTACAGGACCATCGGTTCAAAAAATCCAAGTTAACCACTGGTAATGACTGTAACAGTTTGCTATTGAACATGGCCCAGTCGAAATAGTGGATTTACCCAGCTAGAAAATGGGTGGATTTATCTGATTTTCCCATCAGTTTTTTGTTGGTTTACCTGAGGGTAACCACCATCATAGATAACTTTCCCAGCTGCAAACCTCCCTGTATTTCGGGACGTCCGGCAATTTCCCATACTTTCCGTCGATGTTCCGATTGAAATGCCGCTTGATAATTGCCTTTCCAGTACTATTACTTTGAGGATTTCCCATGTCATAAATCTTGTTGTTTATAGACCCATGCTTTCCCATTGATTCCTATCATGTACCCAATATCTCACAATATTGCTGGTTATTCTTGGTTAAACCCACAATTTATCACCATTATTGTTGGTCGTTGTTGGTTAACCAAGCATTTCCCATGAAATATGGTGAGATATACGCACATATCATATATTACATTATATTATATCATATTATATGTATATCAGGGTTTTTGTGCCCATTGAAAGTTTATTTTCCATTACCACCATTAGTAAACCAGTCATCGTCCCTCCCGCATCTCCCAGCCACCTTTGGCCGGCTTCGACTGCATCGCATCCCCCCCAACGCGGCCCACGGACTGCAGCAGGCAGGGGGCTGCTCCTGCGGGGCGGCAAAGGCTGGGAAAATGCTGCAGATATGGCCATGTATAACGGAGATTTCTATGGGAATAATCAATTATACATTCTATAAATGGGGTTTTACGGTTATAAGTACTTATAACTGGTAGTTTGGGCCATAACTGTGGGGAAAATGATCAGAGGTTCTGTGTATGGGCGAAATCATCCAAAAGTGAAAAGATGAAGGGGACATAGTTGGGAGATGATGGTAGAAATGATTTCAATACATGACCGAAATATGTTTTTTTCCCTACCAGCAGTCACAGTTTTATGGCATGTTTGCATGTACAGTGTGCAGGTCACATGTTTCAGAGAAATTGACCGATGCAAAAATCACTTGGTTCATGGCAAGTTCATACTGGATTCATCCGCTGAGACCTTGGACGGGAAAAGGATGGAACTGGTGTGCAAACACTTGATCTGGCTGAATAATTCACCAACATGAAAGCTGGTTGGTGGTATACTTACCTACCCCTCTGAAAAATGATGGAGTTCGTCAGTGATGATGATTATTCCCAACATATGGAAAGTCATAAAAGCCATGTTCCAAACCAAAAACCAAATAGCTATATATAATCATAGGGCCATTTGGGAATGATTCCCCAATGACATCACGAGGTCCCAGGTCACTACTTCATCCAGATCAAGAGAAATGGTAATCATGCTTTGGTATGCTTGGTTTCTGAGCACTTTAACTTTAGATACTTTAGTACGATATTGATATCCAGACTTGATGATCAATTGGACTAATTACATAAGGATATCAGTGTATATGATATATATAATATCATTGATGATCCCATCTTTTGAAGTTGCTAAGCTTGGCACGTTCTGCTTTTTCACCCCTCCATTTGCGCCGCCATCGCCGCCTTCGACGTCGGAGGCTGACGGTGAAGCCACGTGTTCGGAGTCCTGAACGGGTTCTGAAGGGGAACCATGCATCAAATTCTGAGCCAACTAACGTTTATAATGACATGAAATATACCCTCTGGTTAACTAACATAGCTATGGTATAGATGGCCCATTTTTAGATGGTTTGCCTATTAAACATGGTGATGTTCTATAGCTATGTTAGTTTGCCAGAGGGTAATATTGGAAGTTTCTGGACGACCTTTCAATCACATCAAGCCACCGAAACCATTCAGAAGGGTTGAGAAAGATCTTCAAGGCTGTAGCCTAGTACCATTCTGAACCATTTCAAGTAGAAACAACGAGATCAACTTCTATACCCATCTGCCTTACCTTACTGAAGGATTCACGAGAAATGGAGCCCGAAAAAGTGGATCTCTCCATGAAAGGAAAGTCAGCCGCCTCATCGACAAGCCGCAAAAGCTTGCTGTTTGTAAACCCATTCCGATGGATTCCCATTCTTCACTTTATACCCATCAAAAATCCCATTCACTTTATACCATTTTATATATACCTATCAAAAATCCCAGTGCTGGTTTAAACATTTTATGAGATATAATATATATATATATGTTTTTTTTTTCTATGGGTTTCTTATCATTCTGGGATTATAAGCCACTGCTTCTGCCATATCCCCGTTGTCGGCCCGGGGACATCCATGGCCATTCCCACATGGCCATCCCACGCCTTCTCTGACACATCTTCCCTAGATTCGCGGCAAGGCAAGTAGCATAGCATGAAACATGGGGGATTTTTCATGGGATTTTATCTAAATTGGGACTTAATATATCTTTAATGCGGCTTAATGCAGTTGATGAACTATCCAAATAGGGACTGATTTTTTTATCACTATCCAAATGGGGACTGATTATCACTTAATGGGGTTCACATGGCTGAAATATTCAAAGAGAGTTGAACGGATTTTCTTCATTCACCTTCTGGTGAAATCACCTGTAAATAAATAGCACATGAAATGAGAACATCACCGAACGAAATTATGTGTTTCCAATACTCCGTGTTTGGTTACCTTATGGAGCGTGTGTGTGTGTATGAAAATTGTTGGTATGCCAAGTGTGCACCAAAAACATTGTCATGTTCATGGGGGAAATGAAAGATGATAGCCCATCTTAAATTTAGCGCAGCCTATTTTCAAACGAATCAATTTAAACATTGAAGATCCTGCCAAGTTATTGCATGAAATTCTACATTGATGCTAAGTGACATCATGGCGGTTTGGTGGTGCTTGCACTATTGGAAGTGGCCTGTGTGGTCGGTGATAGTTAACCTTAAAGAATCTTTTTAAAATGATTATATAACTATATAATGACTATATAATATGGTCTAATCTTAATAGTTCACCAACTAATCAAATGATTAATTATCTTAACTATCTCAAAAAATGGACCACATCTTAATAATATAGTGATTTTTCGTAAGATAAAATTCAGATTAACTATAGTTAAAATCATTTGGTCCATAAATATGATCTGGTTGGTGGTTTCAACCCCTCTGAAAGATATGACTTCGTCAGTTAGGATGATGAAATTCCCAATATATGGAAAACATTATCCAAACCACCAACCAGTTACCCTCTGGTAAACTAACATAGCTATTGAAAATGGCCCATTTATAGTGGATTTACCCATTAAAAATGGTGATTTTCCATAGTAAGTTATGATAGTTATGTTAGTTAAGCTTATTATTAACTATCCATGATTTTTTTGCACTCTGGGGTGAACTCCGCCACCCAAACACCGGTGGAAATTCCAACATCGGCCAAGAGACCCAAGTTGCCGTCGCAAGCGCCTGCAATGCTGGTAGCTTCACCCAAACTGGCGGTTGTTTCTATGGTTTCAACAGAATGAAACGGTGATTTCACCAAGAGTTGGGAGTTGATATTAGGGTATGTCTGAAAATGGGGTTAATCTTCCCAATGAAATAGCCATAAAAAGTAGGGATAATGATCAGCAAAACCATTGGGTAAATGGGGTACACTATTTTCAGACAAACCCATTAAGATATATTATGGTTGGTGTATGTGTTGTTCATGTTTTTTTTTTCCAACCAACAAGTAGTTGCAAGTAGTTGGGAGGCACCACCTGGTGGAGAGATTGTCCAAACGCCTTTTTTGATTGATACAGTAACTATCTGTTTTGAAGATGGGAACGAAGCTGTAAACATGAACTGAAGGTACATACTGTAATACACCCAGAACTTACCATGGTTTAAGATTTCTGTTCATGCTACCATGAGATTCTGGAATGTATCGCTTTCTGACCATTGCTGGAATGCCGAGAACGCGTTGTTTTCCAGAGGATCCGTAACCAATTTCCTCGAAGACCCTTGGGAATTATCATATTGAACGATAGCTTTACCATTTGTCCATTTTGAAAATAGAACACAAAAAAAATAGTAATTATACATGTAATTACTATATGATAATGATATCCTTCCATGTCCTTCCCATATTTCAAATTGAATACCTCCCTACAGGATGCGGCCCCCGAGATAGCGTTCAGTGGCCTTATAAGTGGCTTAACTATGGTTTATGGTAGATATATATAACCAATTATAGATGACTATAATCTTTTTGGGGTTTATAAACCAACTTATAACTACCCTCTGGTAAACGGTTCCATAACTATGGAAAATCACCATGCTATTGGGAAAATTCACTATTTCAATGGCCATGGTTTCAATAGCTATGTTACAAATTACCAGAGGGTATATCACATGAATATCCCATTAAATCACTATAACATCCCATTCATTAATCCCATTAATATTTAATAATTATACATTAATATACCATAGCTTTTTGCATGTTTACCAGAGGCTAAGGGGCACCATCCTACGGCAAAAAACGAAGGAAGTCCAAGGTCCGCACTGGTTCTCCGCCAGGAGCTCTTGGTTCTGCTTGCGCAAGTGCCACAGCTCACCTGGGGGAACACAGCGCCATGAAAACCCTAGGAAAACTGTAGGAAACTATGGAAAACCCAAACAAAACCATAGGAAATTGATGATTGAACAAGGGAAAGTGGTGACTTAATGGGATGTATAGCAGATTTATACAGTTATGGCCCAAAATACCAGTTCTAAGTACAGATTAACCGATTAACCCCATTTATAGAATATATAATCCCACAGGAATAAGCAGTTATAACTAATAAATGCCAGCACTGCACGTTCTATGGGCCTTTCCTTGCAAGAAGAAACTGGCAGGGAAAGATGTGAAACTTCCAGTTTTTACAGGCTATCTCCTCAGATTCCTGCTTCACTTGGATTTACTCAAGGAAGCCAACAAAAACAACACACACACACATATATATATATATTCCTATATAGGTTCCCCATTTCTAGTGGATTTTGGCACTGGGAAAATGCCAAGTTTATCATTCACAAAAAGCACATCTTGTTGATTATAGAAATTATAATCATGATCTTCCCACCATTTTCGGCAAAATCAAAAAGTCGCCTTCATGTGCTTCCAGCAGCAGGCTGAAGCGACCCATGGCCTGAGTCAGGGCCTGACAGCAGTAAACCAAAGGAGTGGTTGAAGGGAACATGAAATGACTATGATAACGATGGTTTACAAATGTGTAGCATAGCAGTTATAACTTATAACTAGTCATAACATAACCATAGTGTGAACCCATTGATTCATCATCACTATCCGCCCATAGTTAGGTTGCTCATAAATCAACTTATAACGTAAAAGTATACTTGAGACTGGGTGTATAAACCAACTGTAGTAGCTAGTAGTTTTTCGTGTAGATAGCTGGGTCAATCATATACTTGGCTTATACCTAAAGATAACTATATAAGGCTGATGGTGGTTATAACTTCAGTTGGTGGATGCTGGGTTTATAAACCAACAAACATAACTGGGGGGCCTTGAAGCCTTGTAGGGATTTGATGGGATTTGGGGATACTTCCTGATACTTCCATCGATTCCCAAACAGCAGTGACTGTTGGGTTTCAATCTTTGGGTCTGGGACTGGTGCATCGTTTTTTTGCCAAACTCGAGTTTGAAGAAGCTCAGGGATTCGTTCCAGGGGGTTTCCTTCTCAGGGCTGTCGCGAGTTCTTCTGCGCCATCCAGAAGGGCCATGGTTCGACGAGGCGACCCTGGTGATGTAGTCGGTGGAGACCGCACGCTCCAAAAACCGGAACGGAATCGGGAGACCTAGAATCTTGGAACCTGCTGGGCTATTGGGTTTCAAAGCTGGGTGAATTTACCAATTGTAATAATTGGATTGAAAGAAATTTCCCCACAAAAGCAAAACAGGGCCTCAAACACCCAGAATTGTTCGTTCCAGTGGATCGTGCCAAGCCAAAACTAGGACTCTCTCTCTCTCTTTCTTGCATAGGGTTTTACTGTAGATTTTTGCCTTCAGCTTCAACTAATTTCAACCAATCGTGGGACCCAAAGTCAACATGTTTTTCACCAGAAATTGTCCCCACACGTTTTTGACCATTGGGCAAAATCAATACCCTCTGGTAAACTAACATAGCTATTGAAAATGACCATAGAAATAGTTGATTTCCCTATTAAAAATGGTGATTTTCCAATAGCTATGTTAGTTTACCAGAGGGTAGATACAATCATCAAATCTGCAGGGTCTACTGACCTGCGCCAAAAACCACATCCATCGCCCTGTTAAACGGGTCACCGGGCATCCTCAGAATCATCCCCCAAAAGCGGCCGATGAGTGCCGGATGGCTGCGGGAAATGATCGTTAGCTATCGCAGTTGATGTTGAAATTGTTGAAATAGAAAGATTTATAACTGTAAAATAACATCAATAGAAATGATGGTTAGCTATACAGTAATTGTTGTATATAAATTTTATAAACCAAAGTACTGTTCACTCTTGCGGATCAAAACCTCAAACGAGCTGGCACACTACAGATCTTGCGACATCCCACATCGGTTTAGATGCCGGCCATGACACCCATGGATGTTGATCCTTGTTACAAGCGACCAGCCATTCTTGCGAGTTGCCTTTCTTCAACCCACACCTTTCCACGTGCATGTATATACATATACATAAAAATAAAGAATATATAATATAGATATATATATATATACATATAGTGCATGAAATATAATATAATAAGTAAATAAATAAATAAATATATGTATATATATATATACAAACAGTGTATATGTGTACACACATATCACATATATGTATAGCCTAGATAATGAGAGCTTCAATGGCCAATCTTACCCCGGATTTCTTGGATGCAGCATTATTCCCGCAGAATTCGTCCGTGTCTGGGCTCAGGCAGCCCAGCAATGGGCTAAACATCCTGAAGCTGAAGTAGTTTTTTGAAAATGAGTGTTCAACATATTTATATATATATATGCAATATATTATACGTCTCACTATCAAACCATCATACATGATGTATTGTAATGTACTATGTAGTATATATATATGTATATATATATCTATGCATATACATGCAGTATATTATACTTATATCATGTATCACTATCGATCAGATCATCATGCGTGATGTAATATATATATATAATTCATCAAATTATCTAGAACCATATCTGCCATATCTATAAACTCTCGGCCCTTTGGGGAGACCACCCTCCACATGACAGTCCGCTTCGAGACAACGTCCTGCATGATGGATTTCACCTTGTCCAACTTCTGGCCTTCGTACCTGGCTGGTGGAAATTTGAACTACCGGTAAACTGTCACATCACTACGGACAATCACCATTTTTAATGGGTAAATCAATGATAAACGGGTCATGTTCAATAGCTACTTGTTTGTTTACCAGAGGGTACTGTGGATGGTTGCGAAATCCAAATCACCAGTCGATGGATGGTAAACATCCCATAGGCTTTCAACCATCCAAGCTGGTGCAGGATTTCGCAATCATCCACAGTATCATTATTACCCTCATGGTAAACTAACATAACTATGTGAAAATCACCATTTTTACTAGGTAAATTAACTATTTCTATGGCAATTTTCAATAGCAAACTGTTAGTCATTACCAGAGGGTATATCCCATTAATATCCCATTGAATCACTATAAAATCCCATTAAATCACTATAAAATCCCATTAAATCACCATAAAAACCCATTAAATCACTATAAAAACCCATTAAATCACTATAAAAACCCATTAAATCACTATAAAATCCCATGGAAAATCACCATAACTCTGATTCTTGCGCCACTCCCACAGCATCCCACAGCTCCCTAGCTGCCATCCTCCAAAAGCGATGCTCCGCGTCCACGGAGCTCTGATTCTCTGAGAGGTACCACCTAAAAACATGGCGAAAGGTCCCAGTAGGTGAGATAGAAATAGCTTCTGGTTATGGGATCAGCATTATAAAATATATACATATATTATATGATATATATATATGATATATATAGGTTATATATAATGATATATATGATATATATATATATTGGATAACTATAGTGAGGCTTTATAGAGGTTCATGCACGTATTCATGCAGTTTAATCAATCATGGGATTTTACCACTGGAAATTTAAGGATTTCACCAGCAATGGGGGCTGACCTTCAGGACCTAACGTTTTCGCAACCATCCAATATTCAAGAATTCCTAGCTAAGTTATGATAAGTTGGTTTACACGAAACATGTCATAGTCAGAACTGTTGTTTGCATATCGTACAGATATATATATATAGTTCAATGGGGATTGTAAACCAACTCAGAACTGAGGGACACATAGACATATAGCATCATATAGCTATAGCAACCTCCGGAAAAATATAGAGAAACGATGAGAAGCGTGTAATTTTGCCACTCTGGAGATTGTTTTAAAAGTGTGTTGGATAACTATGGTTTAACAAACATGGATTGCATCAGCGCCAAAGATCTGGTGAATCCCTCAGCTGGGTGTCACGGACTCGTCTTGTGCCAGGTCCTTCAGCATCTCCAACATCTCCTGCGGTGAAGCAATCTTTTTGTTCAGGGAAAACCATAGGAAAACCATTGGAAAACCGTAGGAACATGTCGATTGAACCACGAAAAAAAGGGAAACCATGGGAAAAGCCATCGGAACATGGTGATTTTACCAGGACAAAACTGTGATTTCATGGGATGTATAGCTGATTTCTGATAGTGTTCAGTTGGTGCAAATACCTGCGTGCGGGCACCACCTTGAGAGACACCATGGAAGTTAAGCCAGAGGCGTTGCCGTTAAACTGATAAACCCAGATACGGGACCCTATAGTTGGACAAAGATGTCAACGATTGGAGTGGTATCCCAACTGATGTGGTTGGGATGAAGATGAAACCGAACTCAAAGAAGGCAGAAAGAGGGCATGTAGCCAACATGGTGGGTTGAATCAGCCAATGTGTTCACATTGTGAACCAACCAAAACGGGGATTTAAAGCAACCAAGATGTCGAGCTCTGCTGCACGAGCGGTGTCATTTCGCCATAAATCGCTGCCCCAATGCGCTTCGTCCCATAACGGTCTTTGGTCTTTGGATCTGTCGGGGGGAAGAACTTGTTGCCCAAGACACGGTGGACCAGGAAGCAGTCACACAACCAATTTTCAAATAATCATGATTGATTAAAAAACCTTAAAAACCTGCTTGCGAAATCACAAAGCCTCTGAGCATGTTCTTTTCCAGTCACAAAGTTGGACGCACATCCACGCCACAGATTGTATCAATGGCCAATTCAGGTACCTAAATCGGAGGTACCTACCATATAATATAAGGCCTATTTTTTAGGGCTAGAGGGGATATACACCCAAAACATGGCTTTATATGGTACTAACGTACCTCCATTTTAGGATCCTGGAATTCCCATTGATTGTATGAAGCAAACATGTGTTGACAGTCGAAGTACCAAACTGGTGAGCTCCTTGCACATGTGAGAAAAACATCGAGCCCAGCAGCCCGGGTATTGAAAACCTCTTTAAAATCATCAAGACATGTCAAACAACTCCAACCAATCCCATATAATCATAGTTTTTCTTCCATATGTTCATATATGTTCCCCATTTTGGTTGCTGAAATGGCTACATTGGCTACATCGGCTGGGATCTACAGGACCCAGCAGCGACCTGGCGCCGTCGTAACAAATCAGCGTCCTGCGCCAGGTCCATGGGAAGGAAGTCCTTGACTTGGACCAGGCCTCCCTCCTTGAAATCGGGGAAAACATGGGAAAACCCATCAAAACACCCATGGGAAAATGCTGACGATTTAAGGGATACCATCAATTTTTTGGGGGATTTAGGTACATGATATATATATATATATATATATTACATATAAATAATATATATATAATTATTATTATCATTATTATTATTATAATTATATAATTATATATAGATATATTATTATATAATTATATATATAATTATATATATAGTGTACATATACTTAAGGGGATAGTTACTGTAGTATGTTTTTGCCTATGGGAATTTCATGGGGATATTTCATGGGACAAGAAGACTACATGCTAACGAGTAACGTGGTACGAGGTGATACCCCCAATAGTTGTAGTTTAAGGGTTAAGCAGCACGAATGAGGGGGTTGAACCCGCTGTTCAATGATGATCTAACCAGTCAAAAATTCAGCAGTTTACCGTTTAACTACGTTGGTTGAAATAGCTAGGTTTGCTTTGGTTTATGGTATGATATATCGAGCTAGTGCTGTTTCAAAATCAACTCAGATAACTTTTTGAAAAAAGCGCTTCATCGTAAGTTTCTGGAAACTCGTTTTCACACATTTGACCAACATGGATCAACATGGGGGTATTTTTCAGAATTGAACATCTGTTAATCATGGTAATAGAGAGCACCGTTTAAGATCCGGTCAGCCCGGTCAGCCCGGTCAGCTACCGTGCTGGCTGACCGAGATGGTGGCATAACATAATAATACATAATATATATATATATATATACATATGTGTGTGTATATTTAATACTTCATGAACTTTTACCACTTATACATCTTAAAAATGTTGATTTGTTGTTTCTATTTCTGATATTTCTCTACATGTCTCATGATCGCTTTTTCGGCGCCCGCTCCTGCTGAAGAAAACTTCTCCTTGGGACACCGACGACTAGATCGACCGGAGGTGCCTCTAAGCATCCGATATACCCGGCCTGGTTATGACATTCACAGTTTGCCATGGAAAACGGCCCGCCATTTTTAATAGGTAAACCTATATATATATATATGTATAGGGCCAGGGCCATCTATACCATGGCTATGTTAGTCATAACCAGAGGGTAAGCATCCTAAGATAACTCAATGGAGGTGTAAAAAAACCGGGAAAATCATGGGACAACCCCCCCTGAACATGGAGGATTTCATCGAAACTCATCCAGACTTGGGGGGATTTTCGCTATGTTTGATTACTAGATGGTAATTAAAATGACGATGATGATGAACATCATGAGGGACAATTTACAGATGCTTGTTTTTCTTCAAATCTTCAAATGAGTGATTTCCTGCTTTGCTCATATTTCACCTTGAACCAATCCAATGACATATCTTCCCTGAGGCTAGGAAATACCGCGCATAGATGCCAATTGATGCTATTTTGACAGAACGAATTAACTAAGCAACGTGCCTCTCTCAATTTTATACTAAATTGAAATGGAACTCTCAAACTTGCCATTTTCATCAATTTTCCAACAAAGTTTGCCTTCCGTCAAATCCATCGCTGCATTCATCCTTTCAGAGCGAGTGCCGACATAATTTCCACGGTTTTTTTCGTTCACAATCCTGACATGTTTGCGTGTTCTAATGGCGATTTAAAAACAGTCATGACGAACACAGCAACACATTAAACACATTAAATACATTGCAAAGACTCTCCCGTACTACTCATGATCCGTAAATGAGACCTTTCATCATCTGTCATCCTTTGCACAGTCAAAACATGCCACCAGGCAACAGGCCCAGTGCTTGCACTTGCGCTAAGAACTCCTGGCCCGCCACGCGAGACCTGTGCTGTTCAACATCGGTCGATAATCCCATCGCAATAGGTCTATAGTCACTACTGCAATCCCCGGTTTCCGAACTGTTGGCTGGACACCTTAGAAATATAATATATAGATATATGCATATGTCTTACATATATATATATATATGCATATGTCTTACACACACATATGTATATATATATACATATATACAAATATATATATATATATACGGGGAAGGCATCATTGAACTACCTTTCCTGGCAACACTTTTAATAATCTTTTTTGGGGGGTGCCATATGGTAAGACCCCCACACCGTTCTTGATCTTGGATTTGCTGAAGGGGTCCCCAAACAGATATCATAGTCCATCGTGGATTGTCGGGAAAATGCCAAAAAATCGCCGACTCAATAAGTCTTAATTAACTTATAAACCCATTCCATTCCTATCTACTCCCATGATTATCATTACCATCTGGTTATTTAACATAGCCATGGAAAATCCCAAAAATAAATGGAGGTTTCTAGCTGGGAAAATCATCTATAAATGGGCCATTTTCCATGGCTATGTTAAATAACCAGAGGGTATTTGGCGATTTCAACATACCCAGCTCTCTGAGTCTCAGCCCGCGCCGAGGAACCAAGGCGCAGGAACACGTCCTGGCACCTCGGCCGTTGCTGGGATGGAACTTTTTATCGAACGAGGACATAGCTTAAATAGAGGTGAATATAGGTAACCCTCTGGTAATTTAACGTAGCTATGGAAAATCACCATGTTTAATGGGAAAATCAACTATTTCTATGGCCATTTTCAATAGCTACGTTAAATTACCAGAGGGTAATACGGGTGATATATCGCCAACATATCGCCCACTGAATAGTTCAACTATGTTCTTAACTAATGTGGTCAAAACAATGCCATAAACTTACCATCCCCCAGGAAAATCACCATAAATAGGTGTTATAAACCATTCCCAAATGGGTGGTTTATGGCATTGGTTTCACCCACATTAGGTGATATATCACCAGCTAACTTCAGTAAGTTGCGATATCACCCATTTTTTTTTAGGACATAGGTTGCTATAGGTGAGACTATCACCAACTGAAAGAAGGAAAACACATATTAGGGTCAATTGGGGTTAAGTAACATGTTTAGGCATGTAAGTGATATAGCACACTGAAACCGTATGAAACCATCATGAAATACCAGGGTTAACTATCTCAAATTGGGGATTTAACCAACATGTATAGACAACATTAAAACAGCGGTGCAATAGAGATCTAATCAACACCGACGGGCTCCTTTTTCAGAGCTCCTAAAACTAGGACATCTCCAAATTTGCAATAGAAGTAATCCAGGTTACATGTCGTGGGGATACATTTGATTATTTGCATGTAAGTCGACCTCATAAATGGAACAACTCTTGATCTATTTCAGACATCTCCAGATTCCTTACAACATTTTGGCTAATCTATTACCTGTGGCAAAGTTGGGATCAAATCATTCTTCAATGAGTACTGGGTATCGATTACTAAGCATTAATTCAGGAAATTCTACACAATGTGAGGCCCCCAAGATATCTAAGTTGGTTTATAACTACAATAACTATGGTTTATGGTATTTATAACTATAGTTACTGGGGCTTATAAACCAACTTATAACTGGGGGGCCTCACATTGCAGGTATCAACACAGTTGTGAACAATTTACAAGTTGCGAACGCATACAGTTGCACCGATTCGCACCGATTGTTAGTGGATATCTTTCCATGGAACTCCGCGCACAATGTTTGTACCCAAGAGTCACTTCATCTTCTTGTCCCAATTCAATTCGGCATTAGTGTTTTCTGGTTGGTGGTATACATACCCCTCTGAAAAATATGCAAGTCAGTTGGGATGATTATTCCCAATATGATGGGAAAAATAAAAATATAATTCCAAACCACAAACTAGAATATACTTTAGTCGCATGAAATCTCTTTTTTTTCCTCAGGGGGCCGAAAAACATTTACCATCAACCTGGTTACCAAGCTCTCCATGTTTTCCTCATCTCCAATCCACTGCACCAACGGCAGTCGCAATCCCTGGCCCTGGCCCTTTTCTCCTCGCGCCCATATCCAGCCGTTGCGATTCACGTCTTCTTGGATACAGGACACCAGCCCATTGTAAGACCTGCTCGGATGAAGGTGGGAAGTGGTGACTTGGAGAGTTCTTGTCATGGAAATTGAAGGCTGTCCCACCGAAGGTACCCCAGTAACCACAGGACCCCAGAATGAGGGTTGCTGGTTGTATCCCATCAATTTCCATGAAATTTGATGATTCACAGTAATTAATTATATCATATCCTGTGAGATATTAAGCATATAAGGGGCCCATAAGGGGCACAGAACCCAGCCACCAATCAACGGAAAACGACATAGGGCAAACATGGCAATTGGATGCATTTGGTAGACTATATATACACATGCATATACCCTCTGGTAATTTAACATAGCTATTGAAAATGACCATAAAAATAGTGGATTTTCCCATTGAAAATGGTGATTTTCCATAGCTATGTAAACGTTTACCAGAGGGTACATACTATCACTGACTCTACCTCCAAATTTCGGAGGATCACGTCTTATAAAGGCTACCGGCAGCCTGGCAACGGAACATCCATCACCTGGTACTTTTTGTTTTCTGTTTCGAATGGATGATGAACTAAACACCAACCAAACACCTATTAAACAAAAGAAACCTCCATTCCTTCCCGAACGTATTTGACAGTCCAGAAAGAGGTCTATTATACAAACGATATGGGCTGATATGGGGATTTGCAGTTGATTGTGATGCAGAAGGGACACTTCTTGGGTACAAGAAGAACATCCAAACACCCTGGCAGCCCTGGCATTAACATATTCACCAATAGAGTGGGCAAACCCCATCAGAACTATTCCATTTTGACCTCGCCCTGCGGAGATTTCACTCACTATCAGAATATGCTTTGGCTGGCTGCATGAAGTTGAAAAAGAGATCCAGAATCCAGATTCCTACACATGATTTCCATGTTGAAAATCATGTACACCATTTTCCACAGGGAGAAAGCTCCTCCAACATGCTCCCGATCATGTAGACGTGGCCAAAGAGGCCGCTAGAATTCAACCAAACCATCCCATGCATACATAAACATCCAACGATATCTCATGTTCAGGGGTTATACGCATATCTCGGGCTGGACAAAATCTTATATGTTTGATGGCTAAACACACTAATACCCTCTGGTTATGTCAAAATAGCTATTGAAAATGGCCCAGTCGAAATAGTGAGTTTTCCCATTAATAGCATGGTGATTTTCCATAGTTATGTAAACGTTTACCAGAGGGTATATACCACCATACTCATAGGATTTTATACCTCTGGTATTTTCCAATGGTATTTTCCCAGGGATGGAAAATACCATGCTAGTTTTCCAGGATAATATAATTATATAGGGTTTATTATATACCCTCCGGCAAACGTTGCAATGGAAAATCCACCACCCAGCGAACTAGCCATCATGGCCACCATGGCTAGGCCACGGAGATTTCAGGCCGTAAGTGACATTTGAATCCTCCACAAAAATCATGATCAAATCTGTGTATATCTAAAAAAAAACTCATTCATGTGGCTTAAATCTGGTATATAATTCACGATAAAATCCATGGTAAATCCATGATAAATCCCTAAAAACTCATGGTAAAATCCATGGTTTGTCCTTTTCCAACACAACATCCGCACCTCCACGATGGGATCTGGGCCCTGCGATGCGAACACGATGCGAACACGGAAAACAATAAGAAAACCATATAAAAACCATAGGAAACCATAGGAAACCCAACAACATATCCCATAGGATCCATGGTGCTGCTATATATGGTGACATGGATCCCATCAATATACCCCAGTCATGTTAGCATATATACCATACATGGATCCTATGGGATATGGATAAACATTACACTTTTTAATGGCCCGAAATAGAAGTAATTACTAGCCAAAGCACATTTATAGAATGCATAGTGCATAGCCATTTATGATCAGTAACAAAAAACATGGCCATAACTGTAGAAACCCAAATCCCAATATTGTTGGTGTATGTGTATGTATATTGTATATCCCCAGGATACACCAATGAGGTCCATGATTTTACGAAGATTTTACCATGTGGCTAATCAGGTTACCCAGCTAACATTGATGATTTCGCATGAGTCACTTACGAAGTCTGACTGATCCCTAGCGACCCCCACCTGGTCACATAGCTCTGCATGGCGGCATAGACTTCCTCTTTGGAGGCCTCCTCGGTGGTTTTCACCATGAAAAGATGCTGGGAAGATGAGGATGTCCCTGATGAAAATGAGACGGAATGAGTCTAAGTCGGTGAGTTTTAGATGTGAATCACTGGGTAAATTTTATTAATTCACTAACCTGAATCTTGCGGCCATTTGGGGATGATTTCCATAACATAAACCATGATTTCCAGTGAGGGAGGACAGTGAGGTTGTGATCAAATTTACCCAGATATATTCACTGAAGATAAAGGAATCACCTGGAGCAAAACCGCAGCGCCAAGGTCATGACTTGACGCTAGTCAGGTTTCCAATGCTACGAAATTCTGCTGATTGAATCCTGTGAAATCCCCTACTGTTGGCAGTTTGCTGATCCCCTACTGTACAAGTAAAAAAAGGCTGAATCATAGTGGGAAGAAATGGTAAATCCACCTGACAAAATCTAGTTTGTGTGATTAAAAGGTTGGGCACCCCATTTGTTCATAGTTTTAAACTAGCTTTGACATGTTCAAACACCATTAGATCCACATTGTTGACTACAAATGCTACAAATCCCCCTTACACTCGAGAATAAACTGAATAAACCTCAGAGCAGTTATGTTGACCAATCAATTATCACAAATCAACTATCAATCACCATGTGACTGGGTAAAATCCACTAAAAGTCCCCAAGGATTCAACATCAAGTACCCGTTCATGGACAAAAAAAACACGCAATCCACATCAAATCACCATTTTCTGATGTTTCCATGATTTTCCCATGGAGTTTTCCATGTTTTTTGGTGAACAATCCCCAATTTCTATGGACTTTCTGTCAAAAAGTCCTCAAACAGTCCACCGGTCCCAGCGCCACATCCACCTGCGAGGTGATGAGCGTCTTGGCCGTGAAGTTGATCCGTAACCTGTGACGTGACGTTCAATGGTTAGGCTGCTACAATATCAATGAAAAATATGTATAGATATGATGTGTACTAATGATTAATGAGATTAATGTTATTCTAAATAACTATAAGATATTATATATATATAACTGATGATAAATTGTTTTTATATATGTTATTATAACTATATCATATTATATAATAACATAAATTGGTTGGAGTTAATCGGGGTTAATGGTAGTTGCAATGTTGGCTGGTTGATGAAAGCATGTATACCAAGGACAATGGTGATTTACAAACTTCAATGACCAACATAGAAGTTCACCTAAACATTGGGGGATTTTATGGTTTAAGAAACAGTTGCCTGGTGAGCTGACAAACCAAAAATCAAAAGTATACATTGGTAAACATACCCCAATAATAAGGGCTTATCAAGGGTTCATTAAGCACTTATTAATCACCAACAACCACATTGTTTTCCAGGGCGATCTTGACCGTTTATTGCTGGGGTGGCACCTTGCCCCGGCGCTTGAATTCCCATGATACTGGGAAAGAGCTGGCGAACCAGGGGGAATTCATCGGAAATTGGGGAATACACTTGGGAAGAACAATAGCGATGCATCCATAGGGTGGTGATGTTCTAATACATAGAGGACATCTATATACTGCAGTATGTAACTGGTTGGTGGTTTCAACCCCCCTGAAAAAATATGAGTTCGTCAGATTGGATCATCATCCCAACTATTGGGGAAAATAAAAGCCATGTTCCAAATATTTCCAAATCACCAACCAGGTTAACATGGTGATGATATGTGATGATCAGTGACCTGACTCGTCCATACTCATCCTATCACACCGGCGCCAAGGGACAAGTTGTCATTGGGCGCGCAGCGCCAAGACCCATAGATCTTGCGCGACCTCGGGCAACGATGGCATCGATGCGGGTCCGAGGTCGAAAATGGCAGGTTTTTAGTGCTTTGTGGTACCCATGACGGATCCATGGTGCTGGTATATATGCTAACATGACTGGGGTATATTGATGGGATCCATGTCACCATATATAGCAGCACCATGGATCCTATGGGGTAGGGGAAGAATGGTTCATAGTGGGAAATGCTGGGGTAATTGTGTGGTTAACATTAATGATTAATGGTGGTCCGGTGACCGGTGTTTTAAATGGGATTTCAAAGGGATTTACTGGTGGTTCAATGGAAAATCATCCTAGACATGGTTAAATCGGGACTATCGTTTGATGGTGACATACTAGAGAAAAAATGAATCATTCTCAATTGATGTGCGCTGCAATATATGACAGTCTTCCGACAAAGGAACCTCACATCTGGAGTCCCAACCTGTCAATCCAGCCATGGATCGAAACCCGAAAAGCACCCTGTCTTTGGGCGTGGCTTCCCACCCCAGCAAAACGCACCATGCGAGTTTCCAATGCACAAATGGGTATCAGGTACCATCTTGCAACCTGACTTGTGTCGCGCTTTCAAAAGCAAACATTTAGTCACATTTAGTCAGATGAGTGTCCTACACGGAGTCCAATTGACAAAATTTAAAATGGGACGTGCCCTTCAACACTTTCCATCGCAAACATCGCGAGAGTCATTTTAGCTTCTCCATTTATTTCAACACAAATACGTAGAATGTGGCAAACTCAATCACAAACCTCCAATTTTATGGAAGGTCTTTACCAACCCTTTCTGTTGAAATCCATGGTTAGTTTATATTAACCATTAGCAATAAACTAGAAATACTAATGATGCTGCGGAAATGACACTACTGTAATTCATACGAATTCTGGATGGGTTTACTACATTCGTATCTGGTTGGTGGTTTCAAACCCTCTGAAAAATATGAAAGTCAGTTGGGATGATGACATTCCCAATATATGGAAAAATAAAATTCATGTTTCAAACCACCAACCAGTAACTGGTTATTTCTATGGGACTATACAGTAAATGGGGTTATAAGTACTTAAAACTGGTATTTTGGGCCATAATTGCAGTATGTATTATATATATATATATACTTGGTGGCTCATCCCACTTAGTAAGTGGGTTATAGCCCCAGTTAAAAATGGGATAAGTAGGGTTAATCTACTTATAACTGGGGTTATAACCCACTTACTAAGTGGGATGAGCCACCAAGTATTAATCAATATTAATCATATTAATCATTTCCCATCCACGAAATTCGTTGGCGATTTCTCTCCCATCGAGGCGCAGCAGGGCACAGCGTAGGCTCTGCAAAGACGCCTTAGACGCCTTCGTCCCGCCTGCGGCTCAGCTGGACCGCCCCATCACCATGTGAATATTGGAAGTCCCATGGGTTACGTGATTTCATGGTGATTTCATGGTCATTTCATGGTGGTTAAAAGGGATTGAACAATGATTGAAGCAACAAAAATGAGAATATGAATCAGATTAACTTCTGGGAAACTAACAGTTTGCGAACTGGAAATCTCATTTGTTTCATAGAAGAATCATCTAGAAAGGGTCCATTTTGCATAGCTATGTTAGTCTACTTGATGTTTAACGGTTTAACCATCAATATATGGGGATACAATGGATGGGGATACGTAGTATCTTGCTCTAAATTTGAGCGAGAACAACAGAATAACCATCATAAAATTGGGTTCAATATGATTTACGGCAACCATCCTGAAACTGTATAGCATGGTTTTTACTTGGAAGATCCTCTCGCATAGTAGGTAAGGTTTAACTCAGCTTTAACTCCCTAGGCGCCAGTTAGGAAGTACTCCTAGTGGGGCTGTTCCATGAAGAAAGAAGGTTACAACCATGGCAGACTGTGGCGACCACAAAAGCAGCAGCATTGTACTATATATATATATATTGCACTGGTCCCCAAATGTGGCGTTTTAAACAGGGGAGACGCAAAATGTGAGAAATTAAATACATAATGCATAGCCATCATGTCACTATATGTCACCACAGTTCAACACCAAAGTCATGAACCGCCCTGTTTCTTGTCTTGCCATCACGAGACGCGGGGAGGATTTCTGGCGTGTGGAAACTCAAAAATCAAGCAAAGGACCGTAACCTACTCAAAACAAGTTGTTTTAAGAGGACGCGAGGTTGACGAAACGGCTCTCTTGGCCACTTCGTTTTTTTAATAGCCAAGTCCTGGTGGAACTGGGGCACCGGCTCTACAACACTAGCTGCGGGGCTTCATCGCTTCCTTCTGCAGGTGCTTTGATGTACCGCCAGCAACGCACCATCGACACCTGCAGAGTGCTGAAAAGCCCTTCAGCAGCTTCAGCCCCTCAAAGATCACCATTCTGCGCTGGGCTGAACATGGCGGGTCGTTCTCAGGCAGCCTTCGGGTAGGACTCCAAACGTTTGGGTGTCCTCGGTTTGGCAAACACAAACGGGCGAAGATAGAACGGGAACCATCATAAACATTTTCCATTGGCATAGGATTGTGGGAAAAGTTGAACTGGTGTTTCTCATGAACTTGACATCTTGATGAGTGGGAGATTTTGGGAAACTACATGCCTTATTCTGGATATGTTCAATTTATGAATGCGCTATTTGACCATATTTGATCTGCTTGGTTGCCAATCCCTGAAGAAAAAAGGGGCAACTTGGGTTCGAGCATGTTCGAGCTCATCCAATCTATAAATTTGTTTTATTTTTGTGGATTATCCACCATCCTACCCTCGCCTGACCGAATTGCAATACTTCGCCGACCTGACATGATTGGTCATTTTGGGGTTGTTCCTAACATATTTGCACCCATATCTTAATGCAAAATACATATTAGACCTATCCATCTACTATCCATCCCGCCATCCATACATTCATCTATCTACTTTTTCATCTTTTTATCTCTCTGTACACTAGGATAACGAACTGGTCTATGGATGTCTATGGTAGGTATATCGAACTAGCCAATGGGCTGGCTAATGGGGTGAAACTAAACCATGGGATGACACATCAACCGCCGCGTCTGAGTCTGAGCATCTCGTCTTGCGAGGAGACCATCAGCACATCGGAGTCCGGGATGTTCCGAAGAGCGGCGTCCTCGAGATGCCTCAGCGCGCTGGGGTGGTGTAAAACATGCCATGAAACATAGGAAAAACTGCAGGTATAATGGAGATTTGTAATTATTTATATAACACACGCACAAATCACATATATATATATTAAAAAAAGTAGATATTATTAATATAGATAATTCATATATATATATAATATATATATTTATGTAGCCAGACATATTATGATGACACGGGATTGTCCCAAAAGAGAGGGCCCATTGCCGTAAAATCTACAGGTTTGGCATATTGAAACATATTGAGGGGTACACCCGGACTCTTGGACAAACCGTGTTCAGCAATCAAAACAGGGACCTACAGAATTGACACCCAACTAGCAACAACGAAGACATGGGTCAACAAAAGCTGGAATTCAGTCAGCAAAAAAAACATTATAATGAAAGGACTATTCTTAGAGAACAAAATCTAAACTTAAATAATATATCAACTGGGAACGACACCTCTATCACCTCTCAGAAATCTTGAATAATTGACCATTGACGTACCACCAGTATCTGCAGCGCTTCGGATAGTCACGGTCTGTGTGGAAGGGCTCTTGATTCAATGATGAAAAATGTCGAAGTCATAAATCAAAATGATCTATCACAGGATGATTTATCAGGTAAACCTGACCTCATTTCTTGCCGTTGAATATGTTCATCACATATCTATCTGTCTGTCTGCCTGCCTGCCTGTCTGTCTGTCTCACTGTCCACCTACCTCTCTAGCTACCCTCTGGTAAACTAACGCAACTATGGAAAATCACCATGTTTCATGGGAAATTTCACTATTTTTTATGGTGATTTTCAATAGTTATGTCACAAATTACCAGAGTGTCTCTAGCTTGATACGGTACCCTCTGGTAAACTAACTATAGCTATTGAAAATGGTCCAGTCGAAATAGTGGATTTACCCATTAATAGCATGGTGACTTTCCATAGTTTTTTGTATGTTTACCAGAGGGTACCCTCTGGTAATTTAACATAGCTATTGAAAATGGCCACTTATAGTGGATTTACCCATTAAAAATGGTGATTATCCATAGCTATGTTAAATTACCAGAGGGTAGTTTGATTTTCCTCATCATTCCTCCATTCAATGAGCTACCGCCTGCCTGGTTGCATGGAGATAGCCATGGAACCATCCATACCTCTGCGGCGTCAAGAACTGAGGACATTCTTGGTCTTCACCAGGCTTTAGCATAACACCACACCTTTCTATTGTTTTTATGTGTATGTATATATATATATATATATATGTTCAGATAGATGTACATCTGTATGTGCAAACACATGTAAAGAAACGTATTTATGTGTATATATATATATGTGTGTGTCTCTCTCTCTCTGTGTGTGTGTACATATTTATACATATATATATATATATATACATAATTTGGTATGTATATAATGTATGTATGTGTATATATATATATATATATTAGGCTTGTGTATCTAAATATACAATGACATTTTCATAGAAATTCATAGAAGTACAGTTATGCCCTTTTACCAGTTATAAGTGCTTATAAACCCATTTATAGAATGTATAATCCCATTGAAATAACATGTTATAACCAATAAACGACCATAACTGTACTAATTGATACACACTACCTTGCTACGTCGTCTTATTTAATTTGGGCATTGACCTGATCAACCAACTTCGATGCACCTTGGATCAATGGCAATGGTTGATTGTGAGCATGCCAGGGGTGATAAAATTTAATAATTGCCAGCATCTTCCAATCATAGAAGTATATATATATATATATACACCCTCCATGCAGTAAATTAACATAGACCCTGGCATGAGTCGGGGTTGGAAGATTAGTTTCCATTCAAAAATGGTTATTTTCAGGGTCTATGTTCTATAATTTACCAGAGGGTATATCCCATTAATATCCCATTAAATCACTATCATATCCCATTCACATCCCATTAAATAACTATTAAATCAATAAACATTATTGTAATGTTATAGTGATTTAATGGGATGTTAATGGGATATTAAATCACTATCAATCACTATTGTTGTAATGGGATATACCCTCTGGTAAATGTTTTATGGACGCTTTACCCCGTGCGGTATACCGCACGCCTCGCACAGCGCCCAGCGGTAGCACTTCGGCCTCGGCCGGCGCTTCCGCCGGCGCCCAGCGGCGTAGCCGGGACTCGGTCGCGTCGTGCCAGCGGGGCACGGGCAAGGCCTCCTGCGGACGATGTGAGGTTTGGAAACCATGGGAAAATGGGTGAAAATGGTGATGGAACCAATAAACATAATGACATAGTGATTTTCTCCATAAAACTGGTGTAACTGCTGATTAGAAGCTGGTCATACCCAAGTGGGCCGAGTTGTGCTGGTTGATCATGGCCCCCAAAGAGTTGAGAATTGGGGAAGGTAGAGAAGTATCAATGGATTGACTAAGCGGTGTTCCGCTAAGCTTAATACCACCATTAGTATCCTGTTGCAGGTCATTGTTTAATTCATATTAATTCATACTATTATACCCCGTCAATAGTTCCGCTAATATCCCATGAAATATTGTATGCCATCAAATGGCATCATCCCCAAATTATGTTCTTCGGGTTGACACTATACCTCAACAAGCCTAACCACATCAATTTCCACCAATATACAAGCAATCAAAATCAATTAATATAATGTTTATATCTATTTAGAAATGAGCCGGCGTCACAACTCTATATCTTTGCCCTGCTTAAAAAAGGTGGTCGCTTCTTTTTGGGGCCTATCGCTAACCATGGTTTTGTACATGTGAAGATGAAGGGACAAAGCTGCGTAAGGAGGAGGACATGAAGAAGAGAGAAAGAGGAAAGCAATGGAAAGCAAGCAGAGAAGAGGGGAAAGAAAGAGGAAGGAAGAGCAAGCAGCGCCTCTCATTCCGGAAGAGGAAAGGAAGGGGTGTCTTCTGTGGTCTGGGGCTAATTTTTGAACAAATAGGTATCGCTTCTGGGCCTATCGCTAGACAGTGCTTCGTGCACTTTCCAGACTCCAAGTGAACACTCCCTACTAGAGTGGCCTACCAGAGTATCGAACATACCTCATATGTATTTATAAATAAGTAGAGAGAATACATTGTTAAAACAAAAGTGGTTATATATTTTAAGACTCATTGATGACAACATATTCAAATTTAACATGTTTGAAAAGATAAGCCCTCTTCCAGGGCTGCTGAGCATCTACCTATATATACATAAATATTCTATCCCATAGCCCAACAGCCATAACGGAACCAATACCCCCTGTTTTTTTAAACGTAGCTACGGAAAATCATCATTTTCAATGCTCATTAAATCATATCTTTGTTTATCACACACACAATATATATATATATATATATACGAAATTATAATAATTATTATATATAGGCCTTAAATGGACCATTTGTCCACATGTTTCCATATGTTGAACCAGAAGGCTAGCTCAACTGCTCCAAGTGCTGTCAACGCTCCTGGCGTCGCTCTCCCAGCTCCGGGGGCCACGTCTCCACGCTCACGCGCCACGGCGCCGTCGCCACTGCGGCGCCACTGGCGGTGCTGGGCAGCGCTGGAGCCTCCGGGGATCTGGGTCATCTTCGGACAGATGACGAAAGATTGGACACCCCATAGATCCATGGCTTATCATATGTGATTATGGTATATTAATGTATATTACATTGTATTATATGATATTACTATCATATCTTCTCATCTCTTTCCATCTTGAGAGGCGCACGTCGATGGATTTGTTTGGGTGGCAAACCTTGGAAGTTCAGGTCTCTACGTCTCCATGCATGACTGAAAAAAGAGAAAATCGTGTGTAAAACCGAATAAGACAAGACGCAGCCAGCCAAAACCCATACCGTACTTTTGATACTTTTTGTTTCAGCCAATTAGTCCTGCAATTGCCAGCTTCCGTAGTCTTCCGCGCGTTTGCGAAAGGATGATCATGAACGCCAAGATTGCCAACATCATGAATTGAATAGGTACTTCGTTGCATCATGATTGCCACAACTACATTGGTGGCTTATGTAGCTGTGATGAATGACAATGCGGCTGCCGGCTGACAGTCCACAAGTGCCTCGTCAAATGTAATTTCTAACCTCCTCGGGAGCGGCAAAGCACCATGCGCCGGGAGTCATGTTCAATCACACTCTTGGACATTGTGCTCTCTACAAAAAGCCTGACCTGTCACATATCAATCCAATGAATTGTCCAAACAATAATATCTTATATGTATTTATATATATATACACTATATATAATTATATATATATACATACACACGAGCGAATCAATCAATCCTGAAATCCATTCACCTGTCTAACAAAGGCCTACCTAGCCTTCAGGTCATGGACACATCAACCAGTATCCGCAAAATAGCAACGTTCAGACCTGTCAGGCCACAACGAGTCAGAAACATATTTTATGTGGTAACCCCTATACTTGTCTATAATTAACCAACCATTTGGAGGTCATGTTACATCATTCCAGCATCATCCCAGTCATAGGGGAATCTACCCAATGACTAAAACATTGGGTTTACATGTAAACTTTACCACAACTGGGCTCGGCAACTCAGCAGTCGGCCAACCGAGCATCGCCAGTACTGCACGCATTTCTGCCACGTCCAAGCTCGAGGGAAGTTTGGCAGGAAAGGACACCACATAACCTCCACGATGGGCCAGGACAGCCAGGGTCAACTGGTTTGGAATTGCATTAAATGATTTAAGCCATCACAACTATCACACACACATACATATAAATATGCATATCTGCATATATATATACATATAGTACACATTGAAATATACATATAGTACACACACATACATATATATATATATATATATAGTGTTATATGTTCAACTTAAACTCGTAAAAAGGAATACCCACAATGGGAGACAAGGGGAGACTTGGGAAGGCAGACACAGCATCCAATACAGGCACACATGTGGGGAGACGATGGGAGACAAGGGGAGACAAGGCCTCGGGAAGGCGGACGCACCATCCAACACAGGCACACATGTGGGGAGACAATGGGAGACAAGGGGAGACAAGACCTCGGGAAGGCGGACACTGCCAGAAAATAATTGGCTACAAAAAATATTAATGTCATTTAATGTCCATCATTTGGATTTGCGCAAGGAACCTCCAAAAAATATAAGAACAATTCCCTCAATCGATTCCCCAAGTAGTGGATTTTCCATTGGGAACATCAACAATATTAAACAATCATCAGTTGGGCTTGATGAACCAAAAAAAAGGTTGTACTATGTGATGTACTACGGTGGATGAAAGAAATCCCACCAACAGGATATAAAAGGATGGTTGAAACCCTAAAATAAACAATCAACTGGTGCAGGATTTCGCTGGCCCATCCACAGTACCCTCTGGTAAACTAACATAACTATGGGAAATCACCATTTTGAATGGGTAAATCCACTATAAATGGGGTATTGTCAATAGCTATGTTAGTTTACTATGGGTAAATCACCATTTTTAGTGGGTAAATCCACTATAAATGGCCATTTTCATTATGTTAAATTACCAGAGGATATGTTTTACTAACACATACTAACACCATCCATCCAAGCTTTACCCAGGTCAGTCCACCCACAAGTGACATTGGCAGCGCCCATCAGCTTGCACATGCAACCTGTCGCGGGCGCCTCCCCGAAAAATGCTTTGAGAACCAGAAGATCTACTTGCTTCAAACCATGAAAACAATATGGTTTAAATATATGTTTGAATGGCACACTGGTCCCAAGTTACCATATGTGTTCATATATGTGTTCATCTTTTTAATGGCAAAATCCACTATAAATTGCTATTTTCAATAGCTATGTTAAATTACCAGAGGGTATTTTTGGGACCATGTTGTCATTAAAACATATGGCAAAACCCATTGGTGACGACTCGGGGTCGTCCCAGAAACACCCATATTTTGATGGGACGTGACTAATGACAGCCACTCGACAGGTGGTTTGACTCATAATGAAACATGGACATCATGAAACAGGGCCTTGAGAGGTGAATGTCTCAGTGATATTTCTAATCCATCTGCATATGTACACATATCTATATGTATACATATCTATATATATTATATATAGATATACATATATGCGTGTGTACGTGTATGTGTGATCCAGCCGTTCAATTGCTGAAGGGGCACCCTCAACCGATCATCCAAATTTCCTGAAAAGGCGTCAGAACCAAGGTTTGGGATATATGAGCTACTCACATTAGTCACTAGTCAGAATTCACTTATTGCTATTCCTTTCTGCCACTTTCAATGTCCCCACTGTGTGTGGCCCTTGTTGGTTTACATTTTTTAATACAACCCTCTGATTATAGAAATTGCCATATTGTCAATCCTATATTATATTGGAGTTAAAGGCCAACAGAAAACATGATCAATCAACCAGAACTTATGTAAATCCATATATATATGGGTCCCCAGTGTGCTTAGTTGAATCCGTAACCTGGCCCATTGTCTTGATTGTTGTTATCCACTTGTATCCATTTATGCCCCCATTAGAGTATCACAAAAAATCACCATTATTCTTGGTTCATCTCCATGTTAAATTGTTGGATTTGCCCCTCCAAAAAAAAAAAATCCCTATAGTTTCCGCAAGTCATTTGGAAAATCAAACCATCATCGGCCCAGAAAATTCACCATGAAAATCATGTTGTTCCATGATTTTCCCAGCTATAAACCGTCATTTAGCCAGGGATCTCCCAGCCGAACACGGAGCTCACGACACTGGTAATACCCTATTTTTGTTGGATCAATTCCGTTTACCCTTCTTGGTAAACCAACATATTACTAGTGAAAATGGCCCATAGAAATAGTTGATTTTGCCGTTCTTCAAGTGCTGATTTGCCATCGTTCTTTCTATCTTCCCTAGAGGCGAAGTGCCCCCAATGCATGTTTTGCCAGGCCCCGGCCACGGCGGCGCACCTCACTGTCTTCAAGCGGTTGCGATTGATGGCCGGCGCTAGGGATTCACAGAGAGAGGTGACGTAGTCCTGCCGTTAAAAGGTCACTTTTTTTGGTCCCCCAAAAAGGATCAAAAAGGTGCAATGTGGGGCCCCCAAGATAGCTAAGTTGGTGCAAATAACTCCAATAATTATGGTTTATGGTACTTATAACTATAGTTAATGGGGTTTATAAACCAAGTTATAACTGGGGGGCCCCAAAAAGGTGGAAAACATGGGAAAACATACTCAGAAGCATGGGGAAGATTTACCTACAAGTGTGACTTTTGGGCTAAATATGTGGTAAATGTTGTTCTAAATATTCCGTACACGGAGCATATGGGATACAAGAATTGATGTTCGTTGTGACTGCAATCATTTTCCATTGGGAATTCAGCAACAATTTGAGCATATCATGGGGATTTTATGGGGATATACTGGAGGATTACCCTTCAGTCACCTAACATATACATACGGAAAACCGATGGTTTCCCAAGGAACATAACCAAAACTAAGACATCCCATGATTGGTTCCGGAGAACCTGTGACGGTTGATCCCTCCTTTTGGAGCAACAGCAACACATAGCCAAACCAATGCATTGAAACATGATGTTTGTACCATGCGAATCTTGCATACCTTGCTGTTTGTTTGGCTGTGGCCAAGCTCATGCATCCCCATGTGTGGCGACACATTTAGTACCCACTGAACTTTAGACTACCCATTATCCCATGTAGAGAATCTATTTAGATAGTCCGTTTTGCAAATCACATGTGTTCATGACTTTCAACCAATCTCTTCTGGCCTAAAAATCATTCAGAACATCGCCGAAACTTCTTCTACCATTTGTATCAATGGGGATGATTGAAGTGTACCTCTATATATAGGGATATATGATGATATATCGCTAATCCCCATAGGTACCATATTGAAAGATGATTTCCCCAATCAAAAAAAAACATTCCACAGTTATGGCCATGGCTATAAACGTTATAACTGGTTATAAATGGGATTATACATTCTAATCATTCTATAAATGGGTTTATAATCCCATGTCACCAGTAAAAAAATATAATTAAATCGGTTATAAGTTAACTATCATTGGGTAAACTGCCACTTAACTATGGAAAATCACCATGCTATTAATGGGAAAATCCACTATAAATCACCATTTTCAATAGCTATTTTGACATATCCAGAGGGTCACTGCGATTTTTCGGGCCATACCCTCTGGTAAATTAACATAGCTATTGAAAATCACCATTTTTAATGGGAAAATCCACTATTAATGGCCATTTTCAATAGCTACGTTAAATTACCAGGGGGTAACCCACGTCCTCCACCTGCACAGAGTTGCTCCACCACACATCCCCCAGCTGTCGCAGGCGACAGCGTTGGAAGCTCTGTGGGGCGTAGAGACTGTGGACCTGACAACACCCGTCGCGACTCGTCGACCAGCGTTTGAACAAAGGTAATAGTAGAGGTACCCTCTGGCAGGTAAACATACAAAAAGCTATTGAAAATGGTCATTTATAGTGAGTTTTCCCATGAAAAATGGTGATTTTCCATAGTTTTGTGACAGTTTACCACAGGGTATCCATAGTTAGAAGTTTCACTATGGATAGTTCATGGTAATAGCTAAGTTTAACATTTTAACTAAATTTTAACGAATCCATCGCTTAAACTTAGTTCTCCTTGTTAAGCTCAAGTATCTTAAGTACAGATCACAACAAATCAGCTTGTTAATTCCAGCTATCAGCTTCATGCTGGGATCTTTACCTACAACACGTGGAGATTTTAGGGTAAATGTTGGTACAAGTTGGTATATAAATAATCCAGCACCATGGAGTGTATGAGGTATATGATATCATATCATCTTCAAAACTTCCAATATGTTAAAATAACATGTAGTATCATGTAGTTGTTACTTGTTACAGGCCTTCTATTTTGGACCATATTTGATGTGCAGGAGAAACAAGTCAACAAACTTTATCACGGGGATTAAAAACAAAGGCCCAAATGTGACCCTCCCAGCAATAGATAGTTCAAATGTGCCTTGGATTTCTGCCTAAGAAACCCTCAAAACACGTTCCCCAAAAAGTGCCCGCCATAGATTTCCTAAGAAGTGGATTTCCCATTGAGAAAAAAAACAACTCATTTTCAGTAAATCCAAGTGATTCATATATGTCCATATTATGTCCAATACATTTGCATATATGAGGATGAGTCAAAACCTATCACTTGATATATTTTGAGGACATAAACGTCCATAGCAACCAGCTATTCAATCTGACGCCCATAGCAATGTCGTCCCATGTTAATTCACATATGCGCATGATATTTCCCATGATATGTCCATGATATTTCCGTGATATCTCCCATGTTACCCTCTGGTAAACGTTTACATAACTATAGAAAATCACCATGCTTCATGGGAAAATTCTCTATTTCTATGGTGATTTTCCATAGTTATGTGACAGTTTACCAGGTGGTATTTCCATTCATATCCCATTAAATCACTGTAAAATCCCATTAAATCACTATAAAATCCCATTAAATCACTATAAAATCCCATTAAATCACCATAAAATCCCATTAAATCACTATAAAATCCCATTAAATCACTATAAAATCCCATTAAATCACCATAAAATCCCATTAAATCACTATAAAATCCCATTAAATCACTATAAAATCCCATTAAATCACTATAAAATCCCATTAAATCACCATAAAATCCCATTAAATCACTATAAAATCCCATTAAATCACCATAAAATCCCATTAAATCACCATAAAATCCCATTAAATCACTATAAAATCCCATTAAATCACTATAAAATCCCATTAAATCACCATAAAATCCCATTAAATCACTATAAAATGCCATTAAATCACCATAAAATCCCATTAAATCACTATAAAATCCCTGTTAAACCCCTTATTAAAAAGGGTGACTGCCCCGTGACGAACTGAACTGCCTTCAACACCGTGAAAACGACGCTCTGCAGGAAGAGCACCAGGACTTCGGTGCTCTCGGTGATCTGCGGCGGCATCCTGAGGGAAAGCATAGACACCGATACGCGACATGAACATATATATATATATATATAAACGCATATATGTATAATATATAGTCTATCCATCTATCTATCTATCTATCTATCTATCTATCTATCATTTTTTTCTCAATTTCAATTTTCGTTTTTACATATGCATATCCATGACGTGGCGGACGTGCGTAGGATTCAAACATGTGTAAGATACATAGATACGAAAAGATAGGATAGGCTAAGATAAGATAAGATGAGATAAGATACAGTAGGTAATTGGATAATTTATTTATATATATAAAGTCTATATATAATGCTACATATTTATCTCTCTCTCTCTCTCTCCCTGGCATTGTCATAGTCATCTACGAGCAACAGACCAAAGCCTCTGAGGCAGTTACAGATAGTTACAGCCTGAACCCCATGGTCCATTCTCACTACCATGTCAATCATCACATGACCTCGCTGACCTTGCTACTTTGACCATTTTTTTTGCATGTGAATATTGGCATCGCCCCGGTCCTGGCGATCCCATGGCCACAGCGTCGCTGACATGAGCACTTGAGACACCACGCTGAAGCCGATCACAAAGGTTCACCATGGTTCACCAAACTGCTCCAGTTCCATGTTGAAAACTAGGTGAATTGTATGGTTTATGCATGTTTGTGCTAGATATATTGGGCTTATACACTTACAACTGGGGGGCCTCAGCTTGCAAAATACTTTGGGCATTCATGTCGGGTCAGGGATTCAGGGGGTACTTTGACTTCATCCATCTTTTCTGAGGTTGCGACCACGTGGTCGCAACTGCTTGTGGGCTCACAAGAGTTCAACCAATGCTCATAGCGTAAAATGCCACTTAGCCACATCACGTACACATGGGAATATCTCATTGCCATGTTTGATTACCCTTGGATCACTCTGCCTTTTCAATAGGGCACCTCAAATGTGTTCCTCCAAATATGTTATTTGTGGGTGAGCCACTGTTGGACTACCCAAAAGTGATGTTTATGTAGCCCTTGAGAAAAAAGGCAACACCTGGTAACCCCACAACAAACAAAAACGGGCTTGGTGCAGCTAACTACTCAAAGAACACACACATATATATATATATATATATAGTGATATAGTTTGTGCATATATCGTAACCCTGGTCAACAAATACCCCTACTTTGGGATGAGAGCCCGATGATTTGTGAAGTGTATCTGCTGACATGGCTACCACTTACGATTTGTGGGGTCCTCCAAGTACGTAATCCTATCTTTCATACTTAGCACCACCTAAAACCTCTATGATCGCCTCAATTCTCATATGATTCCCTAACTCTCACCGAAAAACTGAAAAACAGTTAGTAAAACCTATCTTCTATTGAGAAATTAGGCAATCATTGTAAAATCCCAATGAAAGGCCGATGATCTGCCTACGCTTGTAGGAGCCTCGCCAGCCACTTGCAAGGTACGCCTACGCTCGCTGGGGAGGCTTTCGAGGTATTTAGAGGTCTTTCCGCGCATCTAAAATGGTCCAACCAATATCATAGAATGTGGGCCCCAAAATGTTATGGCTATGTATTAGTTAAAACTGGTTATTTCTATGGGATTATACATTCTATAAATGTGGTTTTGTTAGTACTTCTAACGGGTATTTCGGGCCATAACTGCAACATGTTAGCGAACTTGTTTAAAACAATTATACGTTGGTATATTAAACTATCCATAAACCAACTTATGATTATCTATTGTGGAAAACCATCCACAATCTGGTTGGTGGTTTCAACCATCTTGAAAAATATGAAAGTCAGTTGGGAAGGATTATCCCATATATTATGGAAAAGTAAAATTGATGTTTGAAACCACCAACCAGATTCATATTATCATATACCAACTTATGATTATCTATTGTGGTAAACCATCCATCATTGTCAGTTCGCATTTCCGTTTGCTCTGCCATGCTCCGCCTGTTCGCAGTGCCGTCGCAAAAGAGTGCCACCGCTTCTTCCAAGTCACCTCGGAAGCTCCGCGGTGCCCCAAAATCTGTGTGAAACCATAGGAAAAAGGGTGATGTTATCAACTAAAATGCTGATTTAATAAGGGATCTTAGGGATCTTTTGCTGATTTATGCTAAGTTGCAACTAGTTTATAAGGATGTGAATTCTACAGTTTATAGTAGTTATAACATGTCCTAACTATAGCTAGACACTTAGATGAGTTGGTAAACCAAGAAACATAACTAGGGGGCACAGGGTCAAGCTGTCAAGCTGGGATCTGTAGAGGGATGGGGTTGGTAAACGGATCTAACTATAACTGTCACACCAAACTAAACACCAGTTTTCATATGGAAATGTCAACCACTAAGACTATAGTTCATAATATTTATTTCAACCAAGTTAACATGTTGGGGCTCCAGCTTGTAAGAATTACAAATCTTCCACTTTTCCGTGCAAAAAGGTCACCTGCTCGCTGAAGGTGATGACCTATGGGAAAACCCACCTGTGTATCGCCTAAACAAAAAATCACCCCCAGATCTAGACAGTTTACAAAAAAATACAATACCCAATCGAATTGTTTTTTTTGTTTTGTTCGGAAAATCTGTTAGAGGTATCCCTGAGGAATTGTTTTCTATGCTAAAACCATGGTAAAGTCCCTTTAAGATCTTTGAGCTTACCAAAGCGTAGTCTCTTTCAGTAAAAGAAAAAATCTTGTATGTTCTTGGTTGCTAGCTCGTGGTTTCAAATATTTTCCCTCAAATCGGAATCATGATAATTTACCCATTGTACAAATATTATGTTCCTCCGAAAATGGGAAAACCCCAGTTCCAATGACTGTTATGTCACCTCCCACATAAGGACTATGCGACTAGCACTTTGCGGTGCACCCCGCTCTTGAAGAAACCCAAACATCATAGTTGTTCCTTTTAAAAAACATACAATACTCCCGTAAAATAGCTGTTTTTTACGATCCCCATTTTTTGAATTCACATAAGTATTACTCGATGGTGCTGGAATCACCGAGATTTCCTAACACATATCCCAGTTTTGCAGGTAAATATACCAGCACCATGGAGCATATGAGTATATACTTAGATGGGCGATGGGATTAAGCTAATTGGTAAATCAATGAGTTATAACATGTTACAACCCACTACTAGCATATGGGCTATGCACTCAGCTATCTTAAAGCGAAACCACCACCCACCGTCGTCCGAAAGATCGGGTCGAGCCACTGTTCAACTCATCATCCAAGTAGCCTCGAATCTGAAAAAAAATGAGGCGTCCAATGTGCCTGTCTAAATCTACACAAACATAATAACACATGTGTACATATGTGTGTGTGTATATACTTGTATATATATATATATATACATACACATAAAGTCGTTTGTGTGACACGTATTTGTTTGTTTGCATTCACGAACGCCAATGCAAATGGAGAGTCATCAGTCATGATAAGGTTTTCTATGCTTTCTTCTAAGTATACAGTCTGATTCTTCGATCCGGCTCTCCCAAGTGGTTTCTAGGAAGTTCACGCACTTCCGAAACAGGTATATACACCTTATATATCTTACACAGCAGCCAACAAAAAGGACAAGATTTGACAACATGGATGGGGCACTGAACCAAAAATACCCACCTACATTTCATTGTATCCCCATTGTACTCTTTGTGTATTTAACATAGCCATGGAAAATCACCATTTTTAAATATTTTGAATAGGTAACCCATTTATAAATGGGCCATCTATACCATGGCTATGTTAAAATAACCAGAGGGTATCGTTAACATTCTCTAAGATTCTCTATGTTGAAGGCCCGTTGAACCTCCCGCGCCTAGTCTCCTGAGAACTTCTTCACAAAGCTCCTCAGAATCCTCCAGCAGAAAGGGTCCACCTGGCATCGGAAAAAACAAGCCCTGGTTCCTCCAAAGCCATGGTGAAAATAGATGAAAATAGCACCCAAATATGTGATGCCCCTCTAAATGTTGGTCGTTTTAACTGGAAAGAATGGGAGTTTCAGCAACAAAAATGGCGAATTTGGTGGAGAGAAGTAAGCCAACTGTTGGCTTTAAACATCTTTAAACCAACATTGTGGGTAACACTATTTATGACTGACGGTGGATCCAACTTCCTTTATCAATAAACTTAGAAGTTTCATGGGTGGATCCAAGTCGGATAGAATCATCATCATCACCACCTCCTTTTTCAACAGCTCAAAAAAGTTTCGATGCACAACAAAACAAACACAAGTTCAAAACAAAAAAGTTCCGCGTGTCAAAGAAGCGCATTTTCGGTCATGTGGTCCGATCCTACCATTCAAACTGCTGTTCAAACACTGACCCAGTGTTTGCATCAGCTTCGGATGGTTTTCCAGGATGTGAGAGTTGATCACTTCACCGCTATAAACATTACATCCCCTGAATAAGGAAGAACAATTGAAGAACAACACCAAAATCTCGTAAAAATATTGTTGAAAGGATCTCATGAAATAAATGTATAAACTAATATTTCCTATATATATATATAGATTATGTTGGAGTGCCCATTGGTAAGATAAACAACCACGCACGAAACAAACCCAGGTAGTCAAATTGAAATAGCTTTGGCCTTTGGCATATCACCATTTTTGATAGGTAAATCATCTATAAATCACCCAATTTCCAAGAGCAAACTGTTAGTTCCAGAGGGTAAGGGTAAGCCATTATATTCCCATTGGTTGCCATTATTCTATATACCAACTATAATTATAATATACTATATATATATATATTATATCCCATTCTTGTTGGATAAATCATCAACAATTCAATGGTTATTCAACAGTTATGGCCATGGCTATTTGTTCTAACTGGTTATTTCTACGGGATAAAAACACATTCTATAATTGGTGTTATAAGATGTTATAAGTACATATACCCTCTGGTAAACTAACATAGCTATGGAAAATCACCATTTTTAATGGGAAAATCCACTATAAATGGCAATTTTCAATAGCTATGTTACTTTACCAAAGGGTACATATAACTGGTATTTTGGGCCATAACTGAATGGTTTGGGCCATATTTTCCCGTCGCCTCCCAGGAAGATGGAACGACAATCCGCGGTGCCGTACTTGGCAATCACCTCCTACGAGGGACGCGTGAAAAAAGATGTGGAAAGCCGTGGTTTTTCATGATCTACACATGGTGGGAGAAGCCACATCTAGTGAAATAATTAATGTTAAATATACCATCCCACAGATTTGAACCACCAGAAATTTGGGATGTTCACCAGTAATGAGGTCTGAAAACATATGAAAAAATCCAACCAAAATGGAGATTTCACCACCAACTACATGACTAGGCGAATCACCAAGGGTTGTTTTTTCGACTTGAATCAGCCTTGCATCCCCATGTCTTGTTCGTTACCCTCTGGTAAACAAACAGAAATATGGCAAATGGCCATTGAAATAGTTGATTTTCCCATTAAACATGGTGATTTTCCATAGTTTTTTTGTATTTTTACCAGAGGGTAAATCATGTTAGATCCTGAGTTTGCTGGAGAAGTTGGATTTGTCCATAGGTTTTTCATGTTTAAGCCATCCAATGTCCAAGGTTGACAACTCTGTGACTCTTTTCCGAGGGCAGGGGAAAAAAATGTCAAGGATCTCACTTTTTGGAAGAGTTGACGTTCGGGTCAATCCCATTTCTGCCTCAAACCCAGCTATGTTCAGCGTTTGGCTCAAAGATTGTCCCGGAAATCGCTGAAGTTTCTGCGGCTTGCTACTCACTGACCTTTTCGAGATGAACCATGCACTCAAAAGCACCCAAACGAATCATATTGTCAGGCACATAGCACATAGCAAATTTACATGAACATTACTGGTTGGTGGTGCAATAACCATCTTGAAAAATATGAACGTCAATGGGAAGGATGACATCCCATATATGAAATGGAAAAATAAAATTGATGTGTGAAACCACCAACCAGATTAAATCCCATGAATCCATATGATTCCCATATCCTCCATTGACCCATTGACCCATTGATACTTGATATATGAAAGCACCCCATAAAAGTGGCCCCATGAATGTAGATCATGTTCCGAAGGTGTTTCCCTTTGTTGGTCTTCCACTGTCACATATATCTAAGTTTACCAAAGAGTTTCGGATAACACATCGACCGTTTCTGCTGGTTAACTCGTCATTTTGGTTAAAAAATCCCACGAACATCACCTCTGGAGCTGTTGGTGGTGCCCCTTTTCTTCCCGTTCTCGTCCGTCGGTTTTTTGCGCCCTCCTTGGTCGCTCGGCCCTTGCTGCCCACGGGCATCACAAATGCCATTTGACTGGAGTCGAAGGTCCAGCTATCCATGGAACGACCTGTGCAGTTATGAGTGGTGACGGGTGGAGGTGACGGTTGGTGAAGCCCATAGTTAGCTAAGATATGCTAAGATGATCTTTACCCTCTGGTAATTTAACATAGCTATTGAAAATGACAATTTTTAATGGGTAATTCCACTATAAATGGCAATTTTCAATAGCTATGTCAGTTTACCAGAGGGTAAATTTCCTGTTTCCAGGTTTTGACATGCTCCATTCACTTGATGGGTTTGTTTGAATGGACCCCTCTTGCACAAAAAACATGGATTTGCATGGAATTTCCATCTGCGCTTCTGAATGCAGCTTCTGCATGGAACGACCATCAGTCGTTTGCGACCTGCGGGGTGTTGTGTTATGACCATTTATGACTTATGAGCATGTTCAATCTTTGAAAGTTCACCAAGGTTTACAAAGTCAATCTTATTTCTTGCTGGCTTCAATACATCCCAAACATCCCATGTTTGCTGAGTTTATGTCTAGTAATTTCTGGGCTCATGTTCAAACACAAACCTATAAGATTTATATAAATTTATTACGATTTATCTGCAATGCCGCACAGGTATACCCTGCAAGACTTCGAAGATTGTCCCAATTCCGGCCATTCAAACTCCCATGTCCCCATAGTACCACCATTTTCCATCTATTGTCCATCTCCCATCATATCAGCACTTCCCACCAGATCCCCCCCGTTTTCGTTGCCCAGCGGCCAGCGAAAGCGTCACAGAGCGCGTGCAACGGATACTGCGCGGGCCACACCGTCAGCGGTTGACTTGCGAAGTTCCGTGCCCAACACCTGGTGTTCCGAACGACGCTGGGTGAACATTAAACCTAGCTAGCCATGGTCCCGAAAAATTGATGATTAATTATTAATATGGCATCCCCAATAATAAACAAGCCATGTAATCATCTGTTAGGGTCTCCTGTTAAAATGATCTCAAATAGAGGTATACCTAACAATAAACCTTAATTAATTGGGGATAGTTTATTCTTGGGTTTACATCATTTTAAAGAAAACAACTGTGATGATAAATTGATTCGAATAACTGGGGTGTACATGGATATATCTGGGGTTCATGCGGGTTGCAAACCCACAAACCGAACTGGGGGCACCGCAGAAAAATAAGTTGGTCCTCAAACCCCATTTAACCCAGAAAATCCGAATGACTCATTTTACCCCTTTGTCAATGGTAAATGATCACTACGATGATGGAAAAATGAGTCATTGGACATTCAGCGATACTGATCAATCCCATAAACCCAACATTAATCCTAATTATTACTATTTCATATATTTTTGGGTTATATACAATCAAGTTAAATAACTTCAAAATTAATCTTATAGATATATACAGTAGTTCTTTCCACCTTAAGTTGGCCATTTAGCTCACCCTTGGGCCCCACGTTGTAACGATTGTTCGTTGTGTCCGCCTGGCGATGGCTGGTGCAATGGCATCGCGGGAGGAGGTCATAAAGCCCAAGTCCAAGAGATGCTGAACCAAGGCCTCTGACGGCGAGCGAAGCGGACAATTTCTTGGTGGAACCCTGGGGAAAATTGGAGTGATTTTCTTGGAAATGCTGGGGCCATGGTGATTAATCTGTGGATGGGCCTAGGGCCTAGAATAGTCACGAAAAATTAGTATGTACATATGTGAGTAATTTGCGTATCTTACTTCAAGGAATTACATGGACTATATATATTAAATCATCTGCCCAACACACATTCTGCGTCCGAAGCACCGTGATATCAGCCAAAGGCCCTTGCTCCTCATCCTGCCGACAGGAGGTAGTCATTCCAAAAAAATATGGTCAGCGAACGTGCAGCGGCCAGTTGGTACACTGCGCTTCACCGAGGTATTTGCCAAGGCAGCAAAGGCAAAACAAATCTATACTGCGCGCACTTTGTTTTAGACTCAAATAATAGCAAATCACGAGAGTAAATACATCTAGATAGATTAAATCATACATGAATGAATCCATAACAAACATAAATACTCATAAATTAAACAACATATATAGTAGGTCTATAATTATACTGGTGTGGATAGATACATATAATTACACACATCAATAAACAATAGGCACCCTGATCCCTATCCTGCCTTGGGAATGTGCTCCACCCTTCCAGCGGCTCCATATTGTAAGACAGCTCGCATCAAAGGCGTGCGGAAGCCGAACCATTTCACCTAGATCGAACGGTGGATGATAAGCCGACCTTGATGAGTTTATTTGTTTCTTGGATTATACTTGATTATACCATAGTTAAGCCACATTTTTCTTGGTCAAATCAAATCTCCACTTAGCTGTTGGTGAAACCCCATAAGTCATCAACATTTTCCATGAAATCATGAAACAATCATAAACAATCCCTATTATATCACCATTGACATCCCTATTAAACACCATGAACCACCATTCACCACCATTAACCCCAACTAAACATCACAAACGCCATCCGGATTTTCATGGTCAACCCATCCGTGCCGCGTCGCCTCGACCCAAAAGACCCGGGCGCCGTAGCGCTGGAAGTCCTTCGACAACGCCACGGATTCCGGGCAGCGGAAGGCGGGACCTTCCTGTGGCCGAGGTGCCCCCAATCTTAGGGAGTTTTGTTGGGGAAAATAGTGAGGAAAATGGTAAGAATAGGGATGTTTTCTTGGATTTTAGGGTGTTTTTTTTGGAGATGTTCTTGGATTTTATGGTGATATTCTTTTTAAAGGTGATTTTCTGGTGATTGATTGAACCAACAAGAATAGGGATATTGATGAGAACTGCCCTCTGGCCATCAAACGTGGCTAGCTGGGAAATCCCCTTTACATGGAGGTGTTTAGCCATTCGATCTTAACTTCAAAAGCGGGTGTGTATAAATATATCTATATATATATACATATATAATATTAATATGTATTTACTTATTTATTTATCTATGTATTTATTTCTTTGTATAGCAAGTTGTTTGTTTTCTGCATTGCAAACATGGTCTTAAAATCAGCTGCATTATGCCAGAAGGTGAATTTTACAGACCATTCTGGACTGGAATTCCTCCGGTTTTCTGGAATCAAATCCGTCAAATCCTCCAACGCATGGGTACATACCCTCTGGTAAACTAACATAGCTATTGAAAATTGCCATTTATAGTTGATTTACCCATTAAAAATGGTGATTTTCCATAGTTATGTTAGTTTACCAGAGGGTAGGTTTGGTTTATGGATTCCCGCATTACAAGACTTCTTTCCAAGACAGTGGTCCACGATAGAAAATACCGAGAATTTTCACTTTGGTTGGCGAGACCCCGATTTAGCTGTTGGTTAAATCCCATAGACCATGGTTTGATCAGACATGAATCTACCCCATCATTCTGCAGGTGTCACATGTTTTTTCCAATTCCATCCAGTTCCACTCAACAAAATCTGCCAAGATTCCAGCAGCACCATCAACAGATCTTCGGCACCTTCCTGTCGCAAAAACTTCACCTGTCCAGAGACGGGTGTGCCCGGTGCCCTCCGTAGTGCCGTGCGTTGCTGGCGCGAAGCACGCATCAAAATGACAAGGTGGTGCCCCAGTGAAATGTTGGTTTATAACCCCCATGAATACTATAGATATGTGTATCATAAACCCAGTTATAACAAACCATAACTAGTTTATACACCATCTATAGTACTACAAACCACTTATAGTATCATAAACCACCATAACTAACTATAGTTTATAAACCAACTTAGCTCACTAGATCTAACTCGGGGGCACCACCTTCCACTGCCAACATTGGGTGTAGGTTCCGTCCATCCCTTGAAGCTGCACATGTGCCAATAAGTTATTTAAGTAACGTGTCATTGCGCCTGTCTAGTCTACATCGTTTATACATACATATATATATATATTATCTAAACTAAAATATAATATATAAACATCATTCATATACATATTAATACATTTACATCATTAATATATAAACTATGTTCCTATCCTCTGATGATAGGCAAAGATAAACATAATGGGACAATCCCAGAAAATCCCTCTTTAAACAACTGATCAAGCATCACTTATCAGAAAACTGGCTGAAACTGGTTAAACTGGCTAAAACTTCTTAAAACTGTTCACTGGTTACACATGGTTAAAACTGCTACAAACTGGAACAAGCTGGCTAAGACTGATTAAAACTATTCAAAATCTTAGTGTAAACTAGTCAATTTTAACTGCTTCAACATGGTTAGTAACTGGTTGATTTTCTTTCTTGGATGGTTACCATCTGGTTATTCAACAGTTCGCCATGGAAAATCACCATGTTTAAGTTCGGTAAACCATCTATTTCTATGGGCCATCTATACCATGGCTATGTTAAATAACCAAAGGGTATTCACCAACAACGTGACGCAACATCCCGTCCCACCAGCGCTACAAAGTCCACGTCCATGTTGACGTCGCTGCCGCTCCAGGGGCGGCCCTCGCGTTCCGAGGGCAGCAGGGCCACCTGCAAACCCTCCTGGAAGAACTGCACCTGCTGAAAGTTGCAGAAAAATGGCCATGAAATATATATATATAAGGGTATAGGTCAAAACCCTATACCCCTGGTGGACATCAGAATAGCTTGTAAATGGGTGTTCATTGCCCTAAAAAAGGTATCTATAGGTATTGATCCGTAGCCATGTATATATATATATATCCGATGAAATACCCCACAATTTTCCATAAATATTCCATTATGATGCATTTATTGCCATTTTTTGGTTATAACTGGTGATTTCTAGATTATACATTATACATTCTATAAATGGAGGTTGTGTTAATACTTGTAACTGGTATATAAAGGGCCAAAGGGGATCTCTGGCTCTGAAAATGGGCTATACCTGGTTTTTCTACCTTCTAAATGTAGGGAATCAGCTTGTTTTTTTTTTGAATCTATGAACATGTTTTTTCCCTGTATACTACATTGTGAGGACCCCAAGATAGCTAAGTTGGTTTATAACTCCAATAATTATGGTTTATGGTACTTATAACTATAGTTACTGGGGCTTTTGTTAACCAACAAACATCACTGGGGGGGCCTCACATTGTACCATCACTGGGCCTCACATGGCCATACGGAATATGATCATCATTCAATGGATGGGATCATCTCGAGTCGGATGGGGAAATTTCGCATCGACATCGCTCTTCAGCCATTGTTTTTTTATCGTAGCAAGGGGAAAATCAGCAGTTTTTTGCACATCAATAGGTTCATATTCATCACAAATCACTACAAGTAACAATGATAACACATACCCCACAGTAAATTTACATAGATATAGGAAAAGAACACAAGTTGTACATCATGCTTGGGACGGGAAATTGTGTGTTTCCAGGTCTATCATCCGCAGTATATATATAATTATATATATATGTATATATTCCATAATATGAGTGCCGGACCAAATTACTTACTACTCGCAATGGACATGGCCAAAGTGGGTGGTCCCCTACTAGTATCGGTTGTGAAGGTTTGTACCTCCATGCTCATTATGTGTAAAAATAGGGCATCGGTAGGTGGGTGGTCCCCTATCGGTTGTGAAGGATTTCACACAAATTTGAACATGGCAAGTCCACTCCCTACTACTTTAGTCTTCCGCTAATCTTGTCGGTTACTCATATATTCCGACTTCCCATTATATCACCAAATTGCTGGTTATACGATAATTCACCAAACAATATTAAAGGTTGTTGGTTTACTGGGTTTACTGTATCTCCTCAGGATATCACCACTTAGCCAGGCTATATCATGCTATATCATGCTATTTCCTCAATTTCTTGTTGGATATATCCTCAATGTGTGAGAGTTCAACCCCATGTTACCACGCTACCACAGGAACTTTGGTGCCCGCAGGTTATGCTGGGAGAGAAACCACCATTCAATCACACATCTCTGTATTACTATACCTTCAATAAATCCTCATGCAAATCAGATCAAATCAGATCAAATACATTCTTCACACCAATTCACATAGCAATTGAAAATGGCCATTTATAGTGGATTTTCCCATTAATAGCATGGTGATTTTCCATTGCTATGTTAGTTCACCAGAGGGTACTTTCTATCGCTTAAATCGCCAGTTCTGTTGGTTCCTTCCCCCATTTTTCCCATCGTCGCGGCGCTGCTGCTTTCCCCATGGCGGTTCGCTGGACCGAGCGGACCGAGCTCTGCCACACTGGGGAAGCGATCTCAGGACCGTGGCAAGGCAGGGGCACCTAGGATTGCACAGTTAGGGGGTACAGTTCTGGCCCTTTATAGTTAGAAGTACTGAAATCACCCCATTGATAGAACGCTTTTTTAACCCCACGGAAATAACCAAGTTATCAGTTCTGGCCATTTATTAGTTTTAAGTTATAACTAATAAATGACCATAACTGTAGGTGAAGAGGATGGGGGTTGGGTGAGGCAAAGTGTCCCGATAATGTCTGGAAAGATTAAGTCTTGGAGTCCTTGAAGTTGGAGTTTAAGTGTTGGTGAAAGAGTAGTGCTGAAAAGCGAGGGAAACAAATGCTTCGTTCTTGGTCGTTTCAGGCATCCTTATATATAGAGATAAAGCACATGTTTTTTCAAGAACAACTGGTTGGAATGCATGTAGCTATTCATAGAATGTGATGCACAGATTTGAAAACTGCAACACCCCATCATGTTCATGCTGTTGGTCCTACAACAGTGTGGACATGGTGCCAAACATTGTAAACATTGTGGTCAAAATGTGATATGTCTGGGCTTCAATGGGCTTTATTTAATTGGGGTTCTCGAGACCACACGGCCGTCTGTGGCATGGGCACCTAGCTATTTATCTACAAGTATATAATTATGTATGTTGTGTTTGTGGTTTACCTGCCCCTCCCCTTTTCCAAGCCTTAGAACATGTTGTCTTGTAATTATTAATGTTCTATCTCTTTGTGAAGATTTATGAAGTATGTTGGTGGCTTACCCCGCACGTGCCCACAAAACAACCAAAGGGGCGCCGCTTCGGCCCCAGTCTCGCGGAAGAATTTTTGCCAGTCACTGCGCTTCAACCTGAGCTGAATGGTTGAGAAACGCGGCTCAAATTCAATGGGTTGTTTTTCTTTCAGGAACATCGACACTGGAAACCATTGCGTTGTTCCCCAACAACTATGGAGCTGTTTCCGGTTTCGATGTTCCTTAAACATCCTTAAACCAATCCAATCAACAGAAAGCATGGTCATCAATGGTCATCTCCAGGTGCCATGACCCCCACTGGATGGAAACCTCCTTCCCGACCGCGGCAAACTCTTTGTGGATCTTGGAGCTAAGTCATGCCAAATCACTGATCTTCAGCTGCAAAGACGCCACTGTAAACCTTTGCCCGGCGGTCGAACTCTTGCTCTCCCGGCTGGAAAACGGCCGGTGATTGTGCTCGAACAGTTTCCACATTTTCCCACGCACTGCACATGCATAGTAATACATAATTATATAAATTATATATATATATATATATCATTATATATCATTATATATCATATATTATACAATGGCAATCCTCTATAAATGGGCCATAGCTTCCATGGTTGCTACATTGCCAAAGGGCAACCCACAAAATATCCCATTCATATCCCAACTATATACCCGTATCATAGTCGCTATTTTTTGTGCTTAAATCTTCCCATTGTCCCTATCTTAAGTCCTACTATTGCTCATAGTCACATCCCATGACCATTACCCTCCAGTAAGTTAACATAGACCCTGGCAAATACAGTTAGGGGTTGGAAGATTACTTTCCACTGAAAATTGGTTATTTTCAGGGTCTACCAAAAAACTATGGAAAATCACCGTTTATAACAGGTAAATCATCTATAAATGGTCCATTTTCAATAGCTACGTTAAATTACCAGAGGGTAATCCTTTCCAATCCATGCATCCCAAATCAGCATCCCAAGGCACCAGCTGTTGGTGATGCGAGACCGCCTTCCAAGCAGCCCGGAACCTGTCGCCCCATGGGGGTTTCACCATGGGGGTTTCACCGTGGCAAAACGCTGATCTTGGCTGGGTAATGCTGGGTACAACCATAGTAACTTGCAACCCATAGACGGGGCCACTTAGGAGACTCAAGATGACTCAAGACCCAGCAAACATAAAAACGTGATCCTCCAAGTGGTTGGTTTCAAGTGGATTTACATCCCCATAGTACCTCCATGATATGCCCATTTACCCAAATGTTCCACCAATGTTTGCCGGCCATAACCATTGCCAGAAATACTGATTAGAACTGGACCCATTACATATATAGAGGTTTCCTAAAATGGAAGCACACCCAAATCATCCATGAAAATGCTGTTTTTTTTCTCACTCACCAGAGTTTCGCAACACGCCAAGCAGCTCCCTGGCCCCTTGCCCATCTCCATCCATCAGCAAGGCCGTAGGCCGGCGGTACGCGCGGCGTCGAATGGTGCTCCGGACGCCCAGGAGGAACCTGCCGGGTGCTGGAAAATCCAGTCAAACATTGGGGAAAAAACATGCCAAATATGTCCCCTCTGGTAATTTAACATAGCTATTGAAAATGGCCAGTTATAGTGGATTTTCCCATTAAAAATGGTGATTTTCCATAGTTATGTTAGTTTACCAGAGGGTACACAAATGCATATAAAATGCATGACATGATACTTGACATGTACTGGACCGATGCAGGGAATTAAGTAAATGAAATTTGAGGAAGACATGAAGGGTGTAAGTAAAAGTCCAGGAAAACTGAATGCCGGAACTCAGCCGAAACAAAAAAAAACGCCCCAAATGATCACTTGATCCATACAAACATCACCACACACTAATGTTCCATGAATTCATCATAATTCACATGTTTTACTATGGTTTTACTATGGTTTACCATGGTTTTACTATGGTTTTACTATGCTGAATGATGCTTTACTATGGTTTACCATGGTTTTACAGCACCAAACATCACCACACTAAGTTCCCCCTCCGGCCATCCAGCATGGTGATCGAAGATAGTACATGATAGTACCCTAGTAGGGATGAATAACTATTGATATTGATTAATAGTAGTATTGATAACTAGTGGATATCCCGGATATCCCCCAAAAAATGACTATTGGTAGCTATAAAAACCAATCAACCAAGATATGTTTAATTCCATAGCTCAACTGACTTGTCTTCCAAGGCACAGCATGGCACTTCCCTTGGCCACTGCCATCCCCCGTGGGCGCCGCAAGGAACACTGCGCCACTTCCGAAATTGGCGCAGCAGCGGTGCAAACGGCAGGCGCTGCCGGGAGAGAAACCATGGGAGAAGCCATGTGGACTCATGGAGAGTAGCTCAAGATGTTCAAGGGAATCTGAAGTTTACCCATATGCTCCACGTTTTTTCTCTGTGCGTTTATACTTACATGGAAAACTAAAGCATGTATTCCACACATGGGTCTCTATGGTTTTAAGCAACCAAATTGAACGAGGAATCTCGAGGCTCGCGATTCCATTCATCATGTGGTAACTTACAGGATTGCTCAATGGGAATTCCAGGATCCTAAATTGGAGATACCTACCATATATAAGGCCTATGTAAGGGCTATGTAAGGAAATATCCACACAAAATATTGCCAAAAAAATGGTACTAACGTCTCTCCATTTTAGGATCCTGAAATTCCCATTGAATTGTTGAAATAACCACATGATGAATGGAACCGTGCGTAACTCACAAGGCTGATATGTCCTCACCGCCACCGGAACGGTTTATTGACTTATTTTGTGCGTTCTTCTGTTCTTGAAACCTAAATATGCAATAATATGCATGGAAGAGTGGTGAGACGGATTCTTCGTGCAAATTCTCTGCGGAGAGTGGCATTGCGTCGCTTTAAGGTAGCTGCTTCCATACGATCGGCATCAGTGGGTGCCCAAAAACACACATCGCCACTTGAGCTAAACTCGCTGCGCGAATCGCAATTTGATGTAGGTCAAAATGCCCATACCATGGTAGTTGACCCCCAAAACCTTGACAGAGTATAGAAAGTTGTTTTGGTTTTTAGAGGTAAAGGCTGCAAAGGCTTGTCTCCGACGCTTGCGACAGGATTGACTCCCCTTTTCACCTTAGGTTTCAATTTCTTAACAAAACAACTGAGCGATGCTGAACATGCCTACTATTATGGTTTTTGCTGACAACGAAGGGCGACCATGATGCCAAGCGGAAACACTTAACATCAACAAACCACAAGGAGATGTAGGCGGATGTAGGTTTTGAGGGTGCTGCTCCAGAGCCAGGTAAACTGCACAGCACACACACACACACACGGCCAGGTAAGCTGGTGATCCGAACATTCAGTGGGTTCTCGATGTAGCTGAATCTTCAAGACCAAAGATAATGGGTGGTGCAAGTAATTATATGTAATTACCCCAACCTACCCCCCCTGCACTCCCAAAATGAATCTACCAAATCAGGGTTTCGTTGTGTTTTGTTTACGGAAAAACATGAGCAGGGGGAACTATTTTTTGCTGCTCTGGAATCATGGAACCATCACTGCAAGGTGCTGCTCCAGTGAAGTTGGTATAATATGACTTGGATTAATCGAAAAAGAAATCGAGCTAGTTAAAAGTTATATAAAGTTATTATATGATATTACATGTTTTTTTTGGAACGTTAACATTTATGTAGCAAGAAACAAACAAAACTTGTGGACCCCACATTGTGCCAGCTTGAGACATCTCACACCCGCGCCAGTCCCACCCCGATTCGAAACTGGGGCTTACCGACTGGGCCTACCATGGGCTCGAGGACCTGCAGCTATTGTGATTTCTGGTCAATTGATGCATTTGGGGGTCTTAAAAAAGATGGGGCTACAAAATGCCAATTTCATCCAAATTCCAATCGTTTTTTTTATTTTTGGGTGCCCAAACTTCAAGAAAACCAGGTGGTACAGCCTCCGGAAGCTATGCTTGTTTGGGACCCAACAGATGGGAGTCAAAGCCGCACGTTCATAAACCACTAGCAACCCTGGCCAGTACCACTATCAACCATCAATAACCATCACCAACCGTTACTAACCATTCTTAACCATTAACCACTAGTTATGTTCTTAATCGGCAATTAAATTATTAACCATTATTATGCTAACCCTTACGAACAATTTGTAATTCATACTCTTAGAATGACCATCATTGATCCAACTATTATAACAACAATAACTATGATAACTATAACTAAAACCATCACTAACCACGATTCAAATATCATGAAAACCATGATTAACATTCATTAAGCCTTACTAACCATTATTAATCATCATTACAATGTGGGCCCCCCAGTTATGTTTGTTGGTTTATAAACCTCATGATATAACTATAGTTATTTGCGTGCCATAAACCATAGTGAAATTGGAGTTAAACGCACCAACTGAACGCTATCCAACGGGGGCCCCACATTGTAACCATTGTCCCATCAGCCATCAGCCACCATTAACCTTAATAATCACCATTAACCTTGTTAATCATCATTAATCAGTTAATTAACCATTTGATAACCATCATCATTAACCATTCCCGTCAGCCATCACCCCGCCACATCAGCCACATCAACCACCCGCCTGCGGTTTCAACTGGATGGCTGCCCTGGCGAAATCTCGAAATCTCACCAGCAACAAATAAATGATCCATCTAAGCTACCATGAAATCTACCAAAACAAAAACAAGGCGAGACTTCAAATGATATAAACAAACAAGCAAAAGAACTGGGATTTCACCTACCCTCTGGTAAATTAACATAACTAATTATGGAAAATCACCATGTTTAATGGGAGAATTCACTATAAATGACTATGTTCAATAGCTTTTTGTTTGTTTACCAGAGGGTTTTTTCAGTAAAACCGTCAAGAACTGAGCTCCACTGGCGAGAGATCCCCCTGGCTTTAGTATAGCCATGGAAAATCAGAATTTTGAATAAGCAAATCATCCAACTGAACTTCAAGGATCATTGATCATCCCCAGCTCATGGAAAATCATGGAAAATCGCTTGCCGACCTTGAGATGGTTAACTCCATTTTTTTTTACAAAGGAACCTACATAAGTACCAGTAAAAAAACTGCACGGTGGCTCATCCGGTAGGTAGGTTACATGTCCAACTTCAAGCATCATCCCTGAAAAACATAATTGGTCTTTGATGGAATGTTAATGTTGATATATTAAATACCGTACCTCCTTAAGTGGAAAGAAACCTTGTGGGGATGATTCCCGAAAAATGGACAGCCATTTATGGTGAGATCGACCTGATGATCGTGGTCATGGCATCTCATCGTAAACTACTGTTTATTAGCATTCTTCGTTTATGCCGCCATATTTCTTGGTTTATACCACCCCAATGATTATTGGGCTTTGACCATTCCATGCCAAGCTGGATTGTTGCTCCCCTGCTAACAGTTGAAATCTTTTGGTGGGATAAGTGCAGTCTATCCATCCAACCATCAAAAAACAAGCAATCTAAGTGTACAGCCGTGTAGTCAATCTATGTCAATCTATATAGTAAATGGCCAATTTCCTGGATTTTCAGGGGCTTCCATTTCAATATCTAATGTTAGTTTGCTGCATTCTAATCCCGCCAGCGATTTGTCCATTTCTTTCCCCAAGCCACGCCTGGCAAGCACACTGACACGAACTTCCTCCAAAGCCTAACGGCAATGAGGAAGTGGGGTTTTATAACAGGAGCTTGTTGGAAAATAAAGCAGTTGCTTGTTGGATCGTGTCGAAAAAGTGTGTTTTTCACCAGTTAATATATGTTAATGATTATTGATTGGGACTAATATTGATTATGATTAATATATGTTAATGTTATGTTAATGATTCACCAGTTAATATATGTTAATAACTATAGGACTAGGATTATTGACCAGCTACTGATTGGGACCCATCGACCCATCACCGGGCTCCACACCGACCACAAGAGATGCAAGTTCTGCAGATGGTCAAAGCCTCAGCTCGAAGTTCCATATGGGTGTCAAGTGATAAAGTACCCCAATTTTTATCCCAATACTAAGATTGTTTATGGATATAGGTCATTTTCCCCCAAAAAAATCATTGACATAATTGATGGTTTATGTTGAAGATATACTAAAGATTTTTCCGTGGTCCCCATAAGATTTAACCAAATCATATATCACCACAGTATTGACCCATATCACCACCAATATGACCTTACTGGGGACCCATCCATCATTATAAGATAGGATATAGAAGATTTCAAACCCATCAATCATCATCTATCAAATTGACCTATAATCATGAATCAATCATATATGATGATATGGGGACCACAGGTTTGATGATATATTGATGGTTCTAAACCTTTTTAAACAAATTGACCCATCAAAATCATCAAAATAATCACCAAACTTGCACAAATTGAGCCGCCGAAGGCTTCGGAATGTCGCAGGGCCAGCTCCAAGCGCCTGAGAACCTGCGCGGGGACGCCTTTGGGGACGCCTTTGGGGATGCCTTTTGGGCCGCCGGATTCGCCATAACTTGGCATGCAGGTGGGAAAATGTGAAGAAAATGATGGAACAAATGGGGATTTCAAATGATTTTAGCATCATTCATTGGGATTTTACGGGGAGTTCATGGCACAATTCTGCGATCTAAGGGGGTAAAATGGTGATTCGATGGTTTCGCCGGATCATTGAAAATGTATAACGAGCATGGGATTCAGTAGGTTTTTATGTGGATTTAATTTGAACTTATATAATTGGAGCTAAACACAAGAAACATGCATGTTGAGGACATAAAATTAGATATAGACATTATAAAACCCCAAAAAAAAAGTTTACTGAACTCACTGAAAAACAAGCAAAACAACGGTCGATTGGTTATGTCTCAGTGTGGGCCAATTCATAACAAATCATGATCTACACAAGGGTAGTGAAGAGAAGTTCGAAGTTCACCAAGATGACAATTATGCACATTCCAAGAAGTTGAAAGAAAGTCTGCAATTTTTAGGTATTTTAGGGCAAAGGTTCAGATGATTTTCCGGTGAACATTCATACACTGGCTATTCTTGTTTGTTACAGAAATAGTAGGTGATAATATGGCCACAACACCGACGAATGGATCCCATATGCTGCAATGCTCCAGTATCGAATATCTAGCAACATTTACACCCCAAATATCTCAAATGTAGGCTTTAAAAAATACAACACACACATATATATATATATATACATATACTATACATATATACACTAAATATGAAGCATATGGAGATGAATAGTAGGCTCAAAACACGATCAAACGAAAAGACCGCACCAAAGCTCTGCCGCTGGTTTTGTTCAGAGGTGCATGCCGGCCGTTGCGGCAACACAAAGTCAGAAAGTCTCAGGAAGCACACGGCTAAACCAAAAACACCAAACTCCAAGCTGAAATAAGACCACTTTTAGATAGTTGCCCTTAGTTACTAACTAAAAACTTCTAGTGATTTCGTGGGGACGTTGTTATCATTGACCCACATGATCGCAAATAGTTCCGCGATGTTCAAGGGTGTTCTACGATGTTCTACGCATTGCCAGCAGGACCCCAGTGGCCGTCGTTTCAAACACTGGACTCAGAAGGCTCCTGGCAGTAGCGGTCTCCCATGGTCTCCCGTTCCATGGCTCATCCGGATTGAAAATCGTCATTTGTAACAGGTAAATCCGGTACATCATAGATAAATCAACTGTAAATGGTACATCATCTATAAATCAACTGCAAATGTGCAATTTTCTCTAGCCATGGCAAATAGCCAGAGGGTAGCAGTTTGAGAAAAATAACATGTGTTCACTACAATAGACATATACAGTCTGCTAGTAAAGTCAGAGTCTGTAAACAAACATCACTAGACCTACTAGAACAATAATGAAATCATGGGCAGCGTGGTTGGCTCTTGAATGTCAAGAACTTTAATTAAACAAGAAAGACGTCTCTTTTTTTATATTACTTAGACCCTATTTGGGGAAAACATAGTAATTCTGTCAAACTACCAACTATTCTGGTTGGTGGTGCAATAACCATCTTGAAAAATATTGGAGTTCGTCAATGGGGTTGGGATGACATCCCATCAATGGAAACTAATCCATTCATGTTTGAAACCACAAACCAGAAGTCATTACCCTCTGGCTATTTAACAGTTTGCCATGGAAAATCACCATGTTTAATAGGTAAACCTCTATACATGGCCCATTTCCCATGGCTATGTTAAATAGCCAGAGGGTAGTACCGTTATCTCCAAGCTGTGTTTCAGCTCAAGCTGCCGTAGACGGCGTCGGCGGGATGGGGACGATCCACTCGTGTTGTGCCATGAATCTGATTGCTGTGCTTCATATTAACTGTTAATAATGGTTAATATTAATCGTTATTATATATGGTTAATGATGGTTAAAAATAATCTGGTTGGTGGTTGAGCCTACCCCTCCGAAAAATGATGGACTTGAATGGAAAGTCATAAAATTGATGTTCCAAACCACCAACCAGAAAACAACTCTACCGCCCACCACCAACCAATGGGAAACATCCCCGGCCTTGTCAAGAACCAAGATTTCCATGTCAACTTTGGACATTTCCTTCAGTTCTTTCAACCTAGCTTTGTTGCACAATGTTCATCATCTTTTTCAGGTGCTGATTCTAGTATGAATTTGGGAATAAGCCATTCTAGAATGAACATTTGGGAATAATTCCAGTATACTCGTATTTCATGAGTGTAAATCGGATGATCAGAATGAACCGTTGGAGAAGCACCTAGAGGCTTCTTGTAAAACAATATGGATCTTGTAAAAAAAATATGGATCTTGGATCATGGTAAATCATGTGGCATCAATTCTGTTTTGGAACATTGCCATCAACATCTTTCCGTGATACCCAAGCCTTGTCATCTCTTCAACTTCTTTCCTGACCTGCCGATGGCTGGTTCACGGGTGATGTCACCCCCTTTGAAATCCGAAAAAAAAACATTACCCCCCGGTAAACTAACATAACCATGGAAAATCACCATTTCCAATGGGTAAATCCACTATTTCTATGGCCATGTTCAATAGCAAACTGTTAGTTTACCAGGCCGGGTAAGCTATGGCAGCTATAGGGCTTTCCAAGCTGCTGGTGGGCTCATACTCCACTGATCGTGCTGTGGGATTCAGCGGGATAATTGATCAGTAGGGGACTCATTATTTGAACTGAATTAAGACATAAATAAACAAGTAAATAATTCAGGAACAACTAACTTATAACAAATCATATAAAACATAATTAATAATTTATATATGGAAATTTGTTTAATATATAACAAATAATATTATAAACACATAATAAACATATATATATATAATTATATATATATAATATGCAATAATATGCATACATACACACAAACCATGAATTATATAACCAGTGAGGATTTCGTTGACGATCCTCCCCAGCATCCCCAGCTGCCGCACCTTTTCCTTCCACCAACGCGTTCTTTGCGCCTGCGCTAAAATCTGCCAAGGGGTGTCACAATGGAACACCCCTTGCTGGCCCAACACTGGCCCAACATATAGGGGAGGAAATCTCATGAAATCTCATGAAATCTTGCTCTTGATGCATCTGGATATATCTGGATCAAACATATCACATACCCTCTGGTAAACTAACATAGCGATTGAAAATGGTCAATGATAGTGGATTTTCCCATGAAAAATTGTGATTTTCCATAGTTATGTTAGTTTACCAGAGGGTATCACATATTATCACATGCTTCTATGTACGATTGTTGCATGAAACGCTCGCAGGCTGCAAAGCAGGGGACCTCTATGGCACGCTGAAAAGGAATGCGCCCAAAAACATCAAAAAATGTATGGCAACATGAAACAAATCGCCAACAAATAGAAGTTGACTTGAGTTCCTTTGGAGACAACATTCAAATGAATCAATACCTCATCCCCACCAGTTTCCAAACAGCATCCGGCGCTGTTCAATAGCAGAAACTGCAGTTCACTCAGTGGATCTGATGATCTGAGGTAATTATAGGTAAACATCTTGCTGAACATGTGAGATCTATAATTAAGTAGCAATACACCGTCCAGGGCCCCAATATTCGATATTTGGCTCGTTCAACGGTGCCACCATAGGGGTAAGCAACTTGTACCGCATTGCCACATCTTGATTCTCATGATCCATCATTATCCTATGAAATATCACCAGATTACGTATATTGATGGAGAGTTTCCCAAACTCATAATATGGACGGTTCTTATATGTTCTTATCCCATGCTATCTCTCTGATGTCCCTGGAGATTGATAGAGGATTCCACTTGGCAACTGGTTGGTAGCCCAGCCCGCCAGTCCTGTCTCCACAATTTCAAGGTCACCTGCTAGTGCTTCACCAGGGTTGAGGTGTGGGATGGAGGGGGGGCCTGGTCCCTTAGCTGGTGAACTTAACTGGGTCATATTCCCATAACTGGGTCACAAGTGGAGTTGTTTAATTACTTACCCATAGGATCCATGTATGGTATATATGCTAACATTTGGAGTATATTGATGGTAAATGTTATCATATATGGGTTAGTAGATGGATTAAACTTGTACTTGGGATCTTGAAGGCGGTGGTTGCAACCCAGCCTGGCAACACAAATCCTAAGTACTCCATACTTCGATCGATTCCCAGGGCCCATCAGCAACGGGTCGCTGATGCGTTGGGGCCTCTGGTTGACCAGCACGAGGATCTTCCCACGTAGTGCTTTGAGTGTCGTGCACTTTGAAATACATCCTCCGCGGCATGACTTTGGGCCAAACTATCGATAGATGATTGCGGGCCCCCAATTTGCTTTGCTCTTATTGAAAACAACGACTAATGCATGCAAGAGAGCGCCCTCCCAGTTGTAATATGTTTTTGAAAACCATCAGATATAGATATGACATGATATTATTACCAAAAAACAGAATACAGTATATTATTATTATTATTATATATATACTTAGAGCAAGATATTGAAGTGCTAAACTCTCACCCAGTAGGCTTCCGTAGGTTTCCCCGGTATATTGCAGCGATATTCCCATCCTTTACTGATTAAATCTAAATTTTGGTGGACTCATGCCCAAAATAAAACTCATCAGCTAGTTCCCCATCTTTTGTTGCTAAAACATCCATTGCAATCCATTGAAAAAACACACATACATTGATCGTTACCCTCTGGTAATTTAACATAGCTATTGAAAATGGAACATAGAAATAGTTGATCTACCTAGTAAAAATGGTGATTTTCCATAGTTTTTTGTATGTTTACCAGGCCGGGTAGTTGACCCTCCAGCGATTTTTCCCCATCACCCTGCCGGCCTGCCCCGCTGGTCCAAGGCAGGATCAACGTGCTCAGGCAACCCCCGGGGATCCTGAGGCCATGACCACGTCCAAACACCAGGGGAATTTGGAGCGATCCAAAAAGGAAGAACAAAAAATAGGTTAAATATTTGATCCAGAGGGGTTAATATGCTAATGATCTAATGGTTAATAATCATCTAATGGTTAATTATCATAATAACCTAGTAATGGTTAATGGCTAATAATCTAATTATTACCATAATCTGTCAAACATTTGATCCAGAATAATGGTTAATAATCAAATATCATATGGGTCACCAAAAGAATACATAATCTTTGTGGATAGCTCCATATGGTTCATATAACATGTTATATAATATCATGATGATCCAGAAACATGTTTGACCTATCCAGAATATCCAGAAAATCCAGAAACATGTTTGGATGCAAATGAAGATCCAAACATTCAATGTCCTCTGATGATTCTCCAGTTGAAATATGCTAAAATTGGGGATCTTCTATAATGCTAATTTTTAGATCAGAATATCCAGAAACATAGCATTACATTTGCATTCAATGTCACCTGATGATTCTCCAGTTAAAAAATGGATTAGCATTAATGCAACAAATAGATCAATTAGGAAACCTTAATCTGCAACCAGTCTTGGATTGAAGCGACACAAACAGAAATAACATCGCCCAAGCGCACAACAATAAAAGGGTGTTATCATATATATGTTATCCTATAGTTATTATATCCTAGTTATATATATATGTTATATATATATATTTTTAGACATAATGTCAGTGTCCAGCCGGTCGGATGTGAGATTCCTCACTTTGTTTGGTTCAACGTTAATTCGTTAACTCCGACTCTTCACCAAGCTAGTCACCAAGAAACACGTCGCGTGGTTCGCATGGCTGGTCGAAAGGCGAAATAGATCTCACCGTCGTCGGACAGCCGCATGTCCTGGCTGAGGGCAGGATTGCTGGTTTCTGGAATTTTCTGGATTGATGGTTAATGTTAACCAGGATGAATGTCAACTGCCACCAGTTTACTAACAGTAGGGGTTAGTAATGTGAACGGTAATTTATCACTGTTTTGCGGGTAGCAACCCTCATTGATACTTAATCAACATTGTTTCTTAATCCGGGGTTGACACTGTCATTGTTGTTATACCTGGTGAGCCCTCTAAATAGCTCAAAACTGGGGGCCATGATGGAACAATAGAAAATTGGTCATGCAGTGAGAATTTGGATCGATTCAAATCCAATGTTGGAAATCAATCACTTTGAGCCGTAGCCAAATTGTGTTTGTGAATATCCAGGGGCGAAGCAGTATTGCAGTATTGAATCTTCATGATCAATTTTACAGTCACTACAGCTGGTGAACACATATCCATTCTTGTGACAAAGTACTAAGCTAGCCACTTGGAAAAGTTGCCCCAGTACCCCCAGGGGCTGAAGGCTTCAAGGCTTTAGTCATGGCTGTTCTGCGTCTTTCGCACAGCACCATGTCCCTAATCTCATTTGTGCAATTTATAGCAAATCTTTGAATTTGCAACTGCTCGCATAGTTCATTGCTTTGCCAATGCATCATTTTCTTGCTGGATTCTTTTAGAATCCTGTAGTGCTTCCTCCCTCGGCGGGGTTTGCACCGGCATGACGAACAAAAGGGGCAAATGATGCAACACTATCGGACACCACCTCAGCACCGTAGCGTGAGATACAAATGAATATGTGTACCTTCAAGTAAAATCAAGCATGATTCTATGTCTATGCATCCTGTCCAGTGCAAAGAAAACACTAGTTCCCAAATCAACCAGACGAACATGTTGATAAATATTGTGAATATGGTGCAGGCTATGTTGAAATGACAAGCTACAATGTGGGGCCCGCAAACGATAACTAAGTTGCTTCAACAAACTCCAATAACTATGGTTTACGATACTTACGATGTGGCTTATAAACCAACTTAGCCATCTAGAGCGCCCCACTTTTGACATAGCCATAAATCAGCCATATCTCTCCCATACCGCCAGATCGCCGACTCGGTCCCCGCACCCAACCGACAGGACAGCCACGAGGGTCGATCGTGGTCGTCTGACGCGTGAAATGGTACTGGAAGTAGACCTGCGCAAGTTGAACCGTGGATCATACAGCTGTAGAAGTGCTCCATCAGCCCATATGCCACATATCCAGGCAACATCTCTCATTTTCCCATATTTTCCCTATAGTTTTCAAGAAGCGGTTCATAAATTTCATGACCCCAGTTAAGACATGTTAAGACCCATTTTGCATAGTATATTTTAATCCATGTTTTACTTAAAAGAGAATCCAATCACCCCAAATTGAATTAAACAAATATGACTTGTCTAGAATCTAAATAGTCTGAAACCCCGCATTTTATCTTTTATGTTTGAAGCCGAAGCTAAAACCTGCAGGACATGCTAACGCACATCTATATGGAGTGGGTGCCGCTGCTAATTACTAAATAGTCGTGAAAATTCAAGAATTGTTCATCTGCTGCAAGGCTTGTCGTTGCCTTTGCTGGCACTGTTGCTTTTGTCAAACAGAAAGGATAAACTCAAGTTCTCTGACAGCGACTGGGTCACAGGTCAGCCGAAGCCGCTTTTTGCAACTTTTGCTAGCGTAATGCTAGCGGGGATCTAGCGGGTAAAATTATATATATATAAATGCACAAAATTGAACGACAAACTTAAACACATAGGAAAATTGTCGGGTAGCAAAGCAATTCATTAAGACATACTTCGGTTTAAGGCGCTAAGTGTTAATATATCTTATTGTTTCTTCATGTTGAAATACCAAGCAGTCGGCAACACATCAAAAAAAACTTTGAACATGGATGTTAAAGAATAACTAGCGCAAACCTAGCGGGTTTGCTAGCGCTGCCTTGCAGAATTGGTGAATTTAGTTGCGTGCCGCATCATAACAAAATATAACAAAGAGAAAAACCACCAGATTCAAACTGATTGTCAACAACTAGTACAAAACTTCTGTCAACTATTTTTGGCAAATTGTCAATATATTATGTGAATTTATGTGATATGTTACGATAAACCCTCCTGAATGAAACATCTCCCAACCATCAGGCGAAACGCTGGTGCTTCAATCTCATTTCGCCAGACCGGGAGCTACGAGAACATAGATGTTGACAACCTATGGTTTCCCTCGGAAAATGATCTTCAATTGGTGGCATTGCATGCCACATCTATATATGTTTATCATTATTTATTTATCCTAGGGGTAATGGATGGTAATGGCTTGATCTAATGGCTTGCAGACTTCCCTAAAAGAATCAACTACTCTCGTACTATTTAACGTAGACGTGGTGGCCAAAAAAACATCAACAAACATATTAGTACAAATGCATCCTGATGGCCACGTTTAATTTGCAAAACAACGCTGTAAATGTATTTTTTCCTAAACGTAGACGTAGAAAGGTAATTGTTTTTGCCTTTCACCATGGCTATGTTAAAGCTGCATTCTGGTGTGAAAAGAGATGTTGCATTTCCATTTTTGATGGCTGGGTGTTTTCTGTTTGATTTTCTGGATTTTGGAAATTAAACGTAGACATGAAGATCACTGTTTCACAACGTCGAAAAGTTACTTTTAAAGTAGAAAACAATGCCGGCAACAATGCTGGCAACAATGCCAACAACAATGTCACACTACTGTAAACATGGCCGCGCACAGGTCATCCAACAGCTAGGTGATTTTTTTCCACGTCTACGTTTAATGAAACCGACAACATCTTACGGCTAAGGGTTTTTTCATGGTTTTTCATTTTTGGAACGTTCAAATAAAGACTAATAAACATGTCCGTTGCAACCATCCCAATAGCTTTGTTTGATTCCTCTCCAACGGCTACGTTAAAGAGTTTATTTTTTTGGGAAGTTTTTCTGCACTATTTTGGTCATGAAACATAGCTGTTGGAACTGCTACGATAGGTATGTTTAGGGCACTTTGCAACGATGTTATAAATGTTATAAAAACGAATCAACCAATGGCTATGTTAAGTGGCATTTTCTAGTGGCAACTGCCAATAGCTAATGCTTAGTACACGTTGCCACGATGTCATAAAATGGTTCAACCCATAGCTATGTTAACTACTCTACCACTGATTCAACGTAGTAGGCGAAATTGCGCAAATTTCAATCCGACGCCTACGTTTGTTAGCACCGACAACGTCCAACGGCCAGTTTTTTCATTTTTTGAGCTAGAATTTCACGTTCCAAAAAACATGTCCGTTGCATTCCGTTGCCACCATTCCAATAGCTATGTTAATCTGTGCTCCCAATAGCTATATACGTTAAGAGTTTTTTTGGGGGGAACTTTTCTGCACTATTTTCGCCATTAAACATCGCTATGGTGAAGCACTTTGCAACGGCCAGTAGCTATGTTTAGTGCACTTTGCAACGATGTTATAAAAATGGTTCGACCAATTATATAGCTATGTCAGCTATGTTAATTAAGTGGGATTACCTGGTGGCAACTGCCAATAGCTATGTTTAGTGCACTTTGCAATAGTACAAAATTTTTTTAAAAAAACTATTCATAGGTGACTTCCCAATAGTACTACAGATCCCCAACGTGGATTGAACATATGTTCAAATGATGCATTCCCTTTCTGTACATCCAAAATCTTACACAGGGCGCTCTCTAATGATCGAGATGAGATCAATGGTCGGACGCAGTATGGATATCGTTGTGGCTTCTTACATCTTGGCTTTGCAATCCCCTGGGGGCAGCTCAGTAGCCATGTTTAAAAGCAGTCCTAGTCATAGGTGACGTCCCAATAGCACTACAGATCCCCAACGTTGATTGAAAGTATGTTCAAATGATGCATACCCTTTCGTTTTAAACATGGCTACTAAGCTGCCTCCAGGGGATTGCAAAGCCAAGGAGCCACAACTATATCCATACTGTTTCCGACCAAAACCATGATGTATTTGTTTGACCACATCCCTTTCATTCGACAGCGCCTTTTGCAACATTTTCGGTGTTCAGAAAGGGAATGCATCATTTGAACATACTTTCAATCCACGTTGGGGATCTGTAGTACTATTGGGAAGTCACCTATGACTAGGACTGCTTTTAAACATGGCTACTGAGCTGCCCCCAGGGGATTGCAAAGCCAAGGAGTAAGAAGCCACAACGATATCCATACTGCATCCGACCATTGATCTCATCTCTATCATTAGAGAGCGCCCTGTGTAAGATTTTGGATGTACAGAAAGGGAATGCATCGTTTGAACATATTTTCAATCCATGTTGGGGATCTGTAGTACTATTGAGAAGTCATGAATAGGAGTGTTTTTAAACATGGCCACTGAGCTGCCTCCAAGGGATTGCAAAGCCAAGGAGCCACAACTATATCCATACTTTTTCCGGCCAAAACATTGATCATTTTTTTGACCACATCTCTTTCATTCGAGAGCGCCTTTTGTAACATTTCCGATGTTCAGCAAGGGAATGCATCATTTGAACATATTTTCAATCCACGTTGGGGATCTGTAGTACTATTGGGAAGTCACATATGAAAAGGAGTGTTTTTAAACATGGCTACTGAGCTGCCTCCAGGGGATTGCAAAGCCAAGGAGCCACAACTATATCCATACTGTTTCCGACCAAAACCATGATGTATTTTTTTGACCAAATCTCTTTCATCAGAGAGGGCCTTTTGTAACATTTTCGATTTTCAGAAAGGGAATGCATCATTTGAACATATTTTCAATCAACGTTGGGGATCTGTAGTGCTATTGGGAAGTCACCTATGACTAGGACTGCTTTTAAACATGGCCACTGAGCTGCCCCCAGGGGATTGCAAAGCCAAGAAGTAAGAAGCCACAACGATATCCATACTGCGTCCGACCATTGATCTCATCTCGATCATTAGAGAGCGCCCTGTGTAAGATTTTGGATGTACAGAAAGGGAATGCATCGTTTGAGCATTTTTTTTCAATCCATGTTGGGGATCTGTAGTACTATTGAGAAGTCATGAATAGGAGTGTTTTTTAACATGGCTACTGAGCTGCCTCCAGGGGATTGCAAAGCCAAGGAGCCACAGCTATATCCATACTTTTTCCGGCCAAAACATTGATCACTTTTTTGACCACATCCCTTTCATTCGAGAGCGCCTTTTGTAACATTTCCGATGTTCAGCAAGGGAATGCATCATTTGAACATATTTTCAATCCACGTTGGGGATCTGTAGTACTATTGGGAAGTCACATATGAAAAGGAATGTTTTTAAACATGGCCACTGAGCTGCCTCCAGGGGATTGCAAAGCCAAGGAGCCACAACTATATCCATACTGTTTCCGGCCAAAAACATGATCTATGTTTTTGACCACATCTCTTTCATTCGAGAGCGCCTTTTGTAACATTTTCGCTGTTCAGAAAGGGAATGCATCATTTGAACATATTTTCAGTCCACGTTGGGGATCTGTAGTACTATTGAGAAGTCACCTATGAATAGGAGTGCTTTTAAACATGGCCACTGAGCTGCCCCCAGGGGATTGCAAAGCCAAGGGGCCACAACTATATCCATACTGTTTCCGACCAAAACCACGATCCATTTTTTTGACCACATCTCTTTCATTCGAGAGCGCCTTTTGTAACATTTCCGATGTTCAGCTAGGGAATGCATCATTTGAACATATTTTCAATCCACGTTGGGGATCTGTAGTACTATTGGGAAGTCACATATGAATAGGAATGTTTTTAAACATGGCTACTGAGCTGCCTCCAGAGGATTGCAAAGCCAAGGAGCCACAACTATATCCATACTGTTTCCGACCAAAACCATGATGTATTTTTTTGACCAAATCTCTTTCATCAGAGAGCGCCTTTTGTAACATTTTCGATGTTCAGAAAGGGAATGCATCATTTGAACATATTTTCAATCAACGTTGGGGATCTGTAGTGCTATTGGGAAGTCACCCATGACTAGGACTACTTTTAAACATGGCTACTGAGCTGCCCCCAGGGGGGTTGCAAAGCCAAGAAGTAAGAAGCCACAACGATATCCATACTGTGTCCGACCATTGATCTCATCTCTATCAGGCTCTATCATTAGAGAGCGCCCTGTGTAAGATTTTGGATGTACAGAAAGGGAATGCATCATTTGAACATATGTTGAATGCAGGTTGGGTATCTGCAGTGCTATTGTCAAGTCACCTATGACTAGGACTGCTTTTAAACATGGCTACTGAGCTGCCCCCAGGGGGGTTGCAAAGCCAAGAAGTAGGAAGCCACAACGATATCCATACTGTTTCCGACCAAAACCATGATGTATTTTTTGACCAAATCTCTTTCATCAGAGAGCGCCTTTTGTAACATTTTCGATGTTCAGAAAGGGAATGCATCATTTGAACATATTTTCAATCAACGTTGGGGATCTGTAGTGCTATTGGGAAGTCACCCATGACTAGGACTACTTTTAAACATGGCTACTGAGCTGCCCCCAGGGGGGTTGCAAAGCCAAGAAGTAAGAAGCCACAACGATATCCATACTGTGTCCGACCATTGATCTCATCTCTATCAGGCTCTATCATTAGAGAGCGCCCTGTGTAAGATTTTGGATGTACAGAAAGGGAATGCATCATTTGAACATATGTTGAATGCAGGTTGGGTATCTGCAGTGCTATTGTCAAGTCACCTATGACTAGGACTGCTTTTAAACATGGCTACTGAGCTGCCCCCAGGGGGGTTGCAAAGCCAAGAAGTAGGAAGCCACAACGATATCCATACTGTGTCCGACCATTGATCTCATCTCTATCAGACTGTATCATTAGAGAGCGCCCTATGTAAGATTTTGGATGTACAGAAAGGGAATGCATCATTTGAACATATGTTCAATCCACGTTGGGGATCTGTAGTACTCTTGGGAAGTCACCTATGAATAGGAGTTTTTTTAAACATGGCTATTGGCCGTTGCAAGGTGTTTCTCCATAGCTATGTTTATTGGTAAAATAGTGCAGGCAATTTCTCACCCCCCAAAAAAAAACTCTTTAACGTAGCCGTTGGGAGAAATCATGAAAACTTAACCGTTGGACGTTCAAAAAACCTTAGCCGTTGGCCGTTGCGCTTATAATAAACGTAGCCGTCGGATCGAAATTTGCTCAATTCCGACGTCTACGTTAAATAGTGGGAGTGTACCAGTTCTAAAATCAAAGTCATTTTTCGTTTTTCCTCCTCCGTTTCCCCAAAAAACATCCCCCGTTTCTACTCATTTCAGCCAGCGCCTGCCCTCGCGGATCGATCCGTTGCTCCCAGCCTTTGGCTAAAAACCTGCGGCGCGTTGCGACGCGCTTCACTCGTTCCGTTGCCAGTGCGACTGCAGTGCAGTGTTGGCAGCGTGTGAAAAGGTTGTTTTATAATCCATGGACGTGGAAAATTATGGAAAATGAACATCTACAAATGAAAGTATGTTGAAGAATTTTCTTTCATATACTGTACCGGTGGCTATGTGTGTTGGTTTAGTTTCATCAGCCTATTAACTAGTTCGGTATGTACCATAAACCATAGTTATATATATATATATGTTATTAACATTATTAACGTGGCGCACCACCCACCCAAGGTGGGTGATTTCAAGTTGTCTGGTAGATTTCTTAGATGGGTCCCTAGTCGAATTTATGTCCATGTGTAGCTTGTAGGAATCACTCTGCGGCTTCAGAAAATGGAGCAGCATTGATGGATTCTCAAGACATGTGGCATGGCAAACTCACTGGTCCGATTCTTTCAGGTACAAAAATGATTACCCTCTGGTGAACTAACAGTTTGCTATGGAAAATCACCATTTTTAATGGGAAAATCCACTATAAATGGCCATTTTCAATAGCTATGTTAGTTCACCGGAGGGTAGTTTTGATGATATCTACAATCTGCAGTATGTACTGGGGTTGTCACATTCTATACTCGGGAAGGCCTGGTAGATCTAGTAGACAGAAATACTTATTAGTAAGTTAATATAAAACATATAAGTCCAAGTATAGATACAACTTGTGGTTCTCCATCATTGCATCTACCCTCTGGTAATTCGAAATAGCTATGGAAAATGGATGAAAATGGCAAATAGGTCATTTATAGATTCACCTTTGGAAACATGGTGGCTACTTCTCAAGAATGGAACACATTCAAATGATATTCAACAGGGGCACGCCACTTCCATTGGGTACCCTTCAATAACTCGCACACCTATGGAAAATCACTATTTCTAATAATTAGGTAAATCAATCAATGAAATTCACTATGTTTAATAATCGTATAGGTAAATCAACCATAAAGCAGTCATTTTCCCTAGAAAAACTTAGTTTCCCAACGGATCTCTCCACCTTTTTGTCGTGCCCTATAGAAGAGGTTAGACAATTAAGAAGGAAATAGTTAATTCTGAAAAATAGTTAAGTCGATGTTTTTAGGCAAAAAAAGTTAACTAATTAGTTAAGTTGTTTTTGTCTTAGTTAAAAAATAGTTAAAAAAGTAGTTCTAAAAATAGTTAAAAAAATAGTTAAAAAAATAGTTTTAAAAATAATGTTAAAGAAAAACACTTTCCCCTATTTCTGAGCTAATTCAAGGCCAGCTTGTTTTGAACATATATTTCATGTTTCGAAACTATTTTTTTAAACAAACTGATTACTATACCTTGCATTGTGTGAAAGAAACCATGGTTTTGTGCAAATTGTTATTTTTTGATTTTGAGCACCTTGGTCTCTAATGACTTCACAGACAATATCAAAAGTGTTTTTTCACTGACTTCTCAAAGTGAGTGCATCTCAAAAATGTGTGGGTTCCTTCAAAATAAGAATGGGCCTCTCAAAGTCTGTGGTCTCTCAAAGAAGATTGCCCCTCACAATATGTGGCTGTAAAAAATGATATTTAAAGAAAAGGCATGAATCTCTCAAAGTGGTTGGGTCTCTCAAAATGGCTCTCAAAGTGAAGCACCTGAAGATTTTAGACCGTGACAACACAAACCTTTTTCACAGTGGTAGTGGTAGTTGTTTCTATCAAACTCAAACTTAAGTTCTTGGAATTTCCAAGCTTTTGTGCTGCCAACCTGTTTCGACATCATGTGGCATCATGTCAGTAAGCACCTTTGGTGAACTGTACATGCAGAGCCATCCTCATCTTATCAGCAACTTTGTTCACTGTGAGGAAAGGCCCAGTGCCAGCCAAGCATGAGTGAGCTAGCTGTTGGATATGGTGCATGTAATCTTCTCCAGTGAAACACCAGACTAACCTGGGTGAAACATACTTGCTCAATAGAGCAGAATGTGCAAGGCCATGCAATTTGCATGTGGAAGTGAAAAGATGAGGAATGCCTTCTTCATTTCGATAATGGTTTTCTAAAAGAAGCTGCAAGTGGCCCATGTTGAAAATCACTTTTGTGAATTCTTGGGCAGCATGCTCTGGGAAAGAAAGTTCGCCCTTGTGCTCCTCAAGCATTGCATCCACCTTCTGGTTCAATTTCAATAAGACCAAGATGTTCTTCTGCATGGTGACATTGCGGTTGCAATGGCTTTCCCATAAGGACAAAATCACAGGCCCAAAGCTTCTAATTTCAATAGCCTTACCCCTCAATTTGGGCCCCCCTTGTTTTCTCATGAACATGGTGAGCTTGGACATGTGCCTGAATTTGCTGGTAGTGGGGTATTGGCGGTAAAACTCCAAAACCCAAGCTTCCAAGACCTTCAAATTCTCAAGTGGAGATCCATGGCTCATCATGTGGTAGACCAACAAATACCTGGTGTGTTTCATGGATGTAACACAATTATGCTTGGGGTGTCAAAACCAACTTCCTAAGGGGAAAAATTGTTCAACATAATCTTCACAATATGGTTTCCAGAACAACAGCATTAAACACAAGCTCTCTCAAAAACCGCCTCTCAAACTGCTCTCTCAAAATGTTACCTCAAAGTGAGCTTTCAGAATGCTTTCTCAAAGTGTTTGCTCAAAGCTGTTTACCAAAGTGATTGTGTGTGTGTGCGCATGGGGGTGCCATGGGTCATGGGTGTAGGAATGCTGGCAAAAGCAAGCCAAAAGCAAAACATTGCTGAAATGTGTCCAAGTGCAGGCAGCTTCCAAAGATATACATGTCAACCCCTAAATACTTGTTGTGCATAAAGTCAAGTGAGCACATCACTGCTGATGCCCCTGGGATATCACTGAACAGCTTGCAAGGGCTCTTGCCAGGAAACAGGTGCCAGCTCTGTGGTGTCCAGCATGTAGAAACCCAAGGGGCAGAAGGGTCAAAGTTTTTCCAGGAGTTAAGCCCTTCAGCATCAGCTTGGCAAAGGGCACAGCACTTCTTCTTGGTTTGCCATTTGGGTAGTTCAAGGACACTTGCAAAATAATCCATGTCACCCTGCAAAGTGAACAGGATGGCAGACCAGCCACCTGCTAGTGGCTTTCCTCTTCTTTTATATCCCAAACTTCCCTGGGGGTACCTTGGGCTGTGCAAAGAAGGGAACAACATAGCATCTTGTGCAAAAGAAAAATTCAAGTTGTGTGGAAAATGTGGAAATATATATGTCATTTACCAGCCCAGAAACTCTTTCCCTTGCCAATCTTCCATAGGCCAAATACCAAGCTGTAAGTATTTTATGGACCAGGAAACCAATGCCAAGAAAGTGTCCATTGTTTTTTCCCCCTGCAATGTATCCCAAACCATTCCAATGTAGAATTGCTTGTCCTTGGTAGGTGCCTGTGATAGCAATGAAGCCCAAGAATATACCCAAGCACTTCTACACCATATTTTGCCCTTTCCAGTAATAGGGACACCATCGCCATGCATCCCTATTGGGATTTGCTTTGATGTGTCAGCCACTGCTGGGTGCAAACTCATGCAGGGGTGTTGCTTGGCTGTTCTCCAAAAATCTTGGAGGTAACCAGGGGGGCCCACCAGGACATTCTGGAAGGTTTCATAATAGTTGTCAAAGATGCTGGCAAAGACTTCGTGGGGTAAGAGGAACTTCTGCATGTGGTTTCCCTTTTTGTAAGGAAGTTGGATTACAAAGGGGTCAGGCAACTTGCTTTTCTGGCTGGCTATCAAGGCAGCTGACATCAAGTTGGCATACCCACCACCCAACTTTGCCCAGCTCTGCAAAGGTGTAGGTGCAGCATGCTTCATGTCTGCGCAAGCTTTGCTTGCCACTTGCTGCACCATTTGGGGGCTGATGTGGCCCCAGGCCCATTGTTCAACCAAGAAGCTGGCCAACTCACTGGTTGTTTTGGCTTCTGACTGGCTTTGGTCCAAAGCCAGCCTTTTCCTTTGACCAAGGCGCCTGCTTTTGGCAGGTGGCATGGAGTCACCTTCATTATCCATCACTGGCAAGTCCAAATTACAAATGTTTCAACTTTGTCCTGGTGATGTTTTGCAATCTCTCATGGCACCAAAACAGCAGCACTGTTGGGATTGGGCACTTGTGGGAGTTGTGGGTGTTTGTGGGCACTTGTGGGCACTTGATCTGATGGATTTGAATGTAAGCTGAGGGCACCTGAGTGCACTTGAGGGCTTTTGGACAGCATTTGAAACTTGCTTTGGGCACTTGCAATAGCACTCGGTGGCAAGTTTGGCAAACTAAGAGGTGGGAAGGAAAAATGAGAACCAAAGGGGTGGTTGAACATGTGGTATCTGAATTTCAACATTGCCCACACAGTGGCTCTCACAAGTGTGTCTCTCAAAGTGGCTCTCACAAGTGTGTCTCCCAAAGTAACATCAATGAATTCTGCAAGTGACAAACTCAAGCTTCCCCAATTCCCAAAATGCATTTTCTCCAAAAAGGCATGTTTCTTTCAGGGTGAGTCTTCAATTTGATACCCAACAAGTTTGAAGGTGAATCCTAAGCCCTACTCTACAGTGCACACATAACCAATTTAGTGCCACAAACTTCCAGGAATCAACCTTACCCAAAAACATGTTTCAAACCACATTCTCAATTCACATGCAAGTGCAACCAAGTTCCCAAACCCAAGCCAAAATATTTTGTTTGAGTCTTGCCATCTCTTGCTGCGACACCCTTGTCAGCAGAGCAAAATGCTCTTCATGAAGCTGCCAGATTCTGTGATATGCCCAGGGCTGCACACAAAAAGTCAAAATTGCAACCCATTCAAAAGGAACAGTTGAACTATTACAGTTTCATTTCATGTAAAGCAGGTCACTACTTACATTTTAACTTTCAACAGGTTTTGGGACTTCAGGGAATTTCATTTCACAGGTTTCTGGACTTCAAGCATACCCCTCACCTTGAGAGTTGTTCTCACTCCTTCAATCTTTTCATTGGCTTTCTGGGTTTGCTTGGCCAAGGCGGTCATCCATGCTTTTCCACTCTCCAAATCCCATTTTGTGTGATCAGGCAACTCCTAGCACAGCTGGAAGAAATACATCATGTTTTTTGGTTTGAAACATGCTAGATGGTATTCAAAAATCTGGTCTAAACAACAAAAACTATTTGAAATGGTGCTTTCTTGCAACTGGGAAAAGGTGGTATGAAAAACACTGTTTCCAAAAATGTTTCCAAATATTCCTTCAATGCTTTCTCTCAAAGTGCCCCAAGATTTCCAAGAGGCATCAAAGTGTACCCCTCAAAGTGTACCCCTCAAAGTGTCCACTACTCTTCCTCCAAAATTCCACTCTTGAAAGTGCAAATCCCCAAATGCTCTCAAAGTATAGCTCTCACAGTGGCACCCACACTAAGCCACCAGAGCCTTCCACAGTAAGATGTGGTCCAAATTCTTGTCATTGTCCTGCAAATCTTTGAGGCTGCCTTTGAAGACTTCAAGCAAGTCGTGATCCTGTGCCCTCAAAACACATTCCTTCAGCTTCATGGCATCCCTGATCAGCTTTTCCTGTGCAGTCTTTGCTGACTGCAAGACCTTCTCAACATGGCCCCAGTCAATTTCCTGAGCCTTTGGCTTTGCAAAAATCACAAGGCCATCTCCTGCTTCTTTTGACTCCTCTATTGGTTTCAGAGCACCAACATTCATATTTTTGAACCAATCAGTGATGACTTGGTGAGAGCTCTCATCCAAGCTGTGCTGGCCATCATTCAGCTCGCTTTCATCACCCAAACTCTTCATCCTGCCTGACTTCAAAGTGTTGTAGCTATAGAACTCCTTTCCCTTGTGGTTGGTAACAACAACATCACCACACTGCAAGGCATTTTCTAGTGCGGTTTGGTTGCCACCAAGCTTGTCATAGAGCATGATGGACCAGGGGAAGCCTGAACTAGGGCATCAATCACAACAGGGTGAATGCTTTCAGCAGCTTTGTCAAAGTGGCTGTTATGCCCAGGCAGGCCCAGGTGTATGAATTGCAAGGTTGTGTTGAAAAATGTAATGCTTCCAAAATGATACCCAAAGTGGCCGTCAACATGATAGCCTGCAAGTGTCACATGTGCCTCCATCATCCCCATGTGGTTCCTAAAACATGTCATCACACATGTACCTATGTATTTATTCACACATGTTTATTTAAACATATGTCATAAACAAAATAGTATCAATTTATTTACACACATAGATGTATGTCAAAATGTATGTATGCATGCATGCATGCATGCATGTAGTGTATGTAATGTATGTAATGTATGTAATGTATGCAATGTATGCTATGTATGTAATGTATGTAATGTATGTATGTCTGTGTGCCTGTATGTCTGTATGCCTGTATGTTTGCATGCATTTATGCCTTTATGTTTGTATGTCTGTATGGTTGTATGCCTGTATGCTTGTATGCATGTATGTCTGTATGCATGTATGTCTGCATGTTTGTATGTATGTCTGTTTGTATATCTGTATGTCTCTATGTCATGTATGTCATGTATGTCATGCATGTATGCATGTATGCATGCATGTATGTTATGCATGTATGTGTGTATGTATGCATGCATGGATGTTTTGATGTTTGTATGTGTGTATGTATGTATGTATGTATGTATGTGTGTATGTATGCATGTATGCATGTATGTATCTATGTATGTGTGTGTGTATGTATGCATGTATGCATGCATGGATGTGTGTGTGTATGTATGTATGTATGTAGGTAGGTAGGTAGGTAGGTAGGTATGTAGGTATGTAGGTATGTAGGTATGTAGGTATGTAGGTATGTATGTATATGTAGGTATGTAATGTATGTAATGTATGTATGTATGTATGTAATGTATGTAATGTATGTAATGTATCTAGTGTATCTAATGTATCTAATGTATCTAGTGTATCTAGTGTATCTAGTGTATCTAGTGTATCTAATGTATCTAATGTATCTAATGTATCTAATGTATGTAATGTATGTAATGTATGTAAGGTATGTAAGGTATGTAAGGTATGTAATGTATGTAATGTATGTAATGATATGTAATGCATGTAATGCATGTAATGCATGTAAGGTATGTAAGGTATGTAAGGTATGTAATGTATGTAATGTATGAAATGCATGTAATGCATGTAATGTATGTAATGTATGTAATGTTTGTAATGTTTGTAATGTATGTATGTATGTATGTATGTATGTATGTATGTGTGTGTATGTATGTGTGTATGTGTGTGTATGTATGTATGTTTGTATGTATGCCTGTATGCATGTATGTCTGTATGCCTGTAATGTAATGTAATGTACCTTGTAAGTTGTACAGTTGCATCCAAGTAACTTTGAGACTCTTCCTTCCCATACTTCACATCCAACAGCTTTTGAACCCTTTTGAAGGCAGGGTCCTTGGGAACCATCACAAAGTTATTACCTTCCTTTCTGAACAGGCTGTTGATGAGCTGTGTTTTGTTGGCTCTGGGGTTAGAACTTTTCTCAGCTGCATCAAAAGCTTCCTGGACTTCTGCAGGCAATGCACCTGCTTTCTCAAGCTTTCGAAATTTCTGTGCTTTCTGCCTGTCCCTCTCTTCTGTAGGTGCCTTGCTTGCATCCTGATCCTCCTCATCCTCTGAAGGCTTGTCCAAGTTTGAAACCCATTTCGATGCTTGTTCCTTCAAACTTTCCTTTCCTTTCTTCTTTTGGGGATCTTTCTTGTCCTTCTCATCTTTCTCATCTTCTTCCTTCTTTGCATTGTTGCTACTAGCTGCTTTGGGTTTTGCTTTGGGGCCTGACTTTGCAACCGCTGTTGTCTTGGATTTTTTCTGCACCCTAGGGCTAGACTTTGCCTTTGCTTTGGCCTTGCCACTGGCTGCTGGTCTCTTGAGCGCTTTTGATGGTTTGGGTGGGGTGTGGGGGGCCTTGGCAGTTGACTTGGGTGTGGCCGTGGCAGCTGACTTGGGTGTGGCTGCCTGTGTTGCCTTCTTTGATGCCTTCCTCTCAGGAGTCTTTGGTGGCTCTGGAGCCATCAAAGCACCACCTGTTTCAGCCACTGCCTCTTGTGTAGGGGATGCTGACATGGCTGGTCTTTTCATCTGCAAAAGGTGTGAGACTAAATCTTCACACAGAAGATGATGGGGTGATGTCCACAAAACAAAGCACAACACACAATATATAACACATTACATTGATGAATATTACATTTTTGGCGAACCATGTGGACATCACACAGAAAGGAAAATTCAATCCTGGTTTTGTGCCATGCAGAAAATGATGTGTATAAACATATAGATATATACTTATACTTATATATGTATCCCAAACCATGGTGATGGGTTCTTTCATAAAACAACAGCCCATATAAACAGATTACATCAACAGAAACATTGCCCATGTTTGAAGAAAATGCAAACAATTTGCATGGTGTGCCAAAAAGAAAACATATTTTGGACAGGAAAATTGATATTGTTGTACCAAAAAAACTTGAAAATACAACCAAAAAATAAATTGCATGGTAGAAGTTTGATAGTACTTTGGTAGAAGTTTCTAGTAAACTTCTACAGTACCATAGAAACTTCTATCAAACTACTACACAAGTAGAAGTTTGGTAGTAGTTTCAATGAAACTTCTAGTATGACCATAGAAGTTTGATAGAAACTTCTATCAAACTACTAGCAAACTTCTACATCTAGAGTTTGGCAACAATTGTATTTTTGTTTTTTTTCCACACACATTTGACCAAATAGAAAACAAATTCCTGATTATCCCTCCAAAGTGCAGTGCATCTCTCACCCATCTCCCTCTCTCTCTCTCTCACTCAAAGTGCATTCTGCTAGTTGGCAAGTGCCCTCCCAAGTGCCCTGCCAATTGACTCAAGGTGTGACCCTCCAATGTGTTACTCTCAAAATGTACAAGGTGACCCAAGTTGAAACCATGCAGTAGATGCAATCTGTTTTCAGCAGGCTAGTTGAAAGTTCTTCATGGCCAGAAGTCTGCTACCTTGGCTGTCAAGGTGTAGATTGTGCATTAAGTATGGCACTGTATGACCCTGCCACTTTTAGATTCCAAACACCACTTTCACTTTAATCAGTTTCAAGGCATTGGAAGTTTACACATTGCAAATGCAGCAAGTTCACAGACCATCAGCTGGAGCTTCTGGAGGAGCGGTTTGCAAACCCCCTGAGTGCCAGGATGAATCATGACTGGGATAAAAAAGGATGGTATTTATGGGTCAATCACTTCACATTACATTCTTAGATTTTTAAAAAACAAACTGCCCAGTGGCTCTGCCATGTGAAGCTGGGTGATCTTTTCCTGCCACATGGTGAAACACCAGCTAGGAAGACAAACAATGATGTCAATCACTTCTCTAAACAGTCATTGCTTTGCAAAAAACAGTCCTTCAACAAGTTCTTGTCAGCATCAGTGGTCCAGTACCAGTCCCTTGCAACTTCATCAAAAGTTTTCCATTCTTCCCACCCATTGGGTTGGTAAGTGGTCACATGCCACAAGGCACCATTTCGCCAAGTCCATTTAGTACTGGTGGCATTGGCAGCCAACCTGTCTAAAAACTTCAACATATTGCACCTGTAGTGCCCTTGAACCTGCAAATCTTGCAAGTGATATCAAGTCAATTAGAGTAAAAGATGCAAGTGCTTAGTTCAACCCCAGTGCCCTCACTAGTGTCAAGTACAAATGCTCAGGTGTAAACCATAAGTGGTACTCTCAAAGTGTTACACTCTCAGTGTTCTCAAGTGTGATACTATTTAGATACTCAAGGGTACATCTCAAGAAATATAGGTGATGAAGTGCATTCAAAAGTGAAACAATGAGAACCACACACTTCTTTTCCCCTTTGCTGGTAGCCTGGGTCAAGAAGCAAGTTTGCCTTCTAGTTTCTAACCCTCTTTGAGAGTTCCAAGTTCAATCTGTTGCACAACCTTGGCACTTGCAGCTTTGCCTTTGATCCTGGCACTCTCTGGGCTAATGCCAGCCCTCAGAGCCATGTTTTTGGCCAAATGGTATGCATTGCTCGTCTTCCTGTGGCGAAATGTTGTTTTGTATGTGCCAGGGGATGTCTTCTTGGAAGTTTTTTGTTTCTTGGCTTTTCCTTTGCTTTTGCTCTTGGGGGCAGGCTTTGCATGAGCCTTTGATTTACTTTTGGCCTTTGCTTTGCCATTCTTTTTTTTCTTGGGTGTTGATGGTGTTTCACCAGGTGCTTTCTCATTGTCCTTCTGGTACTTGCTTTCTAATGCCATTGCAAGTGTTTGCAAATCCTGGGTGTCCAAATCAAAATTGTTCTTTGCCAACTGTCTCCTCAAGGTGGGTCTACTGGTGTCTGCCCTTTCATCCAAAGCCAAGTTGCTTTTAGCCATGCTTCTTTTGTAGATTGGCTTGCTCTTTTCATGCAGTACCATGTCTGTGCAGCTTGATGTGTCTTGTTTTTTTTCTGGGCTGTGAAATTGTTTGAAAAAGTTGCTTGGTAACCCAAGGATGTCCTTACCAGGGCTTCCATAATCACCAGTGGAGCTGCTGCTTGGCTCTGGTTCTGCCTTTGCCATTGTAGGGGGTGGTCTTGGGGAATCATTGTCCTTTGTCATCTCCTCATCTTTTTGGTCCTCAGGTGGTAGTGAAATACGTCAAGGGGTACTATCACATCATTAAATGAATGAGTATACAGATACACAATAGAAAACAAAGACATTGCTAGCATGAAAAAGGTTTAAAAAGGGTTTCATTTTTGAACAAGGTTCCACACAAACCAGTTGCAAGATTTCTTGAATTTCTTGAATTGCCTCCTTTTCTTCTTTGCTAGATTTCTTGGCAACTCTTAGCCAATCACACTGGTTGACCTTGAGTGTTCTGATCTGGGCTGCACCTATACGAATCAACTGGTCCATGTGGTCAAAAAAAGTGTCATCCATCATCTTTGTATAGTTGAGCCTTTGCCCAGTGGACCTTCAGGCTGATGGGCACAGGGGCAGGCACACACAAAAAGAAGCACAATAAACAAAAGAAAAGTGTTATGTTAAATGACTAGGCACTGAACCTTGACCATGGCCGACTTGAGCTTCTTTGATGAAATCACCAGGTTCTTTGCAACAGGTACCAGTTTTACGAAAAAAGGGCTCATTTGGTGCAGCCACTCTGGGTCAGGTGCTGTTTTCCATGAAACCTTTCTAGATTGCACTGGTGCCAGTAAGGTGTGAATGTCATTGCTTCCACTTTCCTTGCAAAATTGTGTGGTCACCTGCTGCAAATCACACACTGCGACTGATGGGTCAGGCACCAGTCTGCCCATGGCACTGAAACACAGCAGGGCTTGTCAGCCCAACATTTTTTGGTGTTTTGCCAGCCTAGGAGCCACAATCCTTTCAGTAGCATCTTAACAATGCAGTGAGCAGTGTGCCAATCAAAATTTGATACCCATCAGAATGCAATGGGTTCAGTGCATGCAGGGGGTCACTCAAAGTGCTGGGGTGGGTCTCTTACAGTTGGGGTTCCTACAAATGACAGTGTCCCTTTCAAAATGAAGTTGGTTTCCCAAGAACAAACTTGTCAGTGGATGTGGGTCTCTCAAAGTGCATGCACTTGGTCTCTCAAGGTGATTGGGGTCTCTCACAGTGACTTGTAGGTGTCTCTAAGAGTTGGGGCTCTCAAAGTGCATGCACTTGGTCTCTCAAGGTGATTGGGGTCTCTCACAGTGACTTATAGGTGTCTCTAAGTGCTGGGGCTCTCAAAGTGCTTGCTATTTGTTTTCAATGATGTTATTTTCCCCAAAAATGAACCATGAAACATGTAAAGTATAGTCCTTGTACCTCTCAAAGCCTCAAGGTGAACCCTCTCTCTCCTCCACCTCTTTTTCTCTCCATATCTCTCTCTCTCTCTCTCCATTCTCTCTCTCTCTCTCTCAAAGTGATCCCAAGGCCACTTAGTCTCACTTTTTTTACACCTCACAGCAGCTCAGCAATCACACAGCCTGGGCAGCATCTCATGATCCTATGTCGAATTGCTATTCTGCAATTCCAACAGTGGCAACTGGCAGAAGGCACAGTGCGGTGTGTGTGCAGGAGCTGGATGGGGATATTCCCCACTTCATATCCAGCCCTGATAGCACCCATCAACCTCCTGGCAAAAACACTACCTTCTTCCATTGTCAATGGAAGATCATAGGCAAACTGCGACGCATTCCTTAGGTTTAGATGTTGTTTCATGCTAATGTGTTTCCCTCACTCAAGCAGTGTTTCTTTCACAGTGGAAACTTGAGAGGGGGAACACGAAAGGTAGGTAAGCAAGAAAGGAACCGAAGAAAAAATGAAGGGGAGAGGGGAGGGAAAAATACATAAAGTGGAGTCTGGTAAAAGCGGCGCGGCCATTTTCTTTCCAAAAATATGAAGGGGAGTCTGGTAAAAGCGACTGAAAGGCTTCGGCGATGTGGTTGGGGTTGGTGGTGGTTGTGGTGTTGGTGGTGTTGGTGGTGTTGGTGGTGCTGGTGGTGTTGGTGTTGTTGGTGTTGTTGGTATTGGTGTTGTTGGTGTTGTTGGTGGTGGTAGTGTTTCTGGTGTTGTTAGTGTTGTTGTGTGTTAGTGTTGTTGGTGTGGTTGGGTTTGTTGGTGGTGTTGGTGGTGTTGGTGTTGTTGGTCGTGTTGTTGGTGTTGGTATTGTTCGTGTTCGTGTTGTTGTTGTTGTTGTTGTTGTTGCTGTTGTTGTTGCTGTTGTTGCTGCTGCTGCTGTTGATGGTGTTGGTGTTGTTGTGTGTTGTTGTGTGTTGTTGTGTGTTGTTGTGTGTTGTTGTGTGTTGTTGTGTGTTGTTGTGTGTTGTTGTGTGTGTGTGTGTTGGTGTGTTGTTGTGTGTTGTTTGTGTTGTTGTGTGTGTTGTTGTGTGTTGTTGTGTGTGTGTTGTGTGTTGTTGTGTGTTGTTGTGTGTTGTTGTTGTTGTTGTTGTGTGTTGCGTGTGTTGTTGTGTGTTGTTGTGTGTTGTTGTGTGTTGTTGTGTGTTGTTGTGTGTGTGTTGTTGTGTGTTGTTGTGTGTTGTTGTGTGTTGTTGTGTGTTGTTGTGTGTTGTTGTGTGTTGTTGTGTGTTGTTGTGTGTTGTGTGTGTGTTGTGTTGTTGTGTGTGTTGTGTGTTGTTGTGTGTTGTTGTGTGTTGTTGTGTGTTTTTGTGTGTTGTTGTGTGTTGTTGTGTGTTGTTGTGTGTTGTTGTGTGTTGTTGTGTGTTGTTGTGTGTGGTGTGTTGTGGTGTGTTGTTGTGTTGTGGTGTGTTGTGTGTGTTGTTGTGTGTTGTTGTGTGTTGTTGTGTGTGTTGTGGTGTGTTGTTGTGTGTTGTGTGTTGTTTGTGTTGTTGTGTGTGTGTGTTGTTGTGTGTTGTTGTGTTGTTGTGTGTTGTTGTTGTTGTTGCGTTGTTGTGTGTTGCGTGTGTTGTTGTGTGTTGTTGTGTGTTGTGGTGTGTTGTTGTGTGTTGTTGTGTGTGTGTTGTTGTGTGTGTTGTGTGTGTGTTGTTGTGTGTGTTGTTGTGTTGTTGTGTGTGTTGTGTGTGTTGTGTGTGTTGTGTGTGTGTTGTGTGTTTTGTGTGTTGTGTGTTGTGTGTTGTGCGTTGTGCGTTGTGCGTTGTGCATTGTGCGTTGTGTGTTGTGCGTTGTGTTGTTGTTGTTGTTGTTGTTGTTGTTGTTGTCGTCGTTGTTGTTGTTGCGTGTTGTTGTTGTTGTTGCTGTTGCTGTTGCTGTTGCTGTTGTTGTTGGTGTTGGTGTTACCCCTGCAGCGTTTTTGCTCGGTTCCGTAGTGGCCGAAAATCGTCAAATCGGTGGTGTTTTCGCGTGTTTTTGCAACTCTCGGAGCAAAAAACACCGTAAATACCGATGTTTTTGGCGGGTCGGAAGCCCAAAACCACGGTATTTACGATGTTTTTTGCCTCTGGTAGTAAAAAGCACGGTATTTACAGTGTTTTTTGGCCAGCACCTAGCAAAAACACTGGTATTTACGGAGGTTTCACCATGTAGCAAAATGTGGTTTCTTGATCCGAAAAGAACAAAAATACTGTAAATTACAATGTTTTGAGTCTGCTCTTAGGGTGCGTGGGAGGTGTGGAGGGGGGGGGGTTACTAAAATGACTAGCAATCTCCTGAAGAATCAGGTAACGGGGCTGGCCGCCCTCCCCTTTACTTCGTAAAGTAAAACTCAAGGTAGCCCCTCTGGAGCTACCTTTCGTGAAAAGGAACATGGCACATGTACTCCCATAGTGTGTCCTTCAATGCCTGTACAAACATCTGTACTTTACCCTCAAAGTGTATCTCTCAAAGTATGTCTCTTAAAATTCAAAAACATGACCATCAAAATTCAAAATTCAAAAACATGACCCTCAAAACCTTGACCCTCAAACTGTATCTCTCAAAGTATGTCTCTCACAATTCAAAAACATGACCCTCAAAATTCAAAATTCAAAAACATGACCTTCAAAAACATGACCCTCAAAGTGTATCTCTCAAAGTATTACTGTATCTCTCAAAAATTCTCAAAGTATGTCCCTAAAAATTCAAAACATGACCATCACAATTCAAAAACATGACCCTCAAAGTGTATCTCTCAAAGTGTGTCCCTCAAAGTAGCTATATTCAATGCACCAGACCTTATCCAAATCTTGCCACGCCACAACTCATGAGGTGGGGCATCATTGTACTCATCCTCTCTGGTTCTAGGGGGCCTTGCCAGGGACAAGATTGGCCTGAAATTAGACTGCTTGGTGCAAGGTAACAAAACCAGGAACCAGTTTCATCAAACAGCCCAACCACACCTTTCATATGGCCCAAAGGGATCATATTCTGGATCATCATTCCTTGAAAAGGATAGGCTCTGAAAAATAATGTCTCTCAAAATGAGTCCCTCTCAAAGTGTTCACTCAGGTGGCTCTCAAAGTGTTTCACTACAGCAGCACTCAACCAATAGTTCCATTTAAAAATTCACATGCATTTGTATGTTTATACATGATGTATATATACATATAAGGTACATTATATATACATTATGTTATAGATGTATTATATTATACCATGTATAGATATATAATATTATACATACATATGTATTGAAATCTCATGTAGAATGTGCATCTAGAGGTGTTGGAGCTCTAAATTCAGCTTTGTGTCGCTGCAGCGTCGGATGCAAGATCAGGCTGCCTAAGGGGAAGGAATGATGGGCTATAGAAATTTGACATTTTTTTTTGGAACACTGACATACCCACATCATGTTTTCCAAAAAAAAATGC